GTTATACTCTGCGAAGAATGAGAGCCATCTCGCCATCCGTTGCGAGATGTGCGGCGACATCACAGCCGTCCGCAACGACGCGTGGTCTGTATAGACCACGAACGGTTTGCTTCCGAGTAGATACACTCGGAACTTCGCGAGTGCGTACTTCATGGCAAGGAGCTCCTTGTCATGTACCGGGTAGTTGCGCTCAGCTGGCTTCAGCTGACGCGATTGGTAGTAGACGACACGATCACGGCCCTCGTGATCGTGCTGCATCAACGCACATCCGATTGCGAAGTCGGATGCGTCACACACAACGTGGAATGGGCGATCGTGGTCGGCCACCGCCAAGATCGGCGCCTCAGTCAAGCCCCGCTTGACTGCATCGAAGGCCTGCTGACACTCAGCAGCCCAAACCTACTCGGCGTCCTTCTTCAGGAGCTGTGACAGCGGGCGTATCATGCCCGCGTAGTCCTTCACGTATTTGCACAAGTACGTGGCCAAGCCAAGGAACCGCCGCAGTTCCTTGACGTTCGACGGCGTCGGCCACTCATTGATCACTTTGACCTTCTCAGGGTCAGGGCGGACACCGTTCTTCCCAACGAGACACCCGAGCACGGGTATCTCGCTCGCCCCGAAGATGCACTTCTTCAGGTTCGCATAGAGCTTGTGCTTGCGCATGAGCGCAAGCAGCTTCCGGAGATGCACCTTGTGCATCTCAACATCGCTCATCCCGTCCGCAGCCCGGCTGTGGACGAACACATCGTCGAAGTAGCTCGGTGCGAAGTCGCGCACCGAGCGCAACAAGTGCGTCACGCACCTGTTGAAGGTCGCAGGAGCGTTCTTCAGACCCTGCGGCATCACTAGCCACTCCCAGAGCATGCCGCTCGGCGTGCTCACAGCCGTGAGAGGGATATCGCTCTCACGCATTAGGATCTGATAGAACCCATCGCGCAGATCAAGAGCACTATAGATAGTGTTCCTGGCCATCGAATCGATGATAACATCTTTTCGAGGTATCGGCATCTGCGCCGGTATCGTCGCGTCGTTCAGCTTGTTATACGCATGAACGATGCGCCAGCCGCCCTGTGGCTTCTTGACACAAAACGTCGGAGCACTGTGCGGGGATTTCGATTCCCGCACTTGTCCAGCTTTGCGACGACTTTCGAAGAAGTCGTCGATTGCTTTGACCTGCTCTCGCGGCAGTGGCCACTGCCGCGTGACACAGTACTTCGTCCCCGGCACGAGATCAATCTCGTGCTGGATTCCCTTGTCCTGAGGAAGCTCCGCAGGAATCTCTTCCGGGAGTACGTCCGCGTACTCCCGTAAGATCTCGTAGTAGGGACTCGTCTTCAACGAGTCCCAGCTCTGCTCTTCAAAGCGCTCCTTCTTAGTCTTCGCACTGAGAGTGTCCTCACTCTCTGTGGTGGTCTCCATGAAGAACTGCCTCAGTTCTTCATTCTCGCTCTTCGTTCTCTCGGCGTCCGAGAGAATGCATATTTGCTCGATGCGTCCATCGTGCAAGTCACGCGCGAAGCGCTTCCAGCTCATGACTGGAAGCGAAGTCAACTCCGACGCTTGCGTCGGAGGGTTAGCGAGAGTCATCTCCCTGTACCGGAACCCGGCACAGGTACGCGTCAAGACGTTCAACGTCTCGACGTCCGGCTTTTCAGCCTCCGTCTGCCCGGCAGACATTTCTTGTAGCGTCTCGGCCCCAGGCCGAGACTTGCGCGGCGACCTTCGCATGCGCCGTCTTCTTGTTTTGCGGTGCCCGGCTCCGCTTGGTTCTTGACCTCGTCCAGGCCCAGCCGTGGACGGGTGTTCTTCTTGTATTCCGCCGGCGGGTTAATCCCGCGGGCGAGCGACTTCAAGCCCGGCTTGGTCGCCCGGCGCTCCGTCGTGTAGCCCGGTTGCACGACAGCATGCAAGTTTTTCCGGTGCGGGACGTTTGCAACCGTCCGCACCGCCTGCAGCGTCGGCTCCCGGAGCCGACACGCCATCTTTACCTCGACGCCTGTTATTGGCGGAGCCCTCCATTACGGAGGGTGCGTCGGCTCCCCGAGCCGACGAGTCAAATTTGTCCATGCAATCGACTCCCGGAGTCGATGCGACTTCAATACCTCGACGCCAACCATTGGCGGAGACCCCAATTACGTAGGATGCGTCGGCTCCCCGAGCCGACGAATCAAATTCACCCAATCCATCGACTCCCGGAGTCGACGGCGTTTCGTCACCTTGGCTCTTATTATTGGCCAAAACTGATCCAATCAGATTCGCGTCAGCCTCCACGGCTGAGGCGTGTGACTCGCCTGCGTCATCCGTGCCCCTTGAGGTCGGAGACTCTTCCTGATTTGCTGAAAAGCGGGTGTCGATCTCCGAGATCAACACATTTTCTCCTTCAGCCGTCGGCGGCGACGCCGACGCTTGCTGCTCTTGCGCGCGTGCTCGCACGCGCCCAGGGCGCTCCGGGACAGCGGCATTAGACGCTGTCTCGAGTGGGGGGTCGCGCGCACCTGTCCGTGCGTGCGTAGCGGCAACAGGGCCATCGCTCACTGTTCCGCTGTCGCGACCGAAGCGCACGAGAGTGCGCTTCTCCCAATCGATGACCGGATCATGCCGTGCAAGCCACGGCATGCCCATTACAATGTCAAACTTATCGTCCAGGTCCAGGACGATAAAGGTCTCGACAAACTCTTGGTCTTCATACGTGAAGCGCACGCGTACCATGCGCTTCTCGGTTTTAACGATGGCACCCGTTGCCAATCGAACTTCCAACATACGTCGAGGTATAATTACCTCCTCGAAGTCAAGCCTTGATAGACTTCGCAGTCGAACAAAGTTGTTCGACGCGCCCGAATCAACCAAAGCGCGAAGAGAGTTGCTCTCTTCGAAGACACGTCCAAGATGACAAGGTTCGGTTTGTCATCATGTATTTTGCAGTGAGAAGGGTCCTCACTGGGGGCTGCCGTCCTCAGTGTCGCATGTCCGAGTTGGACACGCGTGACTGCTTCACCAGTAGGGCGTCCCGCGCCTACTGGGTTCCAGCGTTTTTTGTTTGTCCGCGACGATGCCCTGCATCGCCGCGTCGACCACCATCTCGGTGCACGGGTGCCGTGCACTCTCGGGCATAGTGACCGATCCTTCCGCAACGGAAGCATCGTACATTACTTCCTTGTTGCTGTTGATAACCAACAGCCGTTCCATTCGAGAGGTCCATTGGTTCCGGACCTTCCGCTATCGCAACCGGAGGCGGTCGCAGCCTCGGCGCATCCGCATGCAGCTTAGCCTGTCGCAGGCTAAACTCCTCTTGTATTGCAAGAGTAATTGCAGCTTCGAGAGTACCTGGGTACTCACGGAAGAGATAGGTCTTTACAGGCCCATCTCTCAGACCCTACATGAACGTGACGACCTTGGTCGCCTCGTCTATCGGGTTGGTCACAATGTTCGAGACCAAATACCGTGCTCTCTGCGCGTAAGCATGAACATCATGCTTACCCTGCTGTAGGTCGAGGAATTCTGCCCTCGACCGGAACTCGTTTTGCGGTGGCTCAAACGCTTGTCTGAGCTCTTCCTTGAAACCCTCGTACGTGCTAAAGCACGTAGGATCCGAGAGTCGGCGTCCATACGCCCAACTTCTTGCACGTCCGCCAAGACATTGCATGGCGAACGCAACCTTGGACAACGGGTCGACGATACGTCGAGCCGCGATGGCAGTGTCGAGTTCGACAAGCCACCGGAGGAGAGGCTCGCCCTCTCTTCCGACATAGTTGCTCACGTTTAGCTTCAACGATTGCTCGCGCGGTGTCGTCCCCGACGCCACCGTGGTAGAGGAAGCAGCATCACGCTGCCCCTTCATGATGAATCCCAGAGCCACACCGTGTTGCTCCGTCGGCGATAGTGTGCGCAGCATTGCAGCTACAGCCGCTTCTCCAATGACTGTTGACAGTCTTTGGAGTGCCTCCCACTCTGGGTCCGACAGGTGGAGGCAGTCAGCGCGTGCAACATGAGTTGCAGGCGAAGTGGAGCTTTCCATGGGCCTTCCGCGCTCATGAAAAGGTTCTCGGCTCCTCGTTCGTACAGCTCCGTACGAACGTTCAGGTAGTCGGTCGTTGGACGGGCTACAAAGTGCTACCAGGTGTAGTGGGCCTACCTTGGCTCACTACTACGGCTTACACGTATGCGCCCGTGTATAAGGAAGCGTAGGTTCCTTTTATTTGAGTTAAGTATATTCGAGATCCACGAGTATACTGTAAACAAGATAAGGACTCCAAGTAGCGTGTTTTGGTAAAAGATGAGAACTGCTATTTCTGTTTTATGTTTCTGACTTCCTCTAAATGTAATATTCTAAACTAGGAATCTGCCAACGGCTGGAGGGCAGGATTCTGCTAACATGCAAGTCACTCATTGGCTAAAAGATGCTGCTCTCAACCAATAGGAATCCTAAGTCTCTATGCACCAACCGTCGTGGTGATCCTAAATGTATGTAGCCTTTGGTGTGTCTACACCAAGGACGAGAAAGTCTTTCGAACCTCTAACAGACGTCGTGTCTGTTAGAGTTACAACTGACTGTAGTCACTTGTGCGTGTAACCCCGTTACAGACTGGGACTCGCCAAGTGGGGAGCGAGTTTCGTCTGGGAACACCTCCGGAGACCTTCAACATCGACAGCAGCTGGTGTGGCCGACGCGAGTCTGGGCCCACAGCGTAGCCGTGATCAAAAGAACCGCCAAGGGGATCACAGAGTGAGGAACACACGCCTCGCCCGACCCGAGTCGGAGCTGAGCCAAGCGTTCAAGCGGCGAAGCCTAGCGAACTGGAGTGGGAGTGTTCGCTCAGTGGAAGGAGCTGAGCGGAACTCTTGCAGCGCTAAGCAGGGCTGATCCAAGTGGTGCAAGGGCTGAGCGAAGACCAAGGTCGAGCGGTCTAGCAACCTGACCATTCAAAAGGCACGGGCGCTTCGTCACACGTAGTGCGCGTGCCCGGATCAGGGATACGACTTTGGACGGATAAGCTACAGTCATGTCGACTGCTGCTGATTCGAAGGAAACCAAGACTGGAGGTGAGAAGAGCGAGTCTTCGCTTCGGCGAAGTTTGAGAGTGGCTGGATTGCCAGCCGAGGTGGTGCCGACGGAGTCTGAGACGCCCATGGCGAGAAGATCGACTGCGGGATCCCGGACAACCAGTGCTGAGGGAGAAGCTGCGTCGTCAGGCGAGGCTGCGTCAAGCGCTGAGCCGGAGGTGCCACCAATGACGGAAACTGCTGTACCGCCACCAAGTTCGCCCGAGAGGAAGAAGTCTGAGGATGAACAAGGTGTGCTCAGCCGAGTGCTCGTGTTGGTGAAAGTCCAAGCCTGAGAGAGCCTGCTGTGAGTCGAGCGTTGACGCCGCGCAGGACTTCTGAGGCTGCGACTGCAACTTCCCAGCCGCAGGTGTTAACCCGGAGCCAACTGCTGCGGATCTCCGCAGTGGCCAAGCCGAGGGTGGTGCACTGAGCGTGCTGGGAAGCCGAGAGATGCAGCTGCGAGCTCAAGGTGCTGCTGGGACTGGGACGGGTCCGGTCCAGCTCAGCTTTACTCCGGGAGCTGGATACTTCGGAGCGTCAAGTGGTGGCGGAGCCTGGTCAAGTTCACTCTGGCCGGACCAACGCCCCTACCAGAGGCTGAGAGGAGTCCCCGAAGGAGTCGAGGCTGACAGCCGAGCCTTGTCCCAGCTGTCTGAGCTATCGGAAGGTGAGATGCTCGCGTACGGCCGGACCCAGTTCGAGATGTGGATGTCCGTGCCCGCTGGAGTCGTGCACCCGGTGGACGTGGCCTACTCGCCATGTCATGGAGGCTACGATCTCTGGGGTTTCATCCGAGCGGCTGGAGCTACGGCCAGACACTTGATGTCTGTGACTCGATCGCCCGCTGCGAGATGGCTGAACGTGTTCCATGCTGAACGTCGACGGATTCCTGTCGTCTCCGACCTGAAGGCAGTGCGCGTGGCGCTGAGACTGATGCCGCCCATTGCATGCGCCGCTCTGTTGCAGACGATGCTGCATGAAGCTGGCTATGAGTTCCTGAACCAAGTCCCAGTGTGGCACACGCTGTCTGAAGTTGCTGGAGTCCCGGACTCGCAGATCCGGTTTGAGATTGTGCGCATTGCCCGATTCCTCGGAGCTGAGCTCAGTGCCTGGAAGGCTGCGGTCGGGTCAACCCCATACTACGTGAGGCCGACCTCAGACCCTCAGCTGATGGCCACTCAAGCTGCCGAGATTAAAGTTGGATTCCCTCTGGACAAGGATGGAGACGCGATCATGGATGAGGACACCCAGCTGTTCCTGGGGCCCGAAGTCGTGATGCGCCTTCAGCTCACTGGTCTCAGACCTCGGAGCCCGACCTCAAGTGTCGAAGGTGAGCCGTCTCGAAAGCGTGCATTGCTGACGAGGTCTTCTGCTAGTGGCTCAATCCCGAGCTACCACGAGTCTGGCGAAGCTCCTGCTGAGACTGCGCATTCCGTAATGATCGAGTGCCCAGCATGGTTGGTGCAAGCTCCGGTTCCGACATGTCTTTGATGGTCACGGATGAAGAGGGAAACCTGTCTGGATTAAGTTCCTCTGGTTCCTCTCTGATGTCTATGACTGACTACATGGTTGGGACTGGGACGCACATGCCCATGTCGACGGCGACGGTGATGCGAGGCTCAGCTACGACGATGTCCCGCAGCTCATTCCCGGGAATGACGATCTCGCTCACACCTCAGCTTACTCAGGCTAGTCCCGTACCGGCCAGAGCTGAGCAGAGGCCGTATCGACCTGAGCATCCAGCCCAGATACCGCTGCCAGGCAGTCCTGAGTCCAAGCGCCCAGCCCCGAAGCAAGCTGAGACCCGACAAGTGCAGTTCACGGGATTCCGGTTTGCACATCCATCAGTTATCGGCTCCTCCGGGACGACGACTTCGGATGACTTGCCCACAGTCGAGCGAGACTACCGGCGAGCCCTTCAGCAGAGTGAAGCTACTGCCTGGGCACGTCTTAATGCAGAGCAGAACCAACGCCGAGCTCTTGAAGCACGGTTGAGTGCCGCTCTGGCCGACAACCAGGCGGAGCAAGCCCGACTGCAGGAGGAGTACCGGAAACTTCAGGCGACCAACGTTCGGATGTCCGAAGCCCAACAGCAGACCAAGACGGAGCAGCAGAAGCAACTTGAAGCCTTGGAGAAGCTGGCCCAGCGCCGCGCCGCCGAAGAAGCTGAGAAGCGCAAGGCGGACGAGGCTCGAGCTCAGCAACTGCTCCAAGTTCTGAAGGTGCTCCAAGAGGCTGAGGTTAGGGCTATGCAAGCTGAACAGCGGAAGGCGCAGGAAGAAAGAGCTGCCGAGATCAAGACTAAGCACGAGCTGGAACTGCTGAGGCTGAGAGAAAAGCATGCGCAGGCAGAAGCAGAGCACCAGTGAGCCATGCAGGAGCAGGAGGAGAAGACTCGTCAGCTCCTTGAAGCCCAGGAGCAGCCCAGTCTATATCCTGGCTCCGTCGCTTCGACCGCTGGACGTGTGTCGTAGCCAGTGGACCCCCCGGTCCCAGCACCTGTCGTGTCGGCTCGATCGCCGACCGATCCGGTCCTGGCGCAGTTAGCCCAGCTCACGAGCGTGATGCAGCAGTTGGTCCAAGCCAACCAAGTCAAGTCTGAGGTGACTGGTATGAGCCGCAGTGCTAGCAAGACCCAAGGTTCGGCCAAGGGCGCTATGACCAAGTCTAAGTCTCGCGCATCCAGCACGACGTCTGGCGCGAAGGGCTAGGCTCGGGCGACCAAGCCTGGCAGGCCCAGAGGCTCAGACGGGGATGACTCTGGCTTGGACGACTCAAGCTCAAGTGATTCGTCGCAAGATGAGCTCGAATTACAGTTTGGTGCTGTGGCACAACCTAAGGGGACTGATACCAGTTCCGGAACTCGTGTGGTCGTTCAAGCGATGATCCCCCATGACGCTTTGGAGAAGTTCGACGAGAAGGGGCCGCTGGAGAACCGAGTCAACTGGTGGGAGAGGTTCATGTACTACGCTACGATGGCCCCCTGGGACGAGAAGACCCGGGTGGTCCAGCTACGCATGCGACTCACGGGTTCCCTCAAGGATTGGTGCACTCAGCTGCCGGATGACGTTCGCTCGGACTGGAAGAAGTTGTCTCACGTCTTCAAGAAGAAATGGTGCCGTACGCTGAGCTCCAAGGCTGAGCGGTACTACTCGATGGAGATGAAGGACTTCGATACACCTCGGATGTTCTTCTACCGTCTGAACCATGCTGCTAAGAAGGATGGGATCCCGTATCTGAGACCGACCGTCGATCGCGAGGCTCACATCCGACGTTTTATCAAGGCTTTGACTGAATCAAGGCTGAGGACTACTCTTCAGTGACAACGTTTCGATACTTTGGATGAATTGGAGAAACTCTGAAGAGGATCTCCGCCAAGACGAGGTCTATGAGCAGAAGCGGCGCCCAGCGCAAGGATTTCAGTTTGGACGTTTCAAACCTCCACAGCGTCGAGCTGAGGGACGTGCATTCAAGGCAGAAGGTGTGGAAGTTGACCCAAGTCTGGGACGACATGCACACTACCAGGATGACTACGACCTGAAGTACGAGGCTGATTCTGAAGAAGATGTGGACCGCTCGGCTGAGCGAGCCATGTCTCCGCCTGTCCCCGCGCCAGCTCCTGCTGTTGCAAGCTCAGCTCAGGCTGAGCCCAGTCGCTCTACCTCCCTGACCGATGAAGAAATTTTCCGAGTCGCTGAAATATTGACCTAGAAGCCGAACGCTCAGCGCTATGACCACGGTGGAGACCAGCACCCAGAGCAGAAATGTGACGAATGTGGCAGTCGTAACTACCCGACTGACAAGTGCTGGAGCCGACTTATCTGTGGGCGATGCCACGACGAGGGTTTCCCCGACCCAATTCTGTAGGCGTCAGCCGTGTTCCAAGTGTGGCGAATACCATCGCCGGGGTTTGTGCGATATGTGGTCGGCACTCAAGGCGGTACGCGAGGCAATCCGTACTGGAGGCTCGGTCGAGGGCCTCGCTCCTGAGGTAATCCAAGCTCTGTTGGATAGCCCGGAGCTCCGAGAGAAGTCGTTAAACCACTAGGCTCGCTGGTTGAGAGACCAGTGCGTGACGAGCCTAGATCCCAAGCTCTCTGTGCCTTTGCATATGTGGGCCCAGCCCTTCCATGTTGGCGCAGAGATAACCCCAAATGTACAACTTCTTATCATGAAGCTGGTGTTTACACTTTCGATACTGACCTCAACACGCTGGACCAGGAGGATGAGATGGAGAACCAGCTTGAGTTCGCCCTGACTCCGGGCGAGAAGTATGGTTGGTGGAGTAAACACACGCTGACTGGCGAGAAGCGGAAGATGGCGATGGTGCACGGAGCAATCTTTCATCACCGAATGCAGATACTACTGGATACTGGAGCTACGACAAGCATTTTGGGCTTAGATCTTGCACGCAGATTGAAGCTCAAGCTACGCCGTGGTTTCAGGCTCAGAGTAACTGGGATGGGAGATGCTCCGACCTACATTACCACCCAAGCTAAGATCAAGCTGACGCTGGGAGTGCGCGTGGTGTACGTTATGGATGTCTGGGTTGGCAACATCGGTGAAGGAGTTGATTGTCTTCTCGGAATGGACTTTATGGTGGCAGCTGGAGTACGGCTCTGCGCTCGTGAAGGTGTTGTGATGCTGCCGGACGAAGAGTCTCTGTTGTTGGTTGGAGGAGCTGAGATCGACCATGTCGGACTGGAAGTCAGCGTCTGGCTGAACGAGACTGCTTACCTTTACCCTGGACAATCTGTGATAGTCCCGGTCAAGTATCACCAAGCTGACCCAGAGAAGGTGATTCCCTGGGCCGGGCGCGGTGATCAGTGGGTCACACAGTTCATCTATGGACCTTGGCGGAGACCGAAGGCTGTCAAGGTGGTCAACATGTCCGAGCGAGAGGTCATGATCCGCCAGCACACTCTGGTTGCCTGCCTTGTCGAGAAGGGTTATCTGCCCAACGGGAAGCGGTTCGCGCGACCTTACTCGTGGAAGTACAGCGAATGGGCTCAGCTCATCTACGAAGCCGAGCCCTCTCCAGACTTTCTGAGACGAGAAGAGGAAGCGGCTTGGCTAGCTGAGCTCAATGCTCCACCCGCTGTGGAGAGGCCAGCCTACAAGCGACCTATGAAGCTGCTGCTGCTGAAGCAGTCTGATGACCCGAAGGAAGACCGAGCCAACATGAAGCAGCGGAGAGCTGAGGCGTACGCCGCCAATACGGTGTCGCCTGAGACCGCTCGAGTCAAGATGACCCGGACACATCTGGGACGTCCTGCCTCATGGAAGCCGCCGCTGCCGCGATCTCCTCACCCGGATGATATGCAGTCAGGGACGAACCCGGCAAGCACATCGGAGGGAGCTGACACTCAGTCTGCGACTGAGCCAAGTTCCTCGGAGTCAAGCCCAGCTCAAACCTCTCCTGCTGGAGGTGGTGTGAACACCCAAGAAGCTCGGAACGAGCTGGACCGAGTGTTCAGGGCTGAGCCGACCGACTTCGTGTCTGATCCAATTGATCGTCTTCAGAAAACGTATGCTCGTTGTCTCAGAGTTGAGATCCGTGAGGACGCCGACGAAGCTACAGTGTACTTCCATGAAGGCACGGAATTGCTGAATGACCTCCGGGACCAGCTCGCTGCTCTTCCGGAGTTGAAGGACGTCAGTCCAAACGCGGACCTCTCAACGGCTAACGTGGGAGAACCAGGCGTTACGACTCCAGAAATGGACGCTCAAGTGCGGACAATTCTGGAAAGACATCACGCCAGTTTTCTCGGGGATGGGAATGCGGTACCGGCCCCCGCCCGTGGAGTTATCTGTGACCTGGATGTTGGGGACGCGAAGCCCATCGCTCAGAGGTCTCGGCAGGTTCCGACGCACTTGCTCGACAAGGTGTTTGCTCTGATCAAGAAGTTGCTGGAGACTGGGCTCATCGAGTATTCGCACTCAGACTGGGCTTGGCCAATTGTGATTGTGATGAATGGTTGTTCAAGTCTCGATCGCTAGAGGGACGCTGTGAGCAGTGGGCTGCACGTCTGTCACCCTGGCCTTTGGAGGTTCACAAGGTCGAACGCGACGAAGATGGTTTGGCCGCGATCATGGGAGCTGGGATCACCCACCGTGACCAGCTAGACAAGATCGCAGAGAACCCCATCCCAGACAAGGGACGAGTTGTCCGAGCCCCACCGATCAGCTTCGAGATGCTGGAGGCGGACTATGAGGGATGGCTGCTCAGCTTTGATGGATCTGCCAAACTCTCGGATCGCTCTGGTGCTTCTGGCTGCATTCTGTGGAAGCTCCCGTCCTGGGACGTGGTCGAAGCTCGAGGATTCCACTTCGAAGGCATTACGGTGAACGAAGCTGAGTATCGCGGTTTGCTTGAAGGTGTCCGCATGGCGAAGGCTCGCGGCATCTCAGACCTTGTGGTGGTCGGTGACTCTCGGATTGTCATTCAGCAAGCTCAGGACTTGATCCAGTGTCTGAGCCCTGGGCTGCAAGTGCTGCTGGCTGAGTTTGAGACGCTTCGCCCAGAGTTCCAACGATTGCGCTTGGTGCATGTGAAGCGAGAATATAACGCAGCCGCGGACTATCTCACGTCGAAGACTCTGGTGATTCAACGTCCTGTCGCCATTGAGGATCCGGTTGAACTGGTTCAGCTCAAACAACTAAATCGGATCCTGGAGAAACTGATCAAGGTGAATGAACCTGAGCCTGCTGAACCTGAGACAGAGCAGCCTGACACTCAAGCTGATGTGGAAGTAGTAGCTGAGCCAACTCCGCTGGAGGATGCTGCCAAGCCCCTGTTGCTCAGCGCTAAGATCTTCGTGGTGACTAGGAACCAAGCTCGGGTCAGGGGCGCTGAAACCACAGCAGCCAGGGGCGACTCCGACCAAGGTGTCGATCCCGACCAAATGCTGAGCTCCCCGCTGAGCAAGCTCCAGCGTACTCACCTGAAGCGCCAACTTCTGCCGCGTCAATCGCTGAACGATGGAGACGCATCCTAGTTCTGCAGGAAGCTGAGCCCTGGACGAAGAAGCTCAAAGATTATCTGAACAGAGACTTGGGGAATCTCTCTGCTACCGAAGTTGAAGATGTGGCCAAGGTGGTGGACCAGTTCACCCTGGATGCGAGAGGAGTCCTGTACTATCTGAGTTGAGCTACTCCGGGGAGGCCCAGGGACGCAGCTGGGAATCTGAGATTGGTTGTGCCAACGGCGCTGAGGGATGACTTGCTTCAGCTCAGCCATGAGGAGTTCCAAGGTGGTCATCAAGGGATCACTAGGACCTTCGAACGACTGCGCAGGGAGTACTACTGGTCGAGGATGTACGCCGACGTGGAACGCTATGTGAAGGAGTGTGTGGATTGTGTCACTGCCAAGGGAGCTCCGCCCAACCCTGGGCCATCGCCGGGAACCATTTTGGCGACTAAGCCCTTTGAGGTGGTCTCTATGGATTTCGTTACGCATCTACCCAAGTCCGACCGTGGAAATGTGTTCCTGCTCCTGTTCCAGTGTGCATTCTCAGGCTTCATCATGTGCAAGCCGATGAGTCTGACCACAGCCCAAGATGTCGCTGAGGCCTACATGGAGTGTGTGTTCCAGAGGTTTGGTGCGAGCTCTCTGCTTCGCCATCACCGTGATCCACGTTTCATGAGTGAGGTGTTCGCCAGGTTCCGCGAGATGCTGGGAAGCCGGCAGCGTGCGACTCTGGCGTACAGACCTCAGGCAAATGGTCAGCAAGAGCGCTCAGTGCAAACAGTGGTCCGAGCTATCCGAGCGTACGTCGCTGAGCCAGATCAGAGCGACTGGGACGACCAGGTGGAGAAGTTGATGTGGGCTCTGAACACGTCCTTCGACGCCACCCGTCTCGACACGCCGTTCTACCTGGTTCATGGTTGGGACACTCACAACACTGTTTCGGCCATGCTGGGACCATCTGCGACGGGTTTGGATCAGAGGACTGCCTATGAGTGGCGTCGCAAGACTCAGCGCAAGTACGAGTAAGCTCAGGCCTGGGCTAAGGATTTACAAGCTGAGGCCAAGGTCAAACGCTCGGCTGCTCAGACAAAAATCTGGGCTGAGCTGTCTGAGAGACTCGAGAAGGGTTTCGAAGATGGTGATGCTGTGTGGCTATACCTAGCTCGAGTGCAACCTGGGCTCACGAAGAAGTTCGCTCACCTCTGGCACGGTCCGTTCCGAATTCTGGAGACCTCAGATGAAGCTGAGGATCGAAGGGACTGGGTACAAGTTGTATCCTTGGGTCCACATAAGTCGATTCAAGCCGCGTGTCCTGTTCCCTGAACGACCTACAGTTGAGGTTGAAGTCGCTGAGAATGATGATCTGGACGCAGCTCTGTTGCCCGAAGATGCTGAAGAACCCGATGAAGCTCAGAATGTGTATGAAGTAGAGGCCATCCAGGATGTGCGCTGGGTTAAGCAGACCCGGACTTCACGGAGAGTCCGAGAGTACTTGGTCAAGTGGAAGGGGTACCCTGACACTGAGTGGCTTCCCATGTCTCCGCTAAGTTGTGGAGCTTTGCTGTACGAGTTCAACAAGAGCGCCAAGGCGAAAGCACGGTTCCAAGCAATGCAAGCTGGGGACGAGCCTCCTGAGCTTAATGCTCAGTAGAGGCACCTCAGCTGTGAACCTGTGTATGTCGCCGTGACGTTCTATGTGTGAACCCTTTGTATAATGAGAATTTACGAATATGCTACGTGATGTGGAGAATAATTTGGAGTTTATCGTGGAGAACAGTGGATGAGCGCGAGGTGAACGCGCGCCGAGGACCTGAGATCAATGAGGAAGGAGACGAGAAGTATCAAAACGAGTGGTGAATTAGAAATAATGATGAACGCTCGTTGCCTACGCTTCCTCAGTCTCCTCGTCTTGCACGGCTTCCAGAGCGCGAAGCACCTCAGCAAGCGTGTCGTGGTTGTACTCCGGTGCTGGGATAATTGGGTTCGCCTCTCGTTCGGCTGTGCTCTTGGGCTTGAGCTCAGGCGGGACGATCGCTTTGAACTGCTTGTCCGAGCGGCGGGTGACCCATTGCGTGCGAACTGGTTCTTGGTCGTCCAGGGTGAAAAGTTGGTCAGCCAGCGAGATCTTGAGATCTGGGTCTCGGAGAACCCAGTGGCACGGATCCTTGGGCACAGCCCAGTGTCCGGGCTCGAACCAGATCCGATCCGAGTAACCCTTGACGCCCCTGAGATGGTCGATCAAGTCCCTGCGACGAAGCTCGAACTCTTGGGCACGGTCCTTGCGCTCTCGGTAGACGGTGGCCAGCTCAGGCAGGCCCAGTTCCTTGGCGAGCTGAACGTAGTCGATCTTGGACGGGAACGGATACCAGTGGAGTCGCTCCCAATACGCTCAACGCCAAGCACTCATAAACCCAGCAATTACGACGACCGCTTCGCACATCTCGGGAGAGAGTTCTGCATGACGAGGAAGTCAACGCGGCCATCCCACATGTCGTCCCAGGGGTCTGATCTGAGCAGCTCCAGATAATACGCGTACTCGATGCGCTTGTGGAGCTGCTCGATCCCAGTCTTGGACGGCATGTAAGCTGGGAAACCAATCGTCTGGTGGTGCAGCTTCTGGACTCGGATGCCGTTGTGAAACCAGCTTCCTTTCTTGGGGGCCTCGATGATGCCATTGCCGACACCTTCCTCAGGAGTCTCAGCTTCGTCTGGCTCAGGGTCAGCTGAGGTCACGGAGGCCCCTGAGACTGAGCGCTGGCGTTTGGTCACTGAACTGCTCCCAGAAAAGGTCGAACTCCGTTGTCGCTTCTTGTCTGCTGGAGAACTCTGAGATCTGGTGCTGATGGAGCTGGGTGCCTTGGCCTTCGATCCGTGGTAAGTTGTCTGGGACATACTGCATCCACGGAGTGCCGCCCAGAGCCTCCCAGTACATCGCTGAAGTCAACATGTAGATCAAGTTCTTCTTGTCGAACTGGTCGTGGAGCATCTGGTCCTTCTGGACTTCATCCACTGCATCCCAGAACGCCACGCCAGCCAACATGAGCTCTTGGACGTCTGGGCGAGTGCCATCCCAGCTGAACTGGTTGGGCACAGCCTTTGCTGCGTCCAGGTCAGAACGAGCGCTGGGAGATTCCTTCTTGGCGTTCTTGCGCTCAGGCTTGAACTTGCTCGGGCGGCGTGGCAGCGCAATTCGCTGTGTGAACGGCTTGATCATCGGTGCCTTGGCCTTCGGTGTGCTGGAGGCTGAACGAGTCAAGTCCACAGTCTCAGGCGCGGCTGACGAGCTGGGCGCACTGGATCTTCAGCCCGCCAGCTTTCTTCGAGCTGCTTGGAGCCAAGGCCTTAGCCAGTGGCAGCGACTTGAGCGCTTTGCGTCGGATTTTACTGGACCTAGCGGAAGTTGACCTGCCCAAGCTGAGCATCGGTGGTGTGCGCAAAGGGGTATCCGGCAGAGACGAGCTGGTCGGAGTCGTAGCCGCTTGAGCGGATCCTGAAGGCGAAGAAGCTGGCGCCGAAGCAGCACTTGACTGAGCAGCTTGAGTCGTGTATGGATCGGAGTCATCGAAGTCCAGATCACGCGCAGAGACTCGAATCGTAGTGCGATAACTGGTCGGGACGGGTTGCCCTGTCCGGTACAGCTGCAGCAACGCGAGGAAGCGTCGCCAGTTGCCTTTGAAGGCGCTGCTGTTGACGAAGAAGTCACAGAGGGCGCCGGGATCAAACGCTCTGGAGTTCAGGATCTGGGCTTCGAGCTCAGCAATGCGTTTTTGTGCCACGGTGAGCTCAGACTCGAGCGAAGTGATCTTGAGCGCAGCCTCACTGACCGCATCGTCTGCGTCAAGCTTCTCTGTGGCAAACTGAGCGCCCAACTTGTTCGCGCTTTCGAGGTCTTCTTTGAGCTTTTGGATCTCTGCGGCAGCCGTGGTGTTAGTGACCTGACCACTAGATGCTCCAGCAGCAGCGCTTTGAAGAGCTACGGCGTGATTGCTCTGAAGGCGCTGCAGCTCAGCTTGGTGAGCCTCGCTCTGACGCCTTAGGGTCTGAGCGAAGCTGTGGCTTCTCACCGTAAACCCAGCTGCTCCTGAAGCTGAAGCATTGCCCACGCTCTGCTCGAGGCCTTGGAGGAAACGCACCGTGAGTTGGAGACATTGCACTGTCCTGAGCGACCTTGCCGCGAGCTGATCAACGCCGAAACACTGGGCGAGGGGAGCCATCTCACGATCCAAGGCCGCTCGGATGCGAGGGTCGGTGATGTCTGGCGGGGGAACTGAGAGAGGCTGCAACAAGTCTCCAGTGGCATCGTGGCCCATGAGCTGGCTCAAGCGGGAGAGCTCAGGGGCTGAGAACGAAGTCACGTTCACCAGACGGCTCAGACCATCCGGAGCGCCTGTCATGAGCGCGCCATCGCGAAGATCGTCAAGCGTGGCTGGTACGACGACTTGCCCTGGAGGCGTGAGCCGATACCATGGAGTGAGCCACGGCTCATACGGCAGACGCTGGCTCGGCTCCGTCCGGTAGCGTGACGCTTCAACAGCGTGCAGCAGTCCAGTGATGGTGCTGGTCACTGGTGCACTCTGTGCAGTGGCCGAAGCCATTTGCAGCGCACTGATCGAAGGCACCGAGGGCGTTGGGCGTAGCATGAGCACTGCGGCGTCGCCCGAGACCGCGTGGGTCGCCGCCGGAGACGCCAGACCCGTCGTGACGGATGCCATGGTCGTCGACTTGCCGCTAGAAGCTGCCGAAAGAGCGCAGGTGGCCGCAGGCGTCGAAATGTTGGCCGTCGTACTGCTGAGGGCCGACGTAGTGCTTTGAGGCGCCATGGATGCTCCTTGCGAGGTCGCCGTTGCTGTTCCCGCCGAGATGGAAGTCGTGGGCACCGAGGGCGCAGTCTGCGCAGCCACTAGCGGCGCCGACGACGTCGTGAGCAGCACTTGCAATGGCGCAGAAGCTGACGCGGTGGAGACAGCCAATGGCGCTAGACAAGGCCTGGAGCATTGCGGGAGACGCAGGAGCGCCCTGCGACGCTGGATCTTGATTTATCCCGCCTGCCGGCGGCTCGTCGTGTTGCTGCTGGTCCGCCATGCGTGGCGCAAGACACTGGAAGCGGCGTACGCGGATGAGGACGTGCGGGTGACTGCGGGGGCGGAGCACACGCTGCTCCTGTAGTTGCCACCGCGGTCTCTGCACTTGACTGGAATTTCGCAAATGGCTTGGGATTACACTCCACAAGTTCGGCAAGATCGGACGGTTGTGGGACGAGGCAGTGCGGGCCATCTGGGTTTTGGGCACCGGGTCCAAGTCGGAAATGACCTCCGTGAACCCGGCACTCATAAGGGACGGTTGTGAAAAGGCTCGGTGGATTTCGCCACCGAACCCATGTCCAGCTGACCCGTATCAATCCAGGATGCTGACCCGTATCAATCAAGCAGACTTCAAGTGCGTCATGGCCGCGATGGATCTGGACCACCAACTGTCGGACACGAGCCGTGCGGCGAAGGAAGCTGAGCCCGAGGTCTGGGCGGAGCTCCGCTCAGACTCTGGGCTTGAGCGAAGATTGTCTGAGACCCGAAGTGTCTGGTGTTGGGTATCCCAAGTCTGAGCTGAGTCCAGGAAGCTGAGAGAAGCTACGCGGAGTCTGAGCTGAGCCTCGAGTGTGATGACCGAAGTCCCCGCTCGGGTCGAGGAGCTGAGTGGAGCCGGGTGGAGTTTGAGCTCAACCTCCCCAGTGGTTGTGGGGCCGTCATCCAAGATGCCGAGATGAGTCGAGGAGCAGGCGTCCGAGCGAGGTCGTGCCGAGCCCGAGCTCAGCTTTTACTGTGATCATGGAGCCTTCACCCAAGTCGACAAGCTGGGCGAGGATCGAAGGTCTGATCGGAGCGACGTGGAGTCCGAGGCCGGCGTCGAATGCGATGTTTGAAGTCTTTGCTCAAGTCGAGTAGCCATGCGGAGTGTTACAGACCTGAGTGGAGTGGCATGGGCCTGAGCGGAGTTGTCGGAGTCCAGTTGAAGTGCCGGGTGGAGAGTCGCTGAACTTAAGTCCAGACAGTGGTACTGACGGCGAAGTTGGTGGCACCGGCGAGTACACTCATCCGGCAAATCAGCCATGAGCCAGCCTACATTGGGTGCGACCGCCCAAGATCGCGGACACTTCAAGCGGATCTCAACGGCCTCCAGCGGCGGCAAGACGACGCCCGCCGACGTGAGCCGCCGCATTGGCCAAGACCAAGGATATCGGGCGGAGCTTCAAGGGCGCCCGATAAGCATACAGCCGACGCTCTTCGCGCAGCCTGTCAGTGTGTACCCAGGGGGATATTGCGCCTCCCACTTAGTGAGTCCTAGTTTGTGCATGTGTAAACATTTAAACAGAGTTCGTTTTGCCCCGAAGGACGCAAGTGGTGGAGGTCCCCTAAAAGTGTTTGTAAAATATATATTCGTAAGTTAGCACCAAGTACTTTACCACGCAACTTGCAGCGCAAAACTCGCGTCGTAAACGACTTACCGGGAAGGCTACAGTTGACTCCCGAATCCGGTGTTAACCCCCTTAAGTGCACGCTCAAGCTCATGAAATACGCTCAGAGCAGTGCATGCATCCCCGTGTTGACTCCTCTGTGAGCTACGCTTCGCCATCGTCTACATCGAGCCGTAAAAATCGTTTCAAAGCTGCAAGTAAGGAGTAAGTTGCGGCAACCTTCATGCTCTAGTTAATTTCATTCACGTTCGTGACCTGCTCGAATGGAAACGGTGCCAATTCTTCTCCCAGAGGAAAAAAAACACGCAATCCTCTGGGGTTCTTGCAACGAGCGAGACGCTCCTTTGTGAGCCCTTAGTTTGATTTACCCGAGCAAAAGCAGACCTTCATTAGTACAGAACTAGTCTTCATTCATGAAATAAAAGGCCTCACCCGAATACAAGTCCTCTCGTTATAATCGATGATTCGCAGGGGCTTATAGGAATTAGAAGACCGGCTTCTATTCAGTAAAATCCGTTACATACTATTCTTCCGTCAAATTTCTGGCACGACTTCGTTGATAACTTAGCACGAGAAAGTCGCGAACACAATGCCAATCAGTATCCCTAACACACCCACGACTTTCGCTACAAGGAATTCCCCTTTTTTACTGGGGAATACCTTGTTGCGAAAGTCGTGGGTGTTGGGATAATTTAGTGAAGGCAGTGCGAAATGACTACAGGAATAGCGGCGTCGCTAGATGCTAGCTCACTCGTCCGCCCGCGACTCGTTCGTGTCAAGTCGACGTCTCTTCTCGACCTCCTTCCGGTAGAACAGCAGCGTTTGAATGGCATCCCGCCCTCGAGTATCCGTTGGCGCTGCTGGTCGCACCCCACTCGACGATCGGTCATCACCACCGACACTGCATTTCTTCAGATCAGCTTGGGGCTTCAACTTGGAGCGAGAGGAGATCGTACCCTTAGCTAGTCGGTCCAGCAGCTCACTCGCTTCCGAGGGCACCACGAACACAGGCGCTGGTGGCTGGTACGTTCGACACAAGAGCTGGTGTCTGAGGGACTTAGCAGGTGCTGGAGGCAACAGAGTGGAGGCATTCCAGCCTTGCGGGGTGGTGCTGGGCTTCTCATCTGCAGCAGGCTTGTTCTCGCTTCTGGCCGCCCGAGGCTGCGAAAGACGGCGAGTACCAGCAGTCGTAGACTTAGTCTGGGGAGGTGATAGCCAGACCTTCGAGGCTGCTGCGTTGAGACTCCCACTACTCAAGCGTCTTGACTGAGACGACTGTGATCGACTTCGCTGGGTGCTGGCGCGAGTCGCTACGTTTTGCCGGCTCACTCGCGCCTTGCCTTCGTCGGACTCGAAGAACTTGAGCAGCTCCGATAAGTCTGGAGGGGCGGGGAACTCGCGCGAGGGCATTTCGCCCTGGACGCAAGTCGGAGCTTATCTTGGTGTGCCACCACTGACGTCCATGCAACGTGGTGGACCCCGGAAATACTCCGCAGTAACTGATGATGTCGCGGCAGATTGAAAGCAAGAATAGCTAGTGGCTGGGTCACGCACGACATGCAGCGGTGCTGAGTGCGAGGGTGACTCGTAGTAGATGAACCGAGCCACAGGAGCGAGCTGAGGATGACGACGACCGCTTCGGCCGCAACGGATCTGACCTCCACCGATCCGACTTTCATAGAGGAAGCGCCGACGGGCACAGGTGACGACCGAATCGAAGCAGACCGAGCGGTGTTTGCTCGATCCGCTTCCATTCGCCGGCTGTCGACTGTCACCTCTCGGAAAGGATCGTTCCGACGGCCCTCGCTTCTGCTCGGCGCTAACTCCACGCCTCAGCTTCCAGCCTCGTCACCGCTCCGACGTCCAGCAACAGCAGCGGCCACTACTCACAGTCGAGTGCACCAAGCACTGCGCGATAATGAGAACAGCTTTGAGTTCTCCAGCAAAGAGGCCACGCTCGATGGACTCTGGTATTCGTCACGATTCCCGATCAAGGAGATCACGAGCCGCGGTGTCGTCCACAGTCGCGTAGCATCCGCTACGTTGCTTCGAAAAGAGAAGAGCAGTACAGCACCCAAGACACAGCAAAGTACCAACGATGACAAGCCCCCGGTTAGTGGTGAGTCTGAAAACGCAGACGCAGAAGTCGAATTGACGCCCGAGATGGATATTCAAGCCAAGAAGAGGGAGATGCGGCGACGACTATTAGCTGAACGTGCTCGGTCTGCGGCGCCGACGTTGATGTCGGCTTCCAGCAGCGATTCGGCGATCAAAGCGCCCACCGCAGTGGTCGATGAGGCTGCCTTTATCCTCCGAAAGCGGCGCTGCGCCAAGACCTTTGAAGAAATGATCGCTGTCCGACTGAAGCCGCATAATGGTACAGATGACGCGAAGCCCAGCACTAAAGCTACTGTTGAAGCAGTTCATGCGGATCAAAGTACGCAGTCTCCGCAGATCGACGAGGGCATTAGCAAGCTGCTGGAGCACGGCATCATCCAGTCCGTGCTGGCTCTTAGCGCAAGTTCTGACCCCGCTACTGAGGCGCACTGCTGTCGAGCGCTGTACTATTTGTCTCGAGTTCGTGCCGCTCGCAAGTCCATGATCACTCAAGGCGTGGTCGCCAGTCTCAAGCAGCTTTCCCGAGCCACGTCGCCAGTTTCCCGACAAGACATGGCAGCAACTTTGTGTCATTTATCTGAAGAGGAAAATGCTGTCGAGGCGCTGTTCGTGGAGGGCATTGACCGCTCACTCTTGCGGCTCATGACGTCGCCTAGTTGGGAGACCAAGCGGATCTGTGCTGCCACCGTATTCAATTTGTCTGCTGATGCACGGCACATCAAGCACTTCCGTGAAGTATTTTCTCAGCTGTTGGTTGCTGTGGCCAAAGCTAACGGAGGGATCGGCGGCAGCAGTCTGCTAAACACCTCGTCCTCTGCGGAGCTCAACTCGTCGTCGGCCTATTTGATCAAGGCGATCTACAATGCGTCTCTGGTCTCAAAGTTCCACAGCGCGTTGCTCGGAGAGAATATTCCCCGCTTCCTGGCGACGCATTTACCGCTGGTGCCTCCTGCTATTCAAGGCTGGGCGCTGCGAGCGTTTGTATCGATATGTGAAGTGCGCGCTAACCGTCAGATCCTGCTGTCGTCTCCTTTCTGCGAGTTACTGGAGACCATGTTGCTCTCGCCAAACGAGGAGATCCAGGAGATCACACTGCTGATACTTCTCCAATTATCCATGGACGAGGGGAGCCGTATCAAGATCTGCAACTGGCTGCCGATCGGCTCGCTGGTACAAACAACCGGCCAGCACATCGAGGACGCAGTCAATGCCACCAAGTCCGGGCGTGCTGGGAAGGGAGGCGTCCCCAATTCCGAGCAGGTCGAAGCCAAACCCCAAGAGAACAGTCTGGTGTATCTGCACTCGTGTATCCTGCGGAATCTCTGCGACAGCGTGTTGACCCACCACGAGCTCATTCAAGAGGGCACTGTTCCCGCGTTACTGGAAATGAGCCGGATGCCGGAATCGACCGTGAAAGTTAACGCCATCTGCTCCCTTTGTTACCTGACCTCGAGCTCTACAGAGGAGGTAGCGGTTCATATCCCCGAGCTCACCGAGCTACTCTTGACTCTGACGCAGTCAACGAACGCGCAAGACTGCATCTTCGCAGTGGAAGCTCTGTACAACATCTCGTGCTGTGACGACTGTGTTCCTCTCCTCTGCAAGTCGGGGGCATTGCTGGACCGACTGCTACAACTTGCCACCGATCCTATACACAAGAAGGTGGCCGAGTTGGTCGCTGCTATCGTCTACAGATTGGCAGGAGTCGTCAGCTGTGCGCCTCAGCTGCTGAGGCGAGGATTCCTTTCGGAGCTCGTGCAACTAATTCGTCAGTACCCGACCTGTCGAGCCTACGCTCTGAACGCGCTGTTCCTGCTGGCGAGAAATGGGGGAGAAGATTTCCCACACGGCGGTGATGAGATCGCAGAACTCGTGCTCGCCCTGCTAAGCAATGGCAACGAGCTTGAAATTGCTGCCAAAATGTGGATGAAGCCAGCGATTCCTGCGCGATTCGTGAAGTGCAAGACAAACCTCGACATTTCACAGGGCGACCCAGCAACAATACGCAGTGGAGTCACGCTGCTCGCCCACCTTGCGCACCACCCGAAGAATCGGGGGGCTCTTGTGCGTAATGGAGCCGTGTTTCGCTTCCTAAAGAAGTTGAACAGATTGCAGTCGAAGACCAAATCCAAGTCGGGCGATGGTGACGCTGGCAACGAAGAAGAGGACGAAGAAGACACGGAGCAAAGTAATGAAGACGACACGATCCTGACGAACTGCGCGTTTGTATATTACTGCCTGACAGCCACGCAGGAAGGGTGCGAGTTTCTCGTAAAGGAGCGAGGAGTGGAAGACTTGATCAACCTCTCGAGGATTCGGATCAAACACACGGGGACAAAAGCTGAGAGTAGCGACGGCAAAGTGGCTTACTCCATGAAGGAGCTCTGCACTCTGGCTCTGTGCCGCTTGTCCTCGTTTGCCGGTCTGGAGTCACGACTCATTGAGCAGGGGGCTATCCAGGCAGTGATGGTCTTGGCGCTTGTGGCGACGGATAGCAATACGATCAAGGCACTGAGTATCATGACGCTCGCAAATTGTCTTGTGGACGTCACCCCTCACTGCTTGCAGTCCCTCGTGGGGCACGGGATCATCTGGGCCCTCTCTTCATTGTGTACAGTCGAGCATCCCGAAGTGAGCTACGTGTGTGCGGTATCTCTGTGTAATTTGTCAGCTCACGCCAACAAAATTCCCAAGTTCCTGGATGCAGGGGCCCCTCGTGCGCTTATTCACCTACTGTCCCACAGTGGCGGGGCGGACGCTGCCGAAGACGCGGCGATTGTGCTCGTGACAGTCAAGACGATCGCAAATCTCGTGGCCAACGAGAAACTGTGCCAGGCGTTCCTCAACGAAGGACTCGAGAAACACTTGAGCGTGCATTTCTCGTCGCCCGAGAGCAGTGAAGAGCTCCGACAGCTAGCTGCGATGGTCCTCCTGCGAGTCACCAGTGCCAATGGCGCCCTGATATCGCCGGATCGACTCAAACTCACCATGTTGCTGTGGATGGAGCAGATCATCGACATGAAAGATGAAGACCTCGTGCGCAACTGTATGCTAACGGTGCACGATCTAACTAGCAACTCGTCGCTGGACGTGGTCGAGCTGGATGTGCCTCATGTGTTGCGGATACTGGTCCAGGTGCTGCAGCGCCACCACACGCGCAACTCGCAGATCGTGACGCTGTGTTTGTCAGTGCTGTACAACTTGTCCTGTCAGCTACCAGCCTTACCGATGATTATACAGTCTGAAATCATGCCGTTCTTACGGCAGCAAGTCCCCATGACCGAGACAACACTGGCAGCGCAGCGACGCAAGGGGAGTACGGGCTCTACGAGTTCAACGCACCCTCCACCGCTGTCATCCGGGACGACTTCAGCCAACGTCCAGTTATGCTGTCTTGTGCTGCATAACCTAAGTTGCTGTCGTGCAGCCGACGATGCAAATGTCCTCGCAGCTCTGGTGTCCTGCCACGCAGTTGCTACGCTGCATGACATCTACTACGGCCCGTTCAACGGTCTGAAAGAACCGGCTGCGGTGGCGATCTGCAACATTGCAGTCGGCAAAGTGAACTCCACTCGCGTTCTCGAAGACCACGCTGGTCGTGTGTTGCTGCACTTTATCCGCAGTGAGCACTTCCTCCCAAAGCACTATCGCTTGGTGGCCGCAACATTGAGGAAGCTGAGTAACGCACCTGGAAACCAGGCGTGCCTGCTCAACGCTCGAATTGCCAACGCGATGGTCTTTATACTGACTCTACCGGACATGGACAGCGAAGCGAACTCCAATATTCTGGCTGCGTTACGCCAATTTTCCAGTTGCAAAGCGCATCTCGCGCGTCTTCTGAACGACGGAGTGCTGCCGTGTGTCGTGAAACTTGCCGATTCGCCCACCGCAACAGCTCAAATGGTGAACTACTGCTTCGAACTCATCTCGAATCTCTGTAGTATTGACTTTCAAGAGTACCTGAAGGACTGTCCGGAGATTAACGTCATCGGTACATTAGCGAAGCTTTCGGACCACCACAAGCAGAGTCACCATCACTCTCATCTCGTACAACAGGCGCATCAGGAGGCGACGACTTCACTGGATTCGTATTGTGCACGAGGGGAAGGCTGCGCGTTGGCGCTCCCCGAGGTCATCACGAACCTCATGAAGAGCGCCACCTTCACAACCGGCGCAGCCAAGAAGACGCTGCAGATTAAGGCCAACTACACTGTTCCTGCTCGGAAGTGGAGTCCACAGGCCCAGCCAAAGCCGAAGGACCCGCCCCCGCTCGTATGCAACGAAATTCCTCCGACGGACAATGGACAAATTGTTTCTCCCGAAGTGAAGCAACGGATTGGCATCTTTTCACCACTACAGAAAGAGATACTGGTGCGCGACGAGAAGAACGACGCCGTGGCTTCTTCTCCTGCCCCTGGTCATGGAAACAAGTCCATTCTGGCTCGGCGCAGTAGTGAAAGAGGTTTTGGCGCTGGAGGTCTGCGGTTGCGATCTAGAAACACGTCGATCGTTGGAGCGAGAAAAGTGCCACTACAACGAGGGCGCGAGTCGCGACATCTTTCTGGCTGGTCTCAACGAGATGGTCAAGGCTAGTTATCATGTATTTGGAACAGGTTTCGTAGCAAACGTCATGTAGTTTCCCGATGACGTCGAATAGCACGAAGCCTCATCGGTATCAATACTTGTGACGACTTCTCTACTTTTTTCACGACTACCCTTGATTGAGTTTGCGGTGCATACCAGGTTCGAGCTCGTTTTTTCGTTTTTTGAATGGGGTTGCTTCAGCTAGACCATTCAGGCTTGCGATTCACAAAGAGTTTCCAAAAGGGAAAAAAACTGCTCTGCGTGGTTTGTGCACGACGAAGCAAGTCCCAGCTCTATCTTGTTTTTTCGTTAAAGGAATCTATTGATCATTGTTTAGCATTTACTCGGATCTAGTTATTATGTAGACTGGAACCTTGATAGGAATTCATAAGAGAGCTGCAGTTTGCCTTACGTCTAGGCCATCAGGAAGGTGAGACCAAATGAAGCGACCAGCGCACCGATTGTCAGCGCAGCGTTTGCGGCACCCCATGTGGTGCTGGCACTCGCCGTCGTGGGGGTTAGAGTCGGAGTTGTGTCATCAGTTGTGCTACTGCCGGTAGCTGACGAGCTGCTACTCGAGGCCTCAGGTACTGTGCCCTTCGCTAGCGTCGGGAAGGCAAACTCATCCTGCACCTTCTCACATCCAGCACTATCGTTCGTGCACACAGTGCAGACCTGGCCGTACAGGTCGCGCTTGCAGCCATGAGTTGCCTCGGCGCACTCCTTGATGTTCTTGTAGCAAGGCGGGTTTTCAGCGACGAGGTCGTCCACAGTCGGAAGAGCGGTCATGTGGCCAATGACTTCGCTACTGATCTGTGTAGACGTCTTCGTTGATAGCAGGGTTTCGTAGGTGTCGAGAAGGGTCTGTGCCCGGGCGGTATTTGCGTCCGTATCCAGAGGGTTATCCCAGAAGTCAATGTTGTCAAGGACTGCACCATCAGTGTTTGTCTTGAACTCAATGCCTCCGTCCAAGCAGAACTCACTGAAGTTGGCGTACGTTCCCGTTTTGGCCGAGTTGGGCATGGCGGTGATGCCGACAACGTCGTCGAGTGGAACGTACCCAAGCACGCGGTAGTTGTACGTGCACGTGATGCCGTCCGGCAGAGTGTTCATGTTGCAGAGACCCTGGCGAGTGCTGGCGCGGCAGGTGGGGGTCTTCGTCAAGCCCCAGGGTTGCAGGGGGCAGCTATTGGGGAACGAATACCACCAGCAGTTCTCGTACGGCGCGCGCGGGTCGGTCGTTTTCTTGCTGACCGCCGATGAACGGCCCAACGTTGGGCACGCCGAGAGTGGCGTCGCCGTTCAGTGACAGACACTCCTCCGACTCGGTGCCATGCACCTGGTTGCACCGATCGCCGTCCATAGCCAAGAAGGGGCCGTACTCGCTCTCGTACTCCGCCAGCGTCTCGTTGGTTTGCGCGAAGACAATGTCGTAGAAGACGACGTACTTAATGTTGTTCTTCCGTTTGCAAGTGCCAGTCTCGTTTCGGACTCGGTAGTCGATGCCTTCAGCTTGGACGTACATCAGTGCGCCTTCGACAGAGGCGGTGTTCACAGTGTCCAGCAACCCGCGGAACTGCTCCTCGGCGGTGTCGTAATACTTGGAGCCGAAGGCGCCCATCGTGTCGTTCGAAAGCGGGGCGTCACTCTGAACTCGAGCGTGCACCATGTGAACGTAGCTCATGTGGTACGCGTCGTCATTTTTGATCGGAGTCAGAGCATCGATCCATTCCGTAGCGCCGGAAGCGGGCGAAAAGGTGACCGCAGCCACGACGATGGGAACGAAGACCTTCATGGTGACACGAGTGGCACGGGGAGGAAGTCTTGATGGAGGAGGGCCTTGAGGCCTGACGGGCCGCGTGGGCTGCTTGAAGGTGCCTGGTTGCTTTGTTGGCTGGGACGCTGTTTGAGTAGTGTGGATGAGAAGCAGCGCTTGAAATCGTACCAGGATGACACAAGCGGCATTTGGCATCATACACCGAGGACGAGGTAGGATGAAGTAGGCTAATTTAGCTTGTCACTGGATCGCAGTGCATTATATGGTTGTAGTTAGACATAGCGATAAGACAAGATCCAGGGTAACACCAAACTCTTGTCTCTAAGCAACAAGATCTGAGTCTATAGCTTGGACTTTGTCCGTCTTCTGCCCTCATGCATGTGCATCACCCTTGAGTTCTGGGCTTCCACCAGCACGCCCAAGGTTGATGCCAGCTTCACCAGTTGATCTACTCAGACAACATGGCAACTGCAGAAGAATAATACTCAAGCTGGTGGTGTGGGGGCGGTCACCTCCTCTCAGTTTCAAAATCGCTCGCTAATCAACGCCATCAAACCTCATCGACTAGGCGCTCTTCGGCCATGAAGATCTACGTCGCGGCCGCCGTCTCGGCCTTAGCTCTGGCTGCCACCAACGCAGCCACCAACTACGACGACCGAGAAGTGTCTTTGACCGCCGAGTTGAACGTCGCCGAGCGTCCGTTTTCGCCTCGCAGTCGTGCCCTGGTCGAGTCCAAGTCCACCAGCTTTGTCAGCTCTCTCAAGAAGAACCCCAACTCCGACAAATATCACACCAAGCCCGTACGCGTGATCCAAGCTCGAGTTCAAAGTGACGCCCCCGTCTGGAACGAGACGACCAAGACCTTCGGCTCCAAGTACTACGAGACCGCCGAGGAGCAGTTCCGCGGCGCGCTTGACACCGTCAACACCGCGTCCGTCGAGGGCGCGCTCATGTACGTGCAGGCCGAAGGCATCAACTACAACACACGCAGTGCCGAAGACCGGTGCTGGCGCAAGAACGGCATGCAGTTCGTCGTCTTCTACGACATCGTCTTCGCGCAGACCAACGAGACGGTGGCTGAGTACGAGTCCGAATACGGCCCGATGTTGCCTATGGACGGCGGCCAGTGCACGCCGCTCTCGGGCACGCACGATTTCTCCGCCGAGTGCATCTCGCTGAACGGCAACGCCAGCGTGCCGGACCTCGGGCCGTTCATCGGCGGTGAGTCCAAGGAGACTGACCCGCGTGCGCCCTACCCGAACTGCTGGTGGTACTCGTTCCCCAACACTTGTCCGTTGGCCAAGTGGGCCAACAAGACCGAGGAGTGCCGCGACACGAGTCGCCAAGGACTCTGCGATATGGACACTCTACCGGACGGTGTCACGTGCACGTACAACTACCGCATCTTGGGCTATGTCCCGATCGACGACGTCGTGGGCATCACCGCCTTGACCAACAAGGCCACGGGCGACAAGTTCGCCAACTTCACCGAGTTCTGCGAGGCCGGCGGCGTCGAGTTCCAGGCCTCCGAGGCGGGCGTCTGGAACGCCAGCATCCCCTTCTGGAAGAACCCGCAGAACGCGACGGCCAACGCCGCGCGCACCGACAAGCTGCTGGCGGCGTACGCGAACCTGCTCAAGACCAACCAGTCGTCGCAGATTGACAGCGCCGTCATCAAGCACATGCAGCCGCTGCCGACCGTGGCCGAGCTCACGGCGGGCAACCCGCCGTGCTACTACAACGTCAAGGACTGCGACTCGGAGTTCGGCTGCAAGCGCGAGCACTACGGACAGATGTGCACGCTCTGCAACAGCTCGGCCACGGGCTGCGTCGCGCCAAGCGAAAACTTCACCTTCCCGACGCTGCAGAAGGCGGCGGCCTCGACGGAGGCCAGCACTGGATCGACGTCGTCGGGCTCGCGGCAGGTTCTGGCTGTTGGTGTAGCGCTGGCTTCGATCGCGCTTTCGATCGTCATGGGCTAGACGTTGACTCACAACACAAAGTGAATCGACCACCGAGGATTTAGGTGGTGGCTGAAGTGGACGTGATGCATGAACTGTTAACCAGCATGAATTCTAAGCTGCAGTCGTTTGCATACTTAAGTCAATGAACGTCTAACCACATCCTGTCGATGTAGCCACATCTTTCCAACGAGCAGAGTGATCGTCAATGACAGCAGGGAAACTTCAACTAAAACCGGCTGGCTCGTCACTTCTGGCATCATCAAAGCAAAGCCTAAAAATGCAGCAAACTTTCTAGAACTTCCTCCCAGACCCAATCTGTACCAGCCTCTCACAGCACCTACTCCACACAAACCGTTGTACTTCTACCTCTTACAATGGATCCTATCCACCTCAATACAAGCCCCTTTCCCCAATGTCGCCATTATCCAATAAGCCCGCCTCCAGCCACAAACGTTCGCCTCGATGCTCGGCGCCTCGCGTCTCGCCGCCGCTGCTGCGCGGCGCTCGGCCGCTCCGCGCGCGCTCTTCCACGGCCTGCCAGGCCTCCCAGCGTCCTCTCTTCTGTCTGCGACGCGCGCGCGGGTCTTCGTGCAGCCGCCGCCGCGCGCGCGATCCCCGACGACGCTGCTGACCTCGTCCGCTGGCCGCCGCTGCAGCTCGTCCGTGCCCAAGGCCGCGGAGGGCGACGCCGCGGCCGCTGAGCCCATGACGCACATGGAGCGGCTCAAGGACCTGTGGCGCAAGTACGGCGTGGTGGCCATCGGCACGTACCTGTCGATGTACGGCGTGGTGCTGGGCTCCATGTACCTGGCCATCGACCAGGGCTGGGTGCGCACCAACAAGCGGACCAACTCCAAGGGGGAGGGCCAGCCCGACGAGAGCTTCAACCTCGTCACCACCACGAACAAGTGGGGGTTGTTTAAGTCTTTTGTAGCATTAGGGAGAAATTGCTGACGATTGTTTTATGTGGTATTATTTATTTTAATTTATTTTTCTAGGTTCGTGAAGTTTGCGGAGGATCTGGGCGTCGCGCAGTACTTGGAGGTGGAGCGCGTGAGCTCCAAGACGGGCACGTTCCTGCTGGCGTGGATCGCGACCAAGTTCACCGAGCCGGTGCGGCTGGCGGTGACGCTCGCCATCACGCCGCGGATCGCGCGGCTCCTGGGCCGCGCGCCCAAGCTGCCGCCCAAGGCGCCGCGCTCGATTTTGATGAGGAAGCAACAGGCGCCGAAGGAACAGCCAAAGGCGTAAACCAACGAGAGAAAAATCAACACACACACGCACAGACACACACAGAGCCATGCAGCAGATTGCACTTTTCGACGAGCTGGATGGGATGGGGGGTGGCGTGGCGTGACTTGTGCTAGACGACAGATGGAACAGGGGTCGACGGAAGGAGCAGATTCCTGAGTTTTATACCAAGGTAACGAGGTGCATATTCGACACTGTGCCCTTCAGTTTGGTTGATTTACTTCAGGATCAGCGCGGCTGGTATTTTGCAGCTAGTCATTTCGCACCTGGAGTCGTCAGCTTCAACGAGGCCGATTCAGTCTGGAGGTGAAAATAGCGACCGCAGTGCGACCTTTGGCTGGAATTCGGATCACTTGCCTGGATCGTCGAGCAGACTCCGCCGTAGGTTCAACGCGAGCGGAAGCGCAAACGCATGTTCGATCTCTCTGCCTGGCTTGCTTAACTGTGGGTGGTTTGTGCACAGGATGCGGCTCGGCTTAACCACCGCCACTCGCCGACACAGATCCCAGCCGCTTGTCTGATTCGTCAGGACTAGCACCAGGACAGATCCAAGCAGGCGTCCGTCGCCATGGCCGACGCTCCTCCTCCGTACGTCTGCTCGCTGCTGCCTCATTACTTTGGGAGCTAATCTGTGGGTGTTTCAATGTCATGAATGCAGTCGCGGCCCACCGCCGAGAGGCCCACCACCTCAGCAACCACCAATCTATCCGCAGGCTCGAGGGCCCGGCACAGGATTCGCGCCCCCGAGGGGCCCGCCACCTGGTAATATTGTCGCTCTTGTTCTTGAGATGCAGCAAGGCCAGTTGAGAATTGGTTGACGACCAAAGAGGCTAACGTGGATATGTGTATGCAAAAGGTGCTCCGCCAACAGCGCCGAGGGCGCCGCCGCCGGGTAAGAACTTGAGAAGGATGAAGGGTAGTTTAGGTGGATATTGGTAGTCAACGATAGACTGACTTAGGTGTGCATTTGCAAAAGGTGCGCCCCCAGGCCGAGGCCCGTCATCGGGTAATAATTCGCTGCTCTCGAGACGCAGCAAGGCCAGTTGATAATTTGTTGTCAACGAGAGCAGCTAACTTTGGTATATGCGGTAGGTGCTCCGCCGGGACGGCCTATGGCTCCGGGAATCGCGCCCAGCGCTCCTGCGGGATTTCCACCGCCTAGAGGATTGCCCCCAGGTAATGAAGGCGCTGGAGATGCAGCAATGATTGACAACAAGCGAGGCTAACGTGGATATGTGCACGCGTTAGGAACGCCGCCGGGGAGGGGCCCGCCGCCCGGGCGACCGCCAATGGGGTCTCCTCCCCCAACTGCGGGGGCTCAAGTACCGATAGCTGCTATGCCAGGTACGAACTCATGTTTATTTTTTTGTTCATTTTTTTTACTGCCTCACACTTGGCGCTTACTGACGTTGTGCTGCTACGTTCTTGCAAGGCGGACCACCTCGTGCCCCTCCACCTGCAGGAATGCCTCCAAACGCGATGCCAGGTACGTGCCACCTTGTTTGTTGCTACTGTCATGAATGACGATCTCAATGCTATGTTGTCGATTTAAGGTTCGCCACCTCGAGCCCCTCCGCCTGCAGGAATGCCTCCAAACGCAATGCCAGGTACGCTTTCACATTGGTTCTGTGCTATGAATGACGATCTCAATACTATGTTGTCATATTGCTATCTTAGGTGGACAACCTCGAGCCCCTCTGCCCCCTGGAATGCCTCCAAACGCGATGCCAGGTACGTGCCACCTTGTTTGTTGCTACTGTTATGAATGACGATCTCAATGCTATGTTGTCGATTTAAGGTTCGCCACCTCGAGCCCCTCCGCCTGCAGGAATGCCTCCAAACGCAATGCTAGGTACGCTTTCACATTGGTTCTGTGCTATGAATGACGATCTCAATACTATGTTGTCATATTGCTATCTTAGGTGGACAACCTCGAGCCCCTCTGCCCCCTGGAATGCCCCCAAACGCACCGCCAGGTACGCCCCACCTTGTTTTTTTCTTGCTGCAATCGTGAATGACGACGATATTTCTCTACTGTTTCGACAGGCGGGCCACCCAGGGGCCCACCGCCCGCAGGAATGCCTCCAAACGCAATGCCAGGTACGAGCTCACTTCAACTTGTTTTGCTGCAATCGTGAATGACGACGATATTTCTCTACTTTTTGATCAGGCGGGCCACCCAGGGGCCCCCCGCCATCGGGATTTCCTCCTCCGGGTTTCAGGGGGCCTCCGCCTCAAGCCCCGAGATCTCCTCCTTCGGGTTTCAGAGGACCCCCGCCGCAAGCACCAGGGTCTCCGCCTTTGGGTTTCCGGGGACCTCCGCCGCAGGCACCAGGGATGCCTCCAAGACCGGGAATGTCTCCAATGATGCCGTCGGCAGGTATGACGATGCGCGGCCCACCACCCGGAATGTCGCCTGGGTCGGCAATGGCCAGCTTGCCGCCGCCGCGCGGCCCGCCTGGCGCTCCGGTGATGCCGCCGCCACGAGCTCCGCCAGGACCCGGCTCGGCTCCGCCGACCGAGGTTTTGCCAGGTGCGATTTCGGAGCCCACAGAAGGTATGGTGGCAACAGTCTACTGCTTTCACAGATTTTTTTTCTTTCATGGGAGTGCTGAACTAACTATTACCTCTTCTATTTTCCCCCCCATCGTAGACGGCTCTGCTGCACCCGTACGCGGGCCCCCTGGCCTTCCGCCTCCGAGAGGCCTGCCGCCCGGCATGATGCCGCGTGGGCCGCCGCCGCGTGGGCCTTCCATTGGAGGTTTCCCGGCACCTGGAGCGGCTCCTACACCACCCGCTGGGGGCGCGTTCGCTTCTCGATTCGGCAAGCTCGCAGTCAAGGTTTTGCGCGCATTCGATCTGAAAAAGCTGGGCATGATGGACACGGCGGATCCGTACGTGAAGCTCACGATTGGCGCGCAGAATGTGCAGACCAAGGTGCAGGAAGGTGGTGGCAAAACGCCGGAGTTCAACGAGAGTTTCGACTTCAATATCGCCACTGAGAAAGAGCTGGTTGTGGAGGTTTGGGACCGAGAGAAGGGTGGCCAGGACAGATTTATGGCGCAGGCCAAGGTGGATATTGTGACGTGGCTTGCCAAGGGCGGCTTCGAAGGCGATATCGAGTTGCAAGATCGTGAGGGTACCGCTGCCGGAAAGCTGGCCATAGTAGCCAAGTTTACCAAGCCCGAGGCTGGAGCTGCAGGTCCTGTGAAAGCCCCGCCCATGGCGCCTCCAATACTTTCAGGCCCAGCCGTTGCGCCGTTGCCACCAGGTGCAAATGCCATATCCGTTCCGGGAGTTGCACCTGTGGCACCATCAGAGCCGCCTCGAGATCCGAATGGCAAGTTTACGGACAAGGAGATTTTGGAGGCATTCCAGGCCTTCGATCTTGACCACAACAACTATGTGGGTGCTGCGGAGATCCGCCACGTGCTGATTAACATTGGAGAAGCTCCCACGGACGAAGAAGTGGACGAGATGATCAAGATGGTGGACAAGGACGGTGATGGCCAGGTAAGCTTTGACGAGTTTTACGCAATGGTGACAAAAGGAAAGCAGCCACCGCCCGGACTGGGCGTCGTCGCAACATCGCCAGAAAAAGCTGGAGCCGCGGGCCCTGGAGGTGCAGCTACCGGTGCTCAGGCCATCCAGCTGCGTAACCAGCGCAAGGTGGCGCTGGAAGAGTTCGCGCGTGATAACGGCATCAAACCCGAAAGCGTAAAGAAGGCGTACAAGCGTTTCCAAGCTACAGACAAGGATGGATCTGGGCAGATCGACTACTCGGAGTTCTGCGAGGTGTTGCAGGTGGACCCGTCGCCACAGTGCGAGAAGGTGTTCCAGCTCTTCGACAACGAAAAGACCGGCCGGATCGACGTGCGGGAGTTCATGATCGCGCTGTCCAACTTCACCGGCGCCGAGAAGGAGGAGAAGCTCAAGTTCGCGTTCCTCGTTTTCGACGAGGACGGCAACGGCGTGATCACGCGGCAGGAGCTCATAAAGATCCTCAAGGCCAACCACATGGCGTCCAGTGAAGCGGAGGTTTCGCGCAAGGCGGACACTATTATGTCCCAGGGCGACAAGGACGGCGATGGCGTCATCTCCTTCGACGAGTTCTCGGTTGTAAGCAAGAAGTTCCCCAATATTTTATTCCCAGCCTACACCCTCGGCACAACGAAGGACTAGGCCGCTGTGAATATAATGAATCTACTTCACTCGTTAACTTTCAGGCTATTATTTCATGTTGTACTTCATTAGACATACGCCCTCAAGCGTAAACTTCCGTGGGAATGATGTAGATCCAGCACTCATGAGATTCAATGACCATTGCTTCAACAGGTTACCAGCCAAAAATTAGTTTTTGCGCGCACAAATACTCGACACAGCTGAAGGCTCGCTACCAACAAGCATCTCCGCTTTCCAGTCGTTCCGGGCTGAAGCAGCCTACCATCGCTAGAATTGTGTCATGGTCCGGCGCATCGTGGAGATTAAATCTCTCGCAGACAGCGGCGTCAGGACCTACGATCACAAATGCGCGCTTCATGTCCTTCAGTGATGGGTTTTTATCCATCTCTTCATCCAGCTTGCGCAGCCTCTCTCCCTTGAGTCTTTTCTCGCTTCGAGTCGTCACTTGAATGTAAGCCACGATTGTCTCGGAATTTCCACCTCCACTTGGGAACGCCTCACACGTCGTCACTGCGTCAATGAAAGGGAAAAACTGGTAGTTCGGGTACCAGTAGGTATCCTTTCCAAGTGTGGACAACCAAGGGTCACCACTGCAAACGACGTTGGGGGCCCGAATCTCGATTTTCTCGTACTTTGACCCTTCCCGCATCTTCAGCAAAATCGGTTTACGCTTTGCGAACGCACCTCGAGCTGCGCTACGAAGCAAGAGTTTGTATGCGACGCCTTGAAAGGCGGCACCGACCGATTTGGCGTACTCGTAAACCTCAAGGTGCTCGTCCATGCCAGCATTCCGCCCCAATTCGCTCAGTACATATCCCGAATCCACAAAAATTTTCCACCATCTTGAGTCCTGGTAATGATCTTCCTTGTGGCAGTCCCTGATGTAGTGACGCCGCAGTTGATCCACTTGGCTCTCGTTTTGAACCCCACCATAGTTGTACACCAAAGCAAACGCTTTGGCTTTATCCACGGAATGACAATCTCTCGCGACTTGCGACTTCAGCTTTTCCCGCTCCTTACAGAACTCGCGCAGACTCCCGCCACTGCTTCTTCACAAGTTTTGACAAAGTTGAGTCTTTCAACCGCAAGCCAGGTTTAATCGCCCATTCAGTTGACTTGGCGTACTGCAGCAGGTCAGCCTCGCGCCACGCCGGCAAAACCACAATGCGTGCACTGTCGTTCGGTTTCGCCCGACAGTGCACGCATTGTGGTTTGGCAACTGGCACGACGTTCCAAGGAACTTGAACGGCCCATACCCATTGCCTAGATCCTCTACGTGTTCTTGGGTAAAACCATCAACAAAAACTATCGCGCCCTTAGTTTGGCGGCGGATGGCAAACAGATCAGCCGGTGAGAGATTCGTCAGTCGAGCGTACGATCCCTGTCCATCAAGAAACACCGCCGCGTTGCCCGCACTTTCATCTTTCAAGCGACGTATCACAAGCACCTTCTTCTTCTTGATGCACGCCAGATAGAACGCAAGCAGCATGAGAAAGCAGGACTTCCCGGCTCCCGGTGAGCCTAGAATCACAACGCGACCCCTAACAAACACCAGTTTTTTGATCACCCTCCAGAACACCACTTCCACTTCCGTCCGAACGAAATAGTGCGAGGGAAACTCGCCAAACCCCTTCCAAAACTCGTGCAAGCCAGGTGTCTCGATAATTGGGCTGTCGCCTGGTTGCGTCGCAGATAAGTCGTCGAGCTGAAACTCTTTCTCACTTACATATAAATTCTTGAAGTCACTCAGAGTCTTCGGCACGATAATGGGCAAAATCGCTCCGATAGCTGCCAGCTTGCTTTCCATGATTCCCACTCTTTTCAGGGCGTCACTAACACGTTCATCTTCTGCTGGTCGCTTGAATTCAACCTTGGAAGCCGCCACCAGCACGTGAATCGATCCGTCGGGGATTGTCCTGGGAAACTTCGACCAGATCTCGTCTGTCGTATATAATTGTGTCTTCATATAGCGGCTCTCAACTTCATCGTAGATCTGGCCCTTTTGCATCCGAAGCAGATCCTTGCACTGCAGCCACACCCCATTCGCGTCCTTCGCCAGGAAGGGCTGCAACTTGTCAACTCGGCCGGCATAGTGTGCGAGTTTAGCGAACTGGATGACCAAGTCTCCAACTGTCTCATCCTCGCCGATCTCCACAAGGATCGCGTGCCCTGCTCACCAACAAACGCACACAAGAGCTTCATTTTCCGGTGGATTCTGGAGTGACGGACGCATTTTACTTAACGGAAATTACCGAATAATATCCCGGGCACTATTTATTAGTACCCTCCCATTTTCAAAACAAATAAGCTAAATTATGGATATTATACAGTATTTCATTTAAAAATATGCTTTCCACAATAAATTCATAAAAATATACTTGATCTTTGTATGGAAGTAACATTGTAACCCTGGGATACACATTGGGTTACGTTTTAGAGGGTACTATACGGGTAAGGGGTATTATTCGGGAATTTACGTTAGTATATCGTAAATAGTCAAAAGAATCGTCAAGTCAGATCTTTTCAATCTACTCTACATATGAAACAATTGGCGGGAACCCGGGTACCCATCGGGACCCCAAAACTACCAGTACACATGTATGAGCAAATGTATTGAAGTGTTGGCCTATGACCTACATAGAACGCAGCTAAAGCTCAGTAGGGGGAACGGAAGGTTAATTCACCTTCGCCCTCGTCCTGTGTCTCTCCACGAAAATCCAGACGCTTGCCTGGTAGTGCTTCCCGGTCTCATCGCTATCCTCCTGCTCATGAAAGATAAACTTGGACATGGTAAGGTATGTTATTTGGGTCTATTCAGTACCGGTGGCATATTTTGAGGGTAGTCCTTCATCGACAGCACTTAGGTATGAGGGTTTAACTTGCCCCAATATGGAGGCCAAAAATTAAATAAATAATTCGCGATTTGGTATCATTTGCGGGAACCGGGGTTCCCGCCAATTGTTTCATATTTCGAACTATGAACGACGCTCTCCAAACTTATTGAACCATCTTCTTATTGTTTCCTAAAAAGAAATTCAAATTCGCGACGAGGACGGCAATGGCTATAACACAGCAAAGAGATCGAGATGATCAAAATGGTGGATAGTCATGTGAGCTTACACGACATTCTACGCAATAGCGACGAAAGCAAATTAATCCGCATTACTGTATACTAAGTATAGTTGCATTCCAGTCGAGTTGTGTTAGCATTCGACATTAGTCCTTCTTCGTAGACTTTCCAGAGTATGACATCAAGGTGGCTCCCATCACAACACTGACGAGGATTCCCGCCGTGTGTCCGATCAATGCTCCATACACGCAAGTCAATGGCCATTGCTGCAACATTAATCCAGTCAACAAATTAGCCATCGGAGCTCACGAAAATGTTTTCGCATCAGAGAAGGACGTCTGATTCACCTGCCACGGTCGATCCCAGTCCAGCGGAATGGGGAGAGCACCAACATACGCCCCCAGCATTGCACCAATGGACGAGCACACAAGATACAGCTCCAGCGCGTTGCCCACACTAAAAACCATTGCATTAGTTTAGAAACCAGCACCACTCCTTTACACTTTCCGAGCGTACCTGAGCTCCAGCAGCAGGTCGAGCCACTTCCGTGGCGCACACCCCAAATGCAGCGCCAATGGCATCGTCACACAACTCGACAGCAGCACAGCCAACAGCAGCGTCTGCATCCACAGACTAGCACGCAACAACAGCAGTGAATAATAGGTCCCGACCTACAAGAGCTCAAGACTCGCACGTACTCAACCACAGGGGCTCCGAACAGGACGACGATCACGTGGAACACCGCCGAGCCCAGCACCAGCCCCACAATCCCTCGGCCAATTTGGTTGACGATCTTCTGGTCTGGAGAGCGGAGAATCAGCAGGTCCAAAGCCAATAAAGCCCCCACGATGGCAGCGACCACAGGCACGAGGCCGCGCAGAACGTCATCCTCCAGGTGCTGGCCGAACCTACAGTATCATAACCTCTCGTTAGGTTTTGTACGAAGGGTAAGAGCTCCGTGGTCTTTACGCACAGGAGCACAGGGAGGTAGCGAGCCACCGCGGCGGGCAGCACGAGCTGCAGAGCCTTGGGGGCGAGCTCCATGGCGATACAAAGAGACGATTGATGATGAAGGCTCAGTGTCATGGTGCTGATATCCTAAGGTGTTTATGAGGTGAGACGATTTAATTGGCTGAATGATGTATGGATGCATTGTGATTCGCTTAAAAATAGTGAAAGGTTAGGATATCTGCATCTTGTGTGGGACTTACCGTCGTCGGCTCACTGACACCAGCACACGCCACCCCCACGATGGCGCTTACCAACGAGAAGCGCTGGCCCGCAGGTTTTAGGCCCCTGAACGGAGATGCAATGGAGGAGAAAGCGCCTGCGATGGCTGCGTGGCCCACCAGCCTCGCTGCCAACTTCTCCAGACTGCCACAGGAGCCAGGAGTCAAGATGGTACCGTCGTCTCCTTCTTCCAATGAATGAATGGAACACAGTACCGTACTTAGTCTCATTCTCTTCTTCTTTTTGGCACTTCTAGATCGTGACACCTAAAGCCTATTACGCTACGCATGATACCATGCCTCCACCACACCAATGTTTGACACTGTACTATTGGCATTCCTCATATTTTGAACTTGAGCACTAACAAGAGTGGAATTTATTTATTTTCTATTTCACTGTCCAGTGATCGTGATGGCGCCTACCCATAGCGTGATGAGGGAGCAGTACCAAGCTGCAGACCAGAAAGTGAGTGTCAGGCGGCACCACGTCTTATTTTTTATTTTCTCCATTGCTTATTCGCAATTGGTGGCTGTGCAGGTTGCAGGCAAGAGGGGGAACGACCAGAGTACCACAAGTCCTCGGCCGCCGAAGCAGTATCGGCCTTGTCAGTGATGTAGTCAATTCGAGGCTGCTGTGACTGGAACAGTGTTTATGAACAAAGGGATCGGGGGAAGACGCAAGCGAACCAGTAATTTATAGACGGTTATCAACATTGAAGACGCTGAATGGACTTTAATGCACTTTTACGGTGGACAACGATGACAGCTTTGTGGTTCTCCAGGGAATTTAGTCGTCAAAATCGCAGAGTGAGTCCATCGCTTGTGGAGAGAGGAGAGTGTCGGTCCAATTAAGCAGCTTGTTTACCTCGTCCTCGTCAACGGACTCGTCCAGATCGACATCACCCGCGTTGGAGCTGGCAGGTGACGCGACAGTAGCTCGCTGGGGTGACTCTGCCACCGTCGGCGCTTCAGTCGATACACTCAGTTGGTTAATTGGGGGCAATGTCAGAGGATACGACTCCTTGGTTCGGGCATCTCCGCTAAGAAGGACTGAAGCACTAGCGGGTACCGCCGAGTGGATGGCGGGCAATCTCGTCACAATTCTACCTCCTCCAGCTTCTTTCGTCTCTGAGCCAGCTGCTTCCGCCGTTGCAGAATTAACTTGTCCTCCTGCGTCATTGTTGCCAGCTTGTTTAATCCACTTCGCGAACATTTTCTTGCGCTTTTGAACCTGCTCCAGCGACGTTAATGGAGCTTTCTTGCCTTTCTTCTTCGGTTTGGGAACAGGTGGATTCGGTGCACCTCTCGCCGATCTCTCCTCGTGCGTCTCCTGGTTGCTCTCTCCTCGCGTCTTCGAATGTCGGTGTGCAACATCCCCACTCTCCCTGCTGCCGCTGCAGCTTGTCCTCGTCCGCACCGACGCACTCGAGGCATTCGACCGCGCTGACGCCGGTCGACTGGAGCACCGACTGCCAACCTCCGATCTCGCACCACTCCTCACGCCGACATTTGTCCTGGACTTGGCAGCTAGCAACAGTGAAGGCAGCTTCGCAACCAGCGGCTGCATGAGCTCTCGAATGCGATCATCGTCTCCAGCAGGCAGCTGGCCGCGCAGTTGGGCCTCCCATTCACGCCGCAGCCTCTGGATCGCATCGTCCTGGATCTTGGCCAGCCGATACTCCTGCCACGGCCCAATGTACATGGCTTCCCCCTCCCCACCGAGGAGCAGTGCAGCAGTGACTTCCTTCGCGTCGCTTCATCATGCTATCAATACACTTGCTAATCATAACGCCGGCGCAATCGTACTTAGTCGGTCCCGCACGACCACATAGACCCGGCAGTGTTGTGTTGGGTGTCGGGAAGGTCATTGCAATCAATTGACGTGAGGCCAGAAGCTCGAGCTTGAGACCATGGGCCTGGTGCGCGTGCTGAAGGACAAGGCGCCGGTGCTGGTGCTCACCAGCCTCTGCGCGGGCGCGGCGTACGCGGTGTACTACGCGCACCACCAGCAGATCGCTGAGAAGAAGGTGCGTGTCATTGCCAGAGCATCCGTTCGTCCGGTGGTGCACCAGTGTCGATCTAAGTTTCCTTCTTGCTGCAGGTCATGCGCCAAGGGGTGATCAACGACATCAGACGCGACCGCCTCAGGCAGAGGGAGATGCAGCAGCAACAGCAACAGCAACAGCAGTAGGCGTAACGTGTCGGCAGCAAATGATGAACCAGTTGAGTTGAGTGTCGATAAACGCTGCACATTACTGGTGCTGAAGTCACTGCACGCCGCCTTCGCCCTGTATTGCAGCTTGGATGGCTGCTAACACACTTTCACACCGCTCGCGGTCAATGTAGTCGTACTTGAGCAGCATTTCGTCCGCCCAGTACCTCAAAAAGGCGTCCATCTCCTCTGTAGAAGCTTCCTCCTGCACAGCGGACTCTGTCGTTCCATCGGAGACTTCATCGGTGTTTGTTGAGAAGTTTTCGTGAAACACTTCCGTACTGCGTTGAACAAACAACTGCGACTCAGCTTCAAAGTCTGCAGGGATCTTGCACGCGTAGCAACATACCAGCAGCTCCAGTGGGTACTGCAACAGGCAGAAGACTTGAGCGGCACTGCAGGCGCGGAGCTGCGGTCGCGATAAAAATTGCCCTAGCTCAGTGAAGAACGGCTCCAGTTCCTGTGTACGGATGAAGTGCGCGAAATCTGACGAGGCTGACAACTCCACAAGCTCCAAGGTCGTCAACGTGCTGACAACTAACTCGGTTGCTTGGTCGATGCTCGCTGGGTTTTCACTTGTGTGATGGTCCACTGCGAGGTTAATAGCAGCAAAGACCAACTGCCAAATGGACGTCGAAACTTGACTCTTTCCGCATGGCGATTGACTGCGATATGGAGTCAACCCGAGCCGACGGAACAAAGCCACTTGAGAAGGCAGCAATGCAAGGAGCTGTTGTTCTTCCTGGCTTCGAACGATATTGGAAGAGACCCAGGTGCTCAGCCACGCTTCCAGAAGACTGCACGCATCGTCTTCAAACTGCAAGCGCAAGTACAGGTCCGTCACGTAGCTCGTAAACGTGCGCTCCCAACGCCTCATCGTAGCAGAAGGCTCCTCCAAGAATGACTGCGAGTAAACCAGCGCCCCTGATAACCAATGCGAAAAGGGAAGGAAGAGCTGGATTGGAGACTCCACGGCGACCGCTTTTGCTTCCGTCGCAGTCACCGAAAGAATCATCCGCAACGACCTCGCGGTTTTCTCATCGATAATGCGTTCTAAAGACGATCGAGCGTCATTCTCCTCATCAATGATCAGCCACGCACACTTCGACTTGTTCACCACACTCAGGATCGCGTCATACTGCCCGGTGGTAGTGGCTCCAGCACCCTTAAAAGTTTTACTGGGGGCAATGACGAGCAAGTTCAGCACTTTGTGTGCAATCGCCCGCAATCGATCGTAAATCTCGCCACCTGGATCCTCGTAGGCCCCAGCACTTCGGCTTGAACACGCAACCAGAGCTGTATTCAGAAGTGCGGCTATCCAGAAACCTTGTTGGAGAGCTTGTTGGGCTTCACTCTGTGTCAATTCCTCCAAGCACGCAAGCAATGCATTCACTCGCTGAGAGCCGCCAGACATGTCTGTCTTCAGAATGTACTCGAAGAAATAAGGGAACCAAACCACAGCAGCCTGGTCGCCAAAGAGCACCGGAGACCACGAAATGCCTCCACCATAAACACAGGCAGACATTGCCAGCAGTTTCAGCGCGTTCTCCTGATAAATGACGGATTTTGCGAGTCTTGCGTAGTCCTTCACTCGAGCGTCATCGTCGTCTTCGTACTCAATGTGGTTTGCACCTGTAGCTGAGAACTCCAATCCCCGCAGTGGTGAACTCAAGGTCGCCACCGCAGCTTCTGGCAGCAAAATCCTCGCATTCTTTTCGGCAGCTTTCGCGAGATGGTTAAACGCATCTGCCGATCGACACTTTACCATCGCCTTGGTCAGTAACGTCGTAAGCGCCTCGAGGTCTGGAAACGCAGCAGCCGACAGATACAGGTGCAGGGCCATCTCAACTCGAACCGCAGCCGGCAACGACGATGCTGATGAGCCGAAGGACTTTTGCTCTACGGCGCTGCTCGTCTTCCCAGCTTCTTTTACAAACACCCTCAAAGCGGCAATTAAATGAGAATCGAGCGGAGTCATGAGCAAGAGCCGCATACTATCAAAGTCGTCAGGGAACCATCGAATGAGTCTGGTACAAAGCACAGCTAATTCCATTCGTGACTCCCTCCCAGCGAAGGCTGCACCGTGCATCTCCACAAACGAAAACCACCTCTCCAGTTGCTGCCTCAATTCGCTCAGAGTTCCGACGACATCTTTGACTTGGCTCATCAGCTGACGTGTCTGCGCTAAATCGGCAAACTTGACAGCTCGAAGAAGACGTTGAAGGACATCGCTAGAGTGCGATACAAGTTGCTTGTCGGTTGTTTCAAGCGGTCCTGATATCGAGCTCTTCACACTCTCTGCTCCTTCTTTGAGTGCAGATACGACTTTGTACAGAAGCCCCTCCAGCGAAGGCGGGCAGTTGGTCCCATTCTGCAACACCTCTGCGGCGAACGTCAGCGCTTCACTTGTTTCCTTGTGCACGACATCATCTCTACCGTAACAGTCGAGAAGCTCCGAGACCATATCCAACTCAATCATAGCACGGATACCCCACTTGTTGGTTCTTGTCGGAGGCTCCTTCGTATGCGAGCTTTGGTAGGCATCCCATGCCCGACAGAAGCCCATCAACTGCACGAGATACAGCGGTGTAGGTTCGCTCTCTTTTAAGACGATGTTGACAGCATGTATGAGCCTCAAAAACTGCTGTTGGCCAGTCTTTTGTTGTGACCGGGAGTTGGACTTCATGGAAGTGACCAAGGCTGGAAAAAGTAAACTTCTTACGCCTCGCTGATGGGCCCCTTCTGTACCTCGCAAACTAGTATTTCCACGCAACAACTCCGCAATCAGACCAGCAATCCAATCGTCTCCGAAAGTTGCCATCATTACCGAAAACCCTCGACGAACTGTAGAACGATCACTCTCCTCGCCTATTAGCTGCAGTTTCATCGTACCTCCACTTGATATCGTCTCTCCACCACTCGCAACGACTCCATGCATGATGGCTAGACAGTAATTCTGCAAAGTTGCTGAGAAATGGTCACCATAACGCGTAACCATTCGTACCTTGCTCTCCATACCAACTAGGCATTGCTCAAGATTGAGCAACCAGTTAATTCCATCTTGATTCGAATCGTTCGGTGACATTTCCTCACAACTTTGTATCATGAACGCGTCCCAATCTTCAGAGTAACTATCAATCTGCTGGTGCCCGGGGGTTGACTGTGAAAAAATCTCATACAACGCGGAGAGAAGTTCCAACGGCGGTACTCCAGTCGATACATCCAGCTTGCCCGGTGAAAGTGGCGTTTTCAGTAGCGCGCTTAAATATGAGCGCAGGATATGCTTTGCAGATGATGCACCTGAACCGATAGGAACTGTCACTCGAGAAATGCCACCACTATCACGAATTTGCGAAGCACGCCATACGCGGGCAAATGCAGTAATGATACCAGACACGCCAATACGTAATGACCGAATCGCTTCCACCACAACTCGATATCCTGGAAAATAAGCAACGTATTTCTGCTTTGGCAACACGATACTAGAGAAAGCATCAGCCTTCGAGCAATGACGAATCACATCAGGCAATGTAACTTGCTTCTCGTTCGCCATGCTCCTGGCTTCTCGTTCCCAAACTTTCTTCCACATGACCTGAGCGGCACTAAATTCACCTGCAATTGAGCCAACGACACTCTGCACAATGCGTTCATAGCCTGAAATCGAGAGCGAAGGTTCTCTACCTTTCTCAACCTTGACTGAAATCTCGGCTCTCTTCCTCCTCCGACCTGGTATTTCACTCGACAACCCAGCGACAGGCAGCGAGTCCCAAAACGCCGACAGAGCCGCCATCGCTTCATTTGTCGCATAACTCTCTCCACTCTTCTCCAACGTCTTCGTGACTCGGTGTGTACACTCAACTAGGAAATCCCATCCTCCACTCTCGGACCTCAGCGACTCGGCAGTCGCTCCATCTCGACAAAACCCACACAACTTCTCCTCCTTCTCTGCTGTATCCACGTCCTTCCTGTCCCCAGGCCTCGTCCTCACTCTCTTGGACGAAGGCTCCTTGGAGCCACCGGTGGCTGTGGCCTCCCGGGCCTCCTCTAGTACCTTCTCGCAGACCTCTTTGATCCAGCTCTGCTCTGCCGTCTCCAGCGCCCTCTTCTCCACACGCTGCAGTGCAAAACCCAGCAGAAGCATCCGCAGCCTCAGCGGCAACAGCCTCCCACCAATAACGCGACGCAGGACGTCGAGCGTCTCCGTCGTCACCAAAATGTTCACAATTTCTGCTTCACTGAGCGTCAGCAGCCCGCACTGGGCCAATTTTTGGCCTAGAGACGCCACGCAGACTGCTCTGAAGTCCTCAGCATTGCCGCTTTGCTGTAGGATGCTGCGTTTCTTCCTCTTGCGAGGCGTTTGCGGCTGTTTCTCCACTTCCACGGCCACGAGGCAGAACTGCGTCAATACGTGGCGCTTGAGCACCGGGAAACGCTGCAGGTAGCGCCAATCTGGAGGCGGAGCGTACTGGAGCATGCACTCGCACAGAGGGTGGGCGGAAGAGGCGGCTAGGGCGGCTCCAGGCTCCGCGAAGAGCGCGCGCACGCCGCGGTCTAGAGCTGCCAGCGCCGCATCCATCGTGTCAAGATAACGGGAATGTTGCTGGAAGGTTGTACGAAAATGTTGCGGGAAGGTAACGTAGCAAGTTGAAGTGATTAGGAGTGATTGTCAAGTTGAAGGTGGGAAGGAGTGGTGGTCGATAGGCGTATCTTGTCTTGTGCTGCTTGGACTGCCACCTTCAACGTCGCGTCTGCTTCGTGTGCGGATAAACGCGCTGGACCGAATGAGCGCTGAGCGGTGAGAAGCTTTTCGCCCTGGTCACCCACAACGCATTCCTGCGCCTGGAGCTCAAGCGGACAGAGGATGAATCGGCAGGACGCAGACAACGAGACGGTGATGGCTCCCAGCGTCGCGCAGGGCCTCACCGTCGACCGGAGCTTGCTGTTAGCTGCCGCTGGGCGAGCGCCGTTCGATGTGGCGTACGTGCTGATGAAGCAACGAGCCGTGGTCCGAGGTGATGAAGGCAAGGATGGAGACGCGTCGTCGAGAGCAGCGCTCTCAGTCACGTGGTCGCTCCAGAACCAAGCAAACATCCGTGGCAAGTGGAACATCGTCTGAGGCTTCGCATCAAGAGCGATGACTACAGAGATCAACGTAAAGAGGAACGCCACGCGTGACGAAAATGAAAACATATCTAGATGTCTTAGCCTAAGCACGCGACAAATCTCATCTTAACCAACCCGTTTCTAGGCGCGCTGAGGCCGCACGCGCCGCTGCAACCGCTCAAAAACGGTATCGAGGTTGGCAGCGAAGCGGTCGCCCATCCCATCAAACTAAGAACAGCACTGTATGAGGTCTTGCTTCCCTTTCTTCTGTCTTCGTCTTCGACAAAGCGTAGCGCTCGATGCGTCGGGGTAGCTAGCAGCACGATGACCTCAGCGAGTCAGCCAGAAGCCGTGCTCACTTAATACTGGTAACCACTGTTGCCGTACGGGTTGCTGCCCATGCTGCTCTGACTGCTAGCGTACGGGTTCTGCTGCATGCCGCCCATGCCCATGTTCGGCTGCATTCCCATGCCCATGCCCATGTTGGGGTTCATGCCCATGCCGTACCCTGCCGAGGGGTCGTTGTAAGCGGTGGGGGCGATGGCAAGCATCGGCTGCATGCCACCCATGCCGTAGGCCGGGTCGAGCGTCTGCGCGTCCGTCTCGGGCTCCTGCGTCACCTGCGTGCGCTCGTCCAAGACCTTCACCTTGTCGCTCAGGTTCTTGACGAACTGGATCATGTAGGGCATGACGAAGTCAGTGTAGCCGTGGCGCCACGCGAGCTCCAGAGCAACATCAGGCTTGATCAGCTTGTAGCACGTGAACAGGGTGGCGCAGAAGCACTCCTTGTCGTGCACAGACACGAAGAATCGAAGGATGTCCTCGGCAAGCTCCGGGTCCTCGGAGTCGCTGGCGCAGTCGATGCAGTCCTTGTACATCTTGTCGGCCTTCGACAGCTTCACGGACTGCGGGTAGCGCTTGTTCTTACGGTACAGGTAGGCAGCAATACGGCGGAACTCAAGCAGCTCGTGCTTCTCGAGCTTCTGAGCCAGCGAGATCTGGTCAAAGTTCTCGTACGCGTCCACAGAGTCGCGGAGGGCCTGGTAGTCCTCGTCGTCGACCAGGATCTCGTTCAGCGCCTCGTTCACAGCCGACAGGTTCTCCTTCTGCACGTCCTTCAGGTACTCCACCACAAGCGGCAGGTTCTTCGACTTGCGCAGCTGGTGGACAACGCGAGCGTGGTCCAGGTTGGGGGTCAGCACTTGCAGGAGACGCGTCAGCTCAAGCGGGTGTTGCTCCAGGTAGAAGTTGATCGCCTTGTAGTGAATCTCTTGGTTGCGGACCTTCTGGATGCAGTCCAGGAAAAGGTCGTGCGAGAACGCCACGGGGTGGTCGACCATGGTACGGACAGCATTGTCGAACTGGCCGTCTTCCTTGTACAGGTACACGGCGTGGTCCCAGTGCAGGCCCTTCTCACAAGCACGCAGAATCTTCGACACGTTCATGCGCGAGTGGAAGATCTTGATGTGCTCCATGAGCTTCGACGGCAGGTACTTCGAGTACAGGATGGCCAGCTCCGTGAAGATACCGGCGTGAGCACCCTCCAGACCAAGACCCTGCTCCATCAGCTTCAGCAGCTCCGTGGAGTGGCCACGCTTCTCGTAGTGCAGAATCAGCTCCTCGAGGTGGTCCGGGTGCACGATAATGTGCAGACCACACAGACCAGCGAGACGGAACTCGTTCACATCAACACAGGCGTAGTTGACCTCCTTCCACGTGCCAACCGAGTTGGCCTTGGTAGCGGCGTCCACGGCCTCGCGGAACTTGCCCAGACGCACGTAGCAAATGGCGAGCTTAGCGTTGTTGTTGATGTTCTGGAACAACAGCTTTGCAGCGTTGTACATGCCTTCATCGTAGCAGCGCTCACCAATGTTCTGGATCTGCGCCACGTTCGGCGATGAGATGAACTCCTCAAGGTCTCCGTACTTCTCCGTCTTAGCGTAGGCGTAAATCAGCGACGTGTCAAGGTACTGCTCCTTCACCGTGTTGCGCGCCATCTTCAGGTACGGGATCAGCTCGTTGTAGTTGTCGATACGCTCAGCCGCGGCAATCACGTCAACGTACGAGCTGGCGTCGTTGGCCTTGATGAAAGCAGACAGCGAGTCGTGCACCTTGCCCTGGTCCAGCTGGGCCTTGGCCAGACGAGACCACACCTCCGACTCGTTGCAACGGTCGGCAAATTCGTAGGCACGCTCGTTGTCCTTGATGTAGTCGAGCAGCACACCGATAGCATCCACGTTGTGGTTCGTCTTCTTGTAGATGACGAAACCCTCCTCGTAGAGCTGGTACTGCTCACCCACAGCAATGCGAGCAATCTCGGGACCGTCGAAGTTGTCCAGACGGTTCACGTAGTCCATGACCTTCTCCTTGCCAGCCTTGATAGCCGTCAGAATCAGCAGGTTCTGCAGGTTCTTGTTCGTAGAGAAGTCCGTGCCCTGCAGCACGATGCGCTCTAGCAGCTCGATCAGCTCGTTCGGCAGCTCGGCGTTCATGAACGCACGCACGGTGGTCGACACCTCATCCGGGTTCGTCGTCTCAGGAAGAGCAGTCTGCACAACCTGGTCAATCAGAGCGCGACGGCTGGGAGACTCCGCCTCGCCTTCCTCCTGCTTCGTGAGCACCTTGCCCCACAGGTCGACGTCCTGACGCTCTACCAGGTAGCGGGCCAGGTCCTTGAACAGGCCGTTCTCCGTAGTCACGCGGATGAGGTCATCGTCGCACGCGCCACCGGCACGACGGTAAGCCAGGTAGGCCAGAGCCGGGTCCAGCTTCTCGCAGAACTTACCAACAACCTCCGAGTCGTAGAACTGGTTGTTGATCAGGAACTGCTGCGGGTCCTTGTTCAGGGTGATGTAGATCTTACCGATGGCGTTGTGCGTCGCCGTCTCGGTGTTACCCTGAGCAACGCGGGTCTCCAGCCACGGCTGCAGCAGACGAAGACGGTTGCGCTTCTCTACCTGCTCGCACAGGTCGTCCACAGGGCACTGCGCCACCTGGTTCAGCAGGTTCTTGATGTAGTCTTCGTTGCAGTCGAGGTCCAGCAGCTTGCCGATGACAACAGGAGCCTTCTGGGGGCTGACCTTCGTCACGTACACGTCGATGTACTTCATCAGGTTGTTCGAGTACAGGTACTGCGTCAGCTCCTCCACGAAGTCGTAGCGGTCGCACACGTGAATGAGCGGGCGCGGGTCCTGCAGCTTCGACTCCTTCAGGAATTCCTTCACCTTCACGGGGTCGTACACAGAGGAGTCGCGGCACACACGCTCCACCTCCTTGAACTGACCCATCTTCGTGGCAGCCTCAATGTACTTGAAGTGAAGGTCCGGGTCCTGCGAGAAGTTCACGATGGAGCCGAGGAAGAAGTACAGACCGTCGAACGATTTGAACTTTTCAAACACCTCCACCAGCTCCTTGCCGCCGAGCTGCTCGGCGTACTTGGTAGCCACCTGCACGACAATCTGCAGGTTCTGGCGCATGTTGTGCGCCATGAGGGCGTTGATCAGCTCCATCGAGATCTCGCTCGTCAGCGTACCGAAGAACGTCACGATAAACTCGTGGTTGATCGCCTGCGTGTTAACAATCACACGCTTCAGGTCCGCCAGCTCCGTGTAGTGCTCAAGGGCACGCTGGAACAGGCCAGCCTTCTCGCAAAGAGCAGCAATGCGCGGGCGGTCGTAGTGCGTGAACATGTTGTTCGACAGAATAGCATCCGCCACCTGCGGCGAGCCACCCAGCAGATTAATTTCCAGCAGGCGCGTCTGCAGGTAGCCCTCCTCAGGACGGTTGTTCTTCAGCGCCTCCAGCAGGAAGGCCGTCGTCTCCTGAATGCGGTTCACCTGCATGAAAATGTCGACCACAGCGTTGACGTCCACCAGAGGACCATTCTCCGCGACGGCCAGCTTCTGAGCAAAGTCCAGAGCACCCTGCGGGTTGGCGCGCACCAGGTTCTGCAGCATGAAGGTGTAGTCGCAGCGGTAGTTGGTCTGAACGGCGTACGCCACGATCTTGTCGAACTCGCCGCGCTGCACGAAGCAGTTGATCACCTTCTCGGGCACCTCAGCACGCAGGTACACCGACAGAGCCATCGTGGTGTCGGACTGAGCAACCAGGTCACCGAGCTCCTCCGAGCACTCGAGCTTGTCCTCAGACAGCCACTTCTGCAGCAGCTGGCCACGGCCCTGCATCAGCACGGGGCGGGCGAGCTCAATGGACTCCATCTTGTTCAGCGTGCCCTTCTCAAGCAGGACACTGAAGTACTGCAGGATCGGCTGCGGCTGACCAGGCTGGGCAGGCATCTGCTGGAAGCGCTGGATCGTCTGGGGCGTGCGGAGCGCACCCTGAGGCGACGCGGCCGCAAGGCGAGCAGCGCCCTGAATGTCATTAACGCTAACGAGACGGTTGAACTCCGTGAAGTAAAGCTCCTCGGCGCCCGGCAGGTCCAGACGCGTAGCCAGAGCCAGAGCCATCTGCGAGTCGCGCAGCGTGTTCACCACGTACGGCACGAGCTTGGTCTTGTTGATGGCGAAGTGCAGGAGCTGGCCGCGGCGCGTGATGCCAAGCATGCCCTTGGACTTGGACTCGAGGCAGGTCACGAACGTCGTGTCCTGGGACACGCGCGCGCGGTACACGGGCTTGCCCGAGTGCGTGTCGAACAGGAAGAGGTATCCCATCTTGGTGATCATGTAGACGATGTCGTCGCCGGGGCTCACGAGCATCGACACGGGGAAATCCGCCTGTGCGTCGGCGGCGAACGGGATCTGCGCCGGCGGGAGGCGGAAGACGCCGCCGGGGGCGTCGCGGTCGCGTCCCACCTCCATGATGAAGAGCTGCATGGGCTGGCCATCGCCCTTGGTGCCGGCGAACACGAGCACCTGCGCGTCGTCTGTCCGTCCGGGCGGCTTCATCTGCGCGAAGGCGCCGGCGTGGCCCTGCAGCACCTGGCTCACCTTCTTGTCCATCGAGTAGAGCTGCATGTTGCCGACGATGCGGCCTCCGTCGCCCTGCGAGATGCCCACGAGCAGCATCCACTGGTTGTCGGCCGACGCCTCGTAGCTGATAATCTGCGTGCCGGCGCCCAGGTTGGCGTGGCGGTCAAAGATCTTGGCCGGGGGCGAGTCGCCCTCGATGCTCCAGTGGAAGACGGCTGAGGCCGTGACGAGCGCGATCGTGTTGACCGAGATCCAGCGCCAGAAGACCACGGCCTCGTTCATCAGGTGGCTCTTCATCTTGGCGCGCAGCTCCATGTTGAAGATCTGCAGCTGGTTCTCGGCGCGCAGGGCGATGACCTTGCTCACGGGGTTCATGATGGCCGCCTCGGCGTTGATGGGGCGGCGCTGCACCGTGTTGCCCGCCGCCAGGTCCACGATCACCACGCTGGCCTGGCCGTTCACCTGCTCGCACACGCACACGAACTTGTCCGACTCCATGGTCGTCGTGCCGAACTTGACGTAGTCCAGGTTCACGCCCAGGGTGCTCAGCTGCAGCAGCAGTAGTAGCAGCAGTATACAGGGTTAGTTACCTGCGTTTCCTAGTATTTCGCCTCGTTGATCTGGTGGACTGGAGGATCGCAGTATCCAACATTGGAGGGGGGAAGTTATATGCCACGTACGTTGAGCACTTCCCCGAAGGTAATGGGGAGATCTTGCGCCATGTTTGTTGCCTCTCTCTACGTCCGCGCGCTGTGCCTCTGCTTATGAATGGTGTGGTCTGTGTCTGCTGTGTCTTGTCGGACTGGCGGAGGGGGAAGGCCGCTCGGTTGCGCGCTCTCTCACTCGGCTCGGATCCTTTCCGTTTCACGACTGCGGCCGCCTGCTTCGCCCCTTCAAAAGGGGGCGAGTTTTTTTCGCCCAAATCTTACGCTTCAAGCGCGCTTAAAAGCTGTAGTAGCCGATCATAACATCACATGTTTATGTTAGTACTATTATCAGCTATACTACTATTGATAAAAGTGATAACAATACTAATATATTTCAGACGCCTCCGCGCTTTTGTCGGATTCGCAGATGCTTGTTTTTCATTTTCCAACACACCGCTGGTGTAAGAGAGAAAACTGACACCAGCAGAAGTCGTGTGAATCACGATTCCTTTTGCTGAGCGCGACATCTGTGGAGGCCTACATATTGTGAATTCCGGCCAAATTTGCCGAATCGGGTCGGTTTTGCCCCTGTCCAACCGACCCATACAAACATCAAGTCATTTGCCGAATCGCCGGCCAACAAACATATGGTTCTGTGCCCGCATGTCAAGCCCAATCCGTACTTAGTAGGGAGTCAAGGGGGCATAGCCGGGCGACCATAGTCAACCCAAGTGCTTTGGCGATTCGCCGGCGGTTTGCCACGGTCGATTCAATCCGCCCCGCTCGGAAAATTAGAGTAGAACTCACAATACTACTACAACTACTACTGTACACGCTACACGCTACATGCTTACCGTAATCCTTAGTGCTTACTGACGTTCAGTCATTACTGACAAGTCCTTCAGCCAATAACATAGCTCTAAAAACCGTGGGACCGCAATTAATGTGCCTACTGGCAGGTTCAGTTCTCCTTCATTTTTTATTCTATGACTCGCGGCGATGCCGCAGCATCAAGGGGGACCCCGTATTACGGGGGCGGTAGAAAGAAGGCCAAGCACACTTGCAGCAGCATCTCGAATCAGCACAAGCTAGAAGTTGCTTAGCACCTTATCAGCTGCAAGGACGTGAAAAAGGCGCTGTGTCCTGTCTATCCAAGTCTGAGCGGTGATGCCAAGGAGCAGCGGCTCAAACTACTCTACGAGTGGCGAATCCATGTAACACTACATGTATATGAGGAGCGCTGCAAAACTCCGGCTGTTGCTGTGATGAAGTATGTGAGGGAGCCCGGTGTTGCTACCATCCTTCCTCGCGAGGCAGAGGCTGCTATTGTGGAGTGGGTCAATTTGCTGCGTGAAGAAGGAGTTCCAGTCAGCGCTACGATGCTGCGTCTAAAAGGAGCTGAGGTTGCAAATGTTTTTAGGTATCGAAGCGTTTGAGGGCTCGTGGTACCAGCGCAACGGGTTTTTACGTCGGCACCGTCTCCGTATTAGCGCGCGGACACGTCAGGGGCAAGTCACCCCAGCCGCAGCAAACGAGTCCGCAGCAACTTTGGTATTGAAGTCCAGCAAAAAAATGCTGGAACTTCACGTTCAAAAAGTTTTTAACGCCGACCTAACAGATAAATTGCCTCTCTATATTTTTTTAAATTGCACTCACACTAATAATTGCTGTTGTATTTTACAAGAGTATTTGTTTAGTAGGTCATCTTGTAGCTGCATCAGGCTAGGCTCGGGGCCTCGCGCGCACGAATCAGTGCTAAAATGTGCGCTTTCCGAAAGCCGTTCTTGATTGTTGACGCCGAAACATTCGCCCAGCTTAAGCATACCTATTGGTACACGGTAGTTTGGGAGGGGGCTTCAATTTTATTGCGTGAGTAGGCCCTGTGTGCTCCCGGAGTCGCTGCCGTAGGGTATTCACCCGTTCACTGCGTAGATAGGGGTTGAATAGCCTGTTCCAGGTGATATCCGCCCGCTGGCAAGTCGACGTACACGACGAAGGAACTCGAAGTAGATGCACGTCGAAAGATACAGCGTATACCTTACCAACCAGGGTCCACGGGCCCGAAAAGCCGTCAATTAGCAGGATTGCCGGTTGCCATGGCGGTTGTCGGGTGCCAAACATGGCTTTAAGCCACACTAGATGGATATGTCCGTTCCACCAGGCTGTAAGATTAGCGTAGAGCTCGATATCATGGTCAGCCGTGATCGGCTGCGCTTCGTCCCACACTTAGATACCAAACCCACGACGCTTTTCGCAGTTTGCCAGTTCCCCACCCTCCACAGTTGACCGCTTGGATTTTAGCACCACATACGGCGGGTAGTATCCCCCGTCGGAGTCTCCTAAGAGCAGAGCAGTCGCGCGCTCTCTATCGTTCCTCCATGCCACGCCCACACAGTTTTGAACCACGAGAATTTATTGTACCCTTTAACAGATACTCAAAAGTCTTCGAGCACAGTCAGCACTTGTAGCGGCCGTTTGAGGGCCGTTCTTAACAGCGGTAGAATTGTAGTATTTGTAGTACCGTACTATGAGATTGTGTAATAAGGACACTGTTAGCGAGCGTGAGCTGCGATTGATAGGCAGTTTTGTTAGCAATATTTCATCGGACGACGAGCTCAGCTTCTCCGACGCAGAATCTGACAGCGAAGATGCTGACATTTCACTTTAATAAACACACATTTCACGCCACATATTTCTTGCACACCTCTCATAAATTCACTGTACAGGTAACTTTTAGGAAGATGGATAGACCCACTTCAAATCATGAAACTGGCTGTCAGTAAGTACTTCATTTGTCTCCTTATTACCCTCTCCTCATATTTGCCGTGATGGTACTGGTACTATCAAATACGACTTGTCTACATTTCTGTTGTATTCTTTTTTGGGTACCAAATTGCCTACAAGGTATCCGTACGCTGTGCTAATAAGTGCTAATAAGTAAATTAACACAGCGTATCAAGATTTACCCACCAGACGCTTACAATATCAAGCCTCAAACGAAAAAAATGTACGATTAGACTAGCCGATCTGCCGGTCAAATAGTTCTCGGCCGGCTGCATAAAGCTTGTAGAGTTCGTTTTACTCCGCAATTTGCCAATACCTACACAGTGGTAACCGCCTATTGTTGAATAGATGGAGATAATAGGTGCTGCATGTTTGCCAAACGTCTAGATTTTTTATTATAAAGTCCCTAGAACACGCAGAGAGCAGTTGCTGTATGGAATTTCCAGCAAAACAAAGCAGCCACTAAGCAGATTGACGATGATGCGACCATTTCAAATACAGCGATGATGAGCATGCAAAGGCCAAATGATATACTCAACACAGTGTGGATATGGCGTAAACCAATATTGAGCAGGAGGGCAGAGATTCAAAGCATGACGACTTTTAACGCCTGTGGCACAGGCAAATCCGGTTCACCACAAGAGACGAAATCTGTCTACTACAGCCTTAGATTATCAGCGATACTATCAGTGATATCAATTTTATTAACCTTCCGAGGAATAGTAATAGTATCATTGATGGTGGTTAAATGTTATTAGTGTCAGAATCACTAATGCCCAAAATTTCCCCTATAGTACTATCATACGAGTCGTTTGTATGGAACTATACGAACCGTGCGACGTCCGCCACGCGTGCGTTTTCGACGTGCTGGTGTCTAACAGAATACATAGAGCGCGATGGACATACCGCAGCTGCATGCACTGGTAGTGCTTCTCCTGCCATGCGATGCGTAGCGAGTCCTGAAACCCTGAAACCGATCTTGTGTTGAAGCTGTTCAAGCGCGCTTAAAACCGCCCGTAGCCTTGCCACGTATGTATGTCATGTTGCAGGTTGCAGAGTTGACCAGCGAATCGCGCTCGGCTGAGGCAGTAGTAAGTTTTAGTGCGAGTGTGTATGTATTCTTTTTGGTCGTGTTGGATGGAAGTACACTATTGGAAGTGGAGTGAATTGGTGAACGCTATTTACGTTGAGACCTGCTGATCGGCGAGCGGATCCTTTCGACCTGCAACTTCAGAAATCGCGCGTTCTACGCAGCGAACTCCGCCGACGTGGTGAGGGTGAGTCCTTCAGCGGCCATATCGCGCAAGAACTCCTACAGCAACGGACGAAGAGAGAGCGAGATACAACATTTATGAGCGTCAGTTAAATAGCTCCCCGGATCAGCAAAAGCAGACGTCATTCGTTACCTCGCCGGCCTTTTCAAAGCCCGGAACGGGGGACGCGCAGTCCGTCAGGATCACCAAGTCCTGGCGCCGCTCCTCGGGCCAGGCGGCCACCAGGTCGCGCACCGTGCAGTTGACGCAGTGCGAGATGGCCTCGCCGCAGACGATGACCTTGTCGGCGAGCTTGAGGGAGTCCACCAGCGCTTGGTTCAAGCTGCAGCAAGCCAACAGTCAAAGCAACACGTCAGCCTCAGCTCCGTACAACCTCACGACCCATCTTATGCTATGCTTTGGTGTATCGTCGATACAATCGGCGCGGTAATGCACTGAACGAACCTTGTCGCCGGATCGTACGGCAGCTCGAACTCGGCCTTGAGCGCCGAGTAGTGCTCCGTGAACGAGTTGCTGCCCTTCATGACGTACTGCACGGGCTTGAGAGAGAGCTTGGTCCACTCCACCGCCGCGGCGTGCACATTGGGCACGATGTTGTGTCCGGGCGAGCCGATGAGGCAGTGCTCGGGCCAGATGCAGAGCGTGAACTTGCCGCTGGCCTCCAGCGCCGTCGTGTACGCCAGCACGTAGCTCTTGAGACTCGGGTCGCGCGGCCGCCAGACGCCGGCGGCCACGTCCTTGGCCGTGATGAGCGTGAAGGGCTCGGGCGACTGTCCCTCCGCGTTCTCCCAGAAGACGCCGTGCGCGATGTGGTAGCGCTGGTGCGAGTCCAGCGTGAGCACGAGCTGGCTCAGCAGCCGCGCGTGCTTGGAGATGAACGCCGCGATGCGCGCCGCGTCCTCGTTGGCCGTGGGGATCGCCAGTGAGCCGCCCGGGTGGAAGTCGACCTGCTGGTCGATCACCAGCAGGCACAACCCGCCGGAGGGGATTGCGCCGGCCGCCTGCGCTGCTTGTGCCTCTCGGGTCATGCTCGATTTGCCGTAGTGTCGACACGGAGTGGCGATACCCGGAATGTAGCCCTGATCAATGATCAAAACGCGCGTACAATAGGTCGATGTACGACAAAAGCGGGAGTTTTCTATAGTTTAGCGGTGCCAAAAGCGGAGGACGACTGTAAGTGCAGCATGACGTGCTGCGCGACGTACCGCAGCATGAGCACTTCAACGGCACGCAGCAGCACTCGCCGGACAGTGAGCCCTCTTCGAAGCATCATGAGAAATACGATCACGTAGCCTAGCACTTGGATCTTGCGCTTCACGGTCCAAGAGGTTGGAGGAATGGCGGCCGCGACCTCGTGCACCTTGGGGAAGATCTCGGGCGCCAGCAGAGGCCACTTCAACGTGCCGTCCTGCACGCTCTGCGCGAACCGCACCACCTCTGGGATGTACGCTCTCCACGAGCGCTTACGCGGAGCCAGCGTGTAGTTTACAACGGGCAACGGTACGCGCGAAATAATGTCCGGCTGGATGCGACGGATCCGTTGAAAATCCGTCATGGAAGCGCTGCCGAGCGTGAAGATGTCTGGTGAGATAGGGTGGACAGACGTGATAGCAAGTTAGAGCCCAGAACGAAGCCAAGCAGGGGCAATGGTTGCGTCAAACGAACCTAATTCAGTCTCCTGCCTTGCCTTGGCCAGCGCCTCACGGAACGCCGTACAGCACCCTGCAAGCAGTACGCTATCCACGAAACAAGTACGGTTAATTTTCATCAACAGAACTATTCTGCTGGCAACGAAGCGCGCACATGATGGAGTCGCTGCAGATCCAGGCGTTGCTCTTTACGTCAAGTGGCAATCTCGGCAATGGTGTTGACCCAATCATCCGCTTCAATGCCAACCGCAGCATCAATTGGTACGCCCTGGAAAATTGCAGTCACTTGCGTTAGATCCTCTCGATAAATAGCCGCTTAGGAGTCCGCGTCACTGTACCTTGCAATATCATACTTGCAGCCGATCAACTGGCGAGCGCAACGCAGGAACAGCTGCAGCTCTGACTCAGGCATCGGCACGCGCAGCACCTGCAAGAGTAAACACCCAGCAGCAGTTAGATACGCACAGCTTCCACTCGATCTTTCTTCCTCCAGAACGCACCACAGGCTGCCGCTGAGGCAAAAGGAGCCGTTCGAGCGGCATCAACTTGGCAGATGGCATCCCAACATGAAGCACAGTGCTCTCGTCCAGCACGACCACCTGCCCGTACCGATATCACAGCAAACGCATAAGTTTTCGCTCTACCCAACAACTCACTCTCTGCTCCAGCTCACCACGTGGTCGTACGCGTTCTCAGTCAGATACCTCCCCACCGAGTAGACCAGGCCGCTCGTAGTGATGAAGATCAGGTCGCCTAAAGCAGCACGCATTAGCACAATAATTAGACTTCCACAAAAAAGAATAAAATGATATGTCCACATTGCAATGCCAATGCCAATGCCGCACCTGGCTTGACGAGCTTGGCCGCCTCCCGCGCCGCATCCTGCGCCTCCTTGGGCGATCTGCGTCGGCCGTCACCTGGTCAGCATTCCTCTCCACTCTCTCAATAATCAGCACCCACACACCCGCCCCCTCACCGCTGGAACTCGTGCTCGTTGAACTGCAGACTGTTGGGCGCCAGCACCTGCGCCGCCGACGCGGCCAGCGCGCCCAGCTTCCCCTTCATGATCCGATCGATCCGCGGGCAGTACCGTAAGTAACGTGTGCGTCGACGCTTTGCGTACCGTATAATCGGTACCCACCGTACCAATTAATTGGTACACAGTGGTCAGCATCAGTAAACCGGCTCCCCAACCCCGAGCGCAGCGGACAGGCAGAAGGCAGCAACGGAACCAGACCCTGCGCAGTCTTCCGCCGTCCGTCCGTCCGTCTGCGCACTCAAGTCAGCGGTGTCGAGTGGCGTGGCGACTTGGACTAACGCGGCGTCTCCAGCGACTTAAGATGCGCGCGCGAAGAGGTGGCAGCGCTTTGCCCATTGCCGCCGTAATCGCCTTCATGCTGCTCTGCGGACAGGAGGCGGCGGCGTCCGAGCCGGCGCGGCGGCGCCTGGCGGACTCGTCGGACAGCTACAACTTCATGTTCTACTTCGTGATCGGCGCCATGATGCTCACGTGCCTCATCTACAACATCTTCTTCAAGCACAAGATGGAGGCCAACTTCCTGCGGCAGCAGGCGCTGCCCGAGACCATGCTGCGGCAGGACGTGATCGCCAGCGACCAGGACATGAACAACCTCTGGGACTGCGACGTCTGCGGCTTCAAGAGCTACGACGCGCACACGACCTGCATGCTCTGCGGCACGGACCGCGCCTTCAAGCTGCTGGACAAGAAGGACGACGCCAACTCCGCGGAACTCGGCGGCATCGCGCCGTCCTCGGCCTCCTCCAGCGCCAAGTACGTGCTGTATATGGAGGACAAGGAGAACCCGCTCTCCCGCAGCGCCGTGAACAGCAGAGCGACGCCCCCGAGGCCCGGCAGGTCCAAGTCCGGAGCCAAGATCAATAGGGAGTTCTTCAAGCGCAAGCTCAGCGCGCTCAACCTGCGGCAGCAGTCGGCGCGCCGACGTCACGAGTGGTCGCGCGAAAGGAACGACGACGGGGAGCTCATCTGGGTGCGCAAGAAGCACTACATGGACCGCAAGGTGCTCAAGAGTCTGCGCACGCTCGACGGCCTGCGTAGTCAGTCGTCGACATCGTTGCGCGACTCCATTTTATCTACAGGAAGTGTGAATTCGGTGGGGATTGTGTCGAGAATTGTGGTGTCGCCTAAGAATCCGACGGGCAGGTTGTCGCTGGAGACAGCGGAGGGAGCGCTGGCGACACGCTGCTCGGACAGCTCGGAGTTCTCGCAGGACGAATTGGAACAGGTCGGGTCGCTGCCTTTTCAGCAGAAGCACGCGTGGTTCGTGCAGCACACAGCGGCGATGGAGGTGCCGTGGGAGTACGGACACTTGCTGCTCGAGATCGAACGTGACAACCTCCTGCACAACTCGTGCGAGCAATTGTTGTGGGCGACGCCGGATCAGCTACACCAGTCGCTCAGAATCAAGTTTGCGAATGAACCCGGTGTGGACGCAGGTGGACTGGTGCGCGAGTGGTTCACGCTTATGACGAAGGAGGTGTTCGATGACACGACAGGACTATTTTACAGGAGCGGCAACGGGGACGGCCTTATGATCAACCCTGCATCGGCGGAAGCTAGCGTGGATCATTTGATGGTACGATTTATTGGGCTGTTGCTACGGAGAGGATATCGCTTACTTACTTGTTGGTTGTGTTTTGTTATTTTGTGATCAGTATTATCAAGCCATTGGTCGTTTCATCGGCAGAGCGCTCTTCGAAGGCATTTTGATCGATGCACACTTGGCGCTCCCAGTATGCAAACACATTCTTGGTATTCCTATTACGTTTTCGGACCTGGAGTTCGTGGATAACGATCTGTACAAGAATCTGAAGTGGTTGCGAGACAACACGGGTGTGGAGTCACTTGCCCTGGACTTCACTGTCAATGTTGACCAGACGTCCAAGGTCGTGGACTTGGTACCGAATGGGTCCAATATCCCCGTCACGGAAGAAAACAAGATGGAGTACATTAACCTGCGCTTCAGGTGGATCGTGGCAACCAGCATATCGCAGCAGCTTGGCTCACTGATGCAAGGCCTCTTTTCTATTATTCCCAAAGAACTGCTCTCTGTCTTCGATCACCAGGAGCTGGAACTCTTGATCTGTGGCATCCCGGACATCGACGTGCTGGACTGGAGAACTCACACTATTTATGTGGGAGAGCGCGATGAGCGCGCCATCACCTGGTTCTGGAATATTGTGAATGAATTCACCAACGAGCAGAAGGCACGCCTGCTGCAGTTCACGACTGGCTCGGCTCGGGTGCCTGTACAAGGGTTCAAGGCGCTGACCATGAACGACGGGCGCATCTGTCCGTTCGCGATCCAGTGCGTCAGCGTAGACGAGTGTCTGTATCCGCGAGCGCACACCTGTTTCAACCGGTAAGTTTGGTCTAGTTAGAGATCGTAGCTATCGACGAACAGCTCTCTGACGTGTGTTTCTGCCTATTTCAGCATCGACCTGCCCCGGTACGAGGCCGAGAAGGACCTGCGCATCGCATTATCCCTCGTGATTCAAATGGAAGTAACAGGTTTCACGATCGAGTAAAAGCTGGTAGAAGGTGTGGTGTGTATTTACTGAAGGAGCAGAAGCAGAGCGTGTCGTGAGAAGTAATCGAACCAGCAGCGATGAGCTCGCTTCTTATTCTCACCGATTGATTTGCCACGGATCCTGCCCCTCCCCTATATTTGCATTTGCACAGGGACGCCTTGTGTATCATTCCTTCACCGTCAACCAAGAGATCGAGCAAGGTTCCCGCGAAGATGGCTCACCGTGCGGCGCAAACGTGGGCCACGTTACGTGGCAGCCCCAGAAGTACCTCAAGTTCGAGCGAGTCCGACTGCGGCTGGCGCTGGAGCTGCTCGAGCGCGTGCCAGCCTTAGCTGCGGAGTGCGAAGATGCAGTGGAGATCATGGATCTTGGCGCTGGGACGGGAAACATGGCCCCCTCCTTCTTCAGGCGCTGGCAAGAGGTGCACGTGACATTTGTGGACTCGTCAGCCTCAATGCTGGAGCGCGCGAAGCAGGAGCACAGCACCAATGGGGAAGTGAAGAGTGAGCAGTGTACGTACATTCAAGCCGACTTCGAGAGCTTCCATCCGGACAAACCTGTCGACTTGATCTTTTCCAATGCAGCGCTCCACTGGGTGAGCTCTGATCGCTACAAGCAGCTCATGCCTCGGCTGTTCTCGTTCCTGAAGCCTGGAGGAACGATTGCGTTCCAAATGCCGGATAGCCGTCTGCAACCAAGCCACCAACTGATGGCCGAAGCGGCAAAGCAAGTGGGTCTTTGGGATCGTGTCGCTGATGTGCGCTGGGTCACGTGTGAGCGTGACCCGAGCTTCTACTATGAGCTGTTCAAGAGCATTGACAAGGACGTGGAGCTGGACATGTGGGCGACGGTGTATACTCAAGTGCTCGAGGGCGACAATCCTGTGGCCGACTTCACAAGCTCCACGGGACTTCGTCCATTCATGGAGGCTTTGGGAGATCCGTCCTCCGCAGCCTCGAACTTCGAGGGAAAATACCGCGAGCTGATCGCTGCTGCGTACCCCAAGCAAAGCGACGGACGCACGATCTTCAATTTCAAGCGCTTTTTCGTCGTAGCTACAAAGTCATCGTAGTCGCTAGATCTCCCTCCTACCACTGGAAAACCACGCTGCAAGTGCTAGCTGCATGTTGATAAACCCGAAGAACTGTTATTCCAGTGGCATTGCGCGTTGCTTCTGGTGTTATCAATATGAAAGGAGCCACAAAGCTGCAGCGAAGCCCAGTACGACTTGGGATGCTCCACAGCTAGACCTCGCAGTGTTTTCGAGGCTGGGCGTGCACACCACCACTGGTTTGTTCGTGTCGGGGTCCGCAACGTTGTCTTTAAAGGGGGATCCGGGGTACGGCGCTCGATAGTAGACCAGCTTTTGATCCTGCGAGTACGAGATAGAGAGCCCTGGTCAGCAACTACAAACACCACCAGCAGCGCAACCCATAGCGGACGTACAATCCAAGTGGTGCTGATTTCGGCCGAGCGAGCGTTCACATACTTGGGGTCCCCACACCGCCACAGATCACTCGAGTACTGGCAGGACGTCATGAAGTTCTCGCACACGCTGCGGCACATGAGCAGACTGCGTCCTTCCGAGTCGCAGCGCGGGAAGTTGAGCCAGCAGAAGTAGTTGCGGAAGGCGTTCTCGCAGTCCGGGTTGTCCGTGAACCGCGGCGTAATGGAGCGAGGTCCGCCCCACTCGTCCGTGTCGTCGTCTGCCATCGTGGTGTTGGTCTCGTAGATCTTGCGCTGGATCACGAGCTTGTTGAACATTTGCTCCACGAACCGGTCCTTGGTGAGCGCCGAGTGGTTGTACCACAGCGCCTGGTACCGCGGCAGACACGCCGTGTAGGGCACGACGGCCTTGCAGAACGGTAACAGCAGGTCGAAGTCCATCGGCTCCGTGCACACGCCCGTGTCGGCGCCATCCAGCATGCACGCATCGACGGTCGACAGCACACCCAAGAGCGCCCAAAGCAGCGGGATCCATGTCATCTTCCTACACGTCGTTTCGCGATTTTGCGCGGTGTATACTAATGTGTATAGGACCAACACTCTAAGTTGAAGTTGGATGTCCACCAGCGTCCACTAAGTGTCCATTTTGTTATTTTTACGTCCGTAAAAACTCCCATTCCGATTTTTTACGAACGGACACGACGCTAGATGAGACTTGTGTGTGCGTACTGTCGACCTAGCCAACTGCCTGCCTGACTGTAGATAGCGAGCGACATGGGACCGAAGAAGGGCAAAGGCAAGAAAGAGAAGAAGGGCAAGGGCGGGGCTGCCGGCAAGAAAGGATCCGCCGATGTGAATGACGCCGAGCGCGAGATCGAGGCGGAGCGCTTGGAGCTGGTCAAGCAGGCCAAGGCGCTGCTGGAGCTCACGCGCAAGGAGGAGCAGGCGTTCAACGAGTTCCAGCAGCAGCGAGAGAAGATCAACTACTTCTGGATCGTGGAGAAGAAGAACTTTGAGGACCGCAAGGCGGAGCTGCGCAATAAAGAACGAGAACGACAGGACTTGGAGGAGAAGCACCAGGTCGAAATCAAGGTGCGTACGCGACGCTTTGCCTCAAAAGTGCCATAGAGAAAACATTCCGCTAATATTTATTTTACTGAAACAGGTCTACAAGCAGCGGGTCAAGCATTTGTTGTACGAGCATCAGAACGAGATCACGAAGTTGAAGAAAGGTGCAACTTTATTGCTAACCTGTGAACGAAGATGCAGTAAATTGACGTATTGAGTGCCGGTTTGTTTAGAGATGGAGCAGACGCTGAAGCTGTCTCAAGACGACTATCGGGGCAATGAGCGTGAGCTGAAGACGGATAAACGACGGCTAAAGTTCGACTTGAAGGAGATCGAGCTTTCGCACCAGGACTATCTCAAGTCTCTGAAGCAGGAACAAGATCGGCGTATCACCGTCTTGCGGCAAGAGTTTGAGCGTCATGCAAAGGAGCTCCAGCAGAAATATGAGCGGAAGCGCAAGGCTTTTCGCGACGATCTCGAAGCACGTCGTAAGCAGGATACGCAGAAGATCGAGGAGCGCAAAAATTTACACATCGCGCAGCTTATGACCGCCCACGAGAAGGCTTTCGGTGAGATCAAGAACTACTACAACGACATCACACACAACAATCTGGACCTGATCAAGTCTCTCAAGGAGGAGGTGAGCGAGATGAAGAAGAAGGAGGCACAGGACGAGAAGCTCATGTTTGAGATTTCCCAAGAGAACAAGCGCATGTCGGAGCCTTTGAAGCGCGCTCTACTAGATGTCGAGAAGCTCCGGAAGAACATCCGTGTGTATCAAGAAGAAAAGGTGGAGTTACGAACCGCGAAAGCTCAGCTTCTTGTTCTGGAGCAGGAGTACGCTACACTCTCGTGGGAGTTCGAAGTGCTCCAGCAGCGTGCAGCACAAGTGGCTCGCGAATTGGAGGAGCTCACGACGGAATTCCATAGTAGCATTTACGACGTCCAGCAGAAGACCGGTCTGAAGAACTTGCTCCTTGAGAAGAAGATGGGGGCGTTGACGTTGCAGCTTGAGCAAAAGGATGCCGAACTGAACGAGGTGCTGCTCCACGCCAAGCTGGATCCTGCGATAGTAGATCGCGTAAAGGGACGGCTCGAGGACATTATGGCCAACAAGGCTGAAGATCTGCGTGAGCTTGAGGCGGAAATGACTCACGTTACAAAGCTACAGCAAGATCTTGCAACGGCCATGCAGCTCAAGATGAGCGAGTATGGCCTCCCACTGGACGAACTGGGCTTCATGCCTCAGACTCGACCTGCGGTTGATGCCCGCGTCGCTGCATCCAAGAGCAACAACAGCAACAACTTTACCTTTAGCGACAATGAGGCTCCTTCGGCTAGTGACTCGATCAAGGAGGCCCACCTGGCTAGGAAACGAGCAGCAGCTAGCCACGTCGTCAACCTGGCCAAGTCGCCCACCTCTTTCGGCCACGACGCAGCCAAAGTCCAGTAGGATACACGCTTGGTGTTGGTTTGTTGTACTTCGACATCAATATATCAACCAGCATTTCCTTGATTCAAGTAGAGCTGCTGCTTTTCCAACTAGACACAGCGCCCCGCACTTTCGGCCGGGCTATACATCGATTACAAGGTGACCAATATCACCCGAAGCTTGCCATGTACTCGCTTGAAAAACGAATTCGCCAGCATTTCTGAGGTTGAGACCTCCTTGTATCTTGCCCTGAAACACTGTCTTCCTTCAGCTCGAGCTAACTTAATCGTGTGGGGAGAACCAGGAAGCATAACTTCGCCACTCGTTCATCTAAATAGTCCAGCTTGATCGCCATATCCCGTTCAAACCTGGCAAGTTGCGCGTTGAGCTGTTGAACCGTGTTCGCCGTGGCTTGCAGTGACGCTGTGGCAACTCCAACGTTCTGTTCACTTCCCTCCGCTCCGATATCGTGTATGTACTGGTTCTCCTCCATCGCCGCTGCAGTCGTAGCTGCAGCTGACGTCAGCGTCGTGACTGAATTCAGATTCTCCCCATCAGCATTCAAGTGACTCAACGCGTGACTCACCGAGTTGGTAAAGTAATTCCCCGCTGGCGGAGTCACCGGTCCCGCACCGTTATTCGCCGTGAAAACCACCGCCTCGGACGCTGGAGTCGAGTGAGTCGGGCGCGTCATCTCCATCGCAGGCACGAACTGCTCGGGCAGCTGCATGAGCTCCTCCTCCGTCAGCGCCTTGATGCCGTGGGCCTTCTTGAAGTGCCGCAGCCACGTGGTGATGGCCTTGACCGCCATGTGCGAGTCGTGGTCCGCCGAGTACTGCACGAAGAGGTCCGTGGTCTTGGCGGACAGGCTCTCGGCCGTGACGTCGCGCCCGAGGCGGCGCTGGCGGATGATCCAGCGGTAGAGCTCCTGCTCCACGCCCGGGTGGTACTCGGACGTGGCCTTGAGCGTCTTGCGCTTGAGCGTCGACATGTGCTTGGCGTCCAGGCAGAAGGCCACGATGCGCTCCTTGTTCTTCTTGATGTCCGACACCTGCTGGCGGCTGATGCCAAAGTCCCGCGCGATGGCCATGGGCTGCTCGCCGGCCTCGAGGCGCTGCAGCACCTGCTGCTTGTCGTGGATCGACAGCACCACGCGCTTGCGCTTCGTCGTCGAGGCCCGCGGCGTGTGCGTGTGTGGAAGTGTGTGCGGCGTCAGGTCGCTGTCTAGAGGCAGAGGCTGCTCCGTCGTGATGACATCCACCGCCGTCGGCAGACTCCCGGCGTCCACGGCGTCGGAGTCGCTACTCATCGAGATGGCTACACTTAACTATACGCGCTGGCTTTTCCGGACTTTTGCGGACTGACAATTTTCAAATGAAAATCGTGTTTAATGTGGACCACATGGAACTTGCATACAAAGAGCAAGTGAACGAGATACACTGCACAAAAGCGAGCCCATGAGCAGCAGCAACGCGAGCGGTCGCAATGGCGCGCGATGGAGCACGGCGTCTCCGAGTGCGTCCGCGCTCCCTGCCAACAACAGCAGTGCGTGCATGTAGACAATAGACAGACAACCTATAGATGCTATTGACGCTGTAGCTGCAGTCTCGCAGGACTTGCTGCTGCTCGAGAAGAAGCGCAAGGCCAAGCGCGAGGCGGTCCAGGACCTGAACAACGGTGGGAACCGGCGGCGTCTCAGCCGCAATACCTGCAGATGCAATGCGGTCGTGATCGGCGGGCTAAACGATGCTTTCTTTTCCCCGTGCAGCGCTGCTGGAGGAGACGCTCACGAGGCTGCGCAGCAAGGCGCAGCAGCTCCAGAACGACAAGTGGATGTACCAGGACGTCCAGCTCTGACGTTATAGCTGCGATTCAATGCAAGATCTCTACAGGTATCATACCGACCGAGTGTTTCAAGCTCTTGTTTTCTTGTAGTTTAACGTGACTAAATCAGAGGAGGAGCGAGTGCCGCTACCAGCGACGCACAGCGAGCAGACAACTCGACCTTTCGTATCCAGCTACCAAGTGGCTGGAAGCCTCGCCATGTCCAATCTCCTGTCCGTGGCCGCTGCAGTTAGATCCTCGCGCTCTCCTTCCGTTAATGAACCAGGCTACTGGTGCTTTAAGCCCGCTTCTTCATCTCCTCGAACAGCGTCGCACCCAGACGAGCGGGCGATCGCGTGACAGCGACGCCAGCGGCCTCCAGAGCGGCGAACTTGCCGGCAGCCGTACCCTTGCCGCCCGAAACAATGGCGCCAGCGTGGCCCATACGGCGTCCGGGGGGAGCCGTCGTGCCGGCGATGAAGCTCACCACGGGTTTGTTGGGGTCGCCGTGGGCCATGAGCCACTCGGCCGCCTCCTCCTCGGCGGATCCGCCGATCTCGCCCACCATGATGATGCCCTCGGTCTCGGGGTCGTTGGTGAAGCGCTCGAGGCAGTCGATGAAGTTGGTGCCGTTGAACGGGTCGCCGCCAATGCCGATGACCGTGGACTGGCCGAGGCCCAGGGCCGTGGTCTGGGCCACAGCCTCGTAGGTCAGGGTGCCCGAGCGGGACACGATGCCGATCTTGCCCTTCTGGTGGATGTAGCCGGGCATGATGCCCATCTTGCACTCACCGGGCTTGATGATGCCGGGGCAGTTGGGGCCAATGAGGCGCGTCTTGTTCTGGTTGCGCAGGTGCCACTTGACCTTGACCATGTCCTGCTGCGGGATGCCCTCCGTGATGGCCACGACGAGGGGGATCTCGGCCTCGATGGCCTCGATGATGGACGCGGCGCAGAACGGCGGCGGCACGTAGATGACGGAGGCGTCGGCGCCCGTCTCCTGCTTGGCCTCGGCCACCGTGTTGAACACGGGCAGGCCCAGGTGCGTGGAGCCGCCCTTCTTGGGGGTCACGCCGCCCACCATGTTGGTGCCGTACTCGATGGCCTGCTGCGAGTGGAACGTGCCCTGTGCGCGTGCGTTGCATAGTCAAAAAGGCAAATTAAACACCGCCGGAATCAGTGTCGGATACGGGATCTTGCTCGGAATGGGATCTTTTGCCGTACCTGCTTGCCGGTGAAGCCCTGGCAGATGACCTTGGTGTCCTTGTTGATCCACACCTTGGCGGACGCAGACATGCTGCGCGAGGCCTGGGCGGCCATCGTCTTGACGGGCGTGCGGGCGAACATGGCGATCGGGTGCGAGCGAACGAGCGAAGCTGAGCTGGCGGGGAGCGAGTCCGAATTGCGAGTGGGGGGGTCTGCGCTGAGGCGCAGCTCCACCCGACGTTGGCCGCAGATACGTTAAGTACGAGGGACGGTTTTCACCTGGATTATCTCCGTTTAACACCACTCGGTTACTTTACTACTTGTAGTTATGAAGGTTATAAACTGTAGAGTTATCTGTACATCGAATCAGAGCCAACACGCAGAATATATCTGAGAGGTCATAGGTTATTGTAGGAGTAAAGTTTATGCGTGCTGTAACTTGAACTTTGCTGCGATTGGCCAAGTTTTGGTCTCATAAAAGGCCGGTGGCGTACCCTTGTGTTGCGCTTCAAGCAACTTCAGACTGAAACTTCAAACTTCAGTTTTGCTTCATCTTGTTCGTGTACTTGTTTACTGCTGCTGGGCGCCTTCTACTGCTCGCTATTGACACTTTCTTGGGCGCTGCGCAGCGACTACCTTGCTCAATTGACCGACCGACCGACCGACCGACTAGTAGTGGCTGTTGCGGATGACGCGCTCCGAGCTGTTCTGGATCTTGACCACCTCGTTCGGGATCTCGTGCCGCAGCCACAGGCGCAGGAGCCGCTCGCGCCGCTCCTCGTTGAGGTAGAGCGGGCGGCCCTTGCTGAGCTCGCGGTTGCGCTCGCCGAACTCCTCGCCGTACTCGTCCACGTAGAGGCTGCCCACGTAAGCCGCCAGCTTCCAGTAGACCAGCAGCACCGCGCCCTCCAGCACCAGCAGGAACACGCCGCTGCCTCGCCCGCACTTCTTGGCGTGCACGGTGCACGCGCCCGGGTTGGCCTCGTCCGGGTAGCCGCCCTTGTCCAGGTGGATCGACGGGCACGTGTTGGCGGCGCAGAGCAGCATCCCGCAGAGCAGACACACCGCCGGACGCGCCGGGAACTGGTGACACGCGTGGCACTTGCGCTTCGCCAGCTCCGAGTAGAACTTGACGTACGCGCGGGGCAGCGAGCGGAGGTACCGCGTGCGGTTGGCGCCCGACGAGTACACGGAGATGGTCGAGTGCATCGTGTGCAGGTCCCGGCTCAACAAGGACGGCAGCACCAACTTCTCGGCGCGGTCGACGTTCGCAGTCGTGAGCCACTGCTGGAGAATGGCGTGCGGGTCGTTCATCTCCTCGTACGCAGCCTTGAAGCGGTGCACCCAGCCGGACACGAGCTGGGTCAGCGCTGTCTGCTCTCTGCTGTTGTTGCCCGCTGCCTCGTTGAACTGCAAGGCGTCCAGCTTCACGAACCCGACAGCGAGGACGTCTTCTTGCGTAATAAATATCGGCTTCGAAGCCGCGGTGGTGCCAGCACGATGGTGCGACGTTGCTCGAGCCGTCAGCGACTGCAGCATGAAGGTCGCCACCTTCGCGATGGGTACAACCTCGCACGCGACAATGTTGAGAAGCTGGCGCTTGTCCGCAATTGGCCCCGCCTGGAACGCTCCGTCACAGTTGGTCACAAGCGCATTCAGTAGCAGCTCCAACTGGGTCCCCACCGCGTCCTCACGGTCGGTATCGACATCGCCGGTAGCGTCAACGCTTTCGCCGGAAAAGCAGGCAACAAACACAGCAACGTTTTCTTCCGAGAACGCCAGGTCGTCCGCCATCGCATTGGTGAACTCCTCTTTCCTCGTAATCGCGTACCACAGCAGCGTTTGGATGAGGCGTGCGAGCACAACAAGCCGAGCGATAAACACCGCGTCCTCCTCACTCCTCGCCAACAGCAGGCCCTTCATCAAGACACTGCCCAAATGACTGAGCAAGAGCGGTTTTTGAGGCCATCGAACTTTGCCCCATTGGCTCTGCTTCCGTGTCTGCGTCTGCGTGCTCGGGTGCTCGCTCTCCAGCACGATAGTTCCATCGGGAAGAATGTCCGACCCGCCGTAGAAGAGCAAGTGGAGGATTTTCGCGTACAAATCAGTCGGAGACACCGAAGAGTTCGAAGTGACGCGCGAGCTCACGTGCTTCAGCATCAGCGGCAGGAAGCGCATCGCCTCCAGAAAGAGATGTTCGCGCAACTGATCCGTGTCATGCGTGTCGAGGAATGAGCACAGCAACGTGTGGAACAAAGCGTTGCAGCCAGAGGTGGTATAGCGTTCAGGCTGAGACTTCTGCATCGCGCCACACGCCACCTTGTGAACAGCCATACACAGCGATGCCAAGCCATCCTCTAGCCACTTGTTTAGCTGCTGCGTTTCGCCCGGGTCTTCGTCACTCGAAGCTCCAACTTCAGGCTTTTGCTCCAGAAGCATCGCGCTTGCTTCCTCGCTGCTATCAGTTGAGTCGTTGACGTCAGAGCCTGCGGCTGCGTGTTCCCTCCCGACAGCATGTTCCAGCCAGCGAACCATCTCTAATTGTGTTACGATAGCCATGGGTCTCTCACTCGAGCCGTCGATAGATATTCTGCGCTCTATGGACGGGAGGGACGTGTTGACTTCGTCCGTTGTTGTGGGGATCAGCACGTTGGAGATTGACTTGCACAGAGGGCACAAGAACTCCTTCTTGGTAACATCAACGGCATTGAGAGCGTGACGGTGGTGTCCACCCGTAATTGCCCTCTGGAACTGAGACGTATGGTACGATTCCCAGCACTTGTGGTGCACCGAGTGACCGCAAAGACGCACGTGAACTGGGATATCCTCTCCGACGTGCATTTCGTCCATTGGAGTGCTCAGATACTGTCCATGCGAACCGCCATTCAGTCGAGAAAGCACAGGCGAACACTGCGCAAAGCCAACGTAGCACATGAAGCTGTTTTCCGAGTCTACCGAGTGGCACATGGCGCATTCCACCAAAGGCGCGTCATCGGTCATGGATCCTTCACTTCCATCCATTTCGACGTCGCTGTCATCGCCGGCAGCGTCAGATCCGCTATGTGCTTGCTTCTCCCGTTCACCTTCACCAACAGCTTCGTCTTCACCTGCAGCGGCATGCTCGGTTTCGTTCGCCATCGCCTTTATCTGCTCAGCGAACGCTGCTTGGCGCTGCTGCATCTGCCGTATCGCGCGCATCTGTGCCTCTTTTCGCCTCTGTGCCAAGGCTAGCTTGCGCGCAGCTTCATCACGTGACTCCTGCTCGGTCACTTGGTGTTGCTCCACGACACTCTTGCACTCGGGACTGATACGAGATAACCGATGCAGCAGCCAGTCAATGCCTCGACCAATCTCATGCTTCTGGTCGCCATCCAACTTCGTCATGCTGGCACTTCCACCGTGGCTGGACCACGGGTTCAGCTTCAACAGCAAATGCAGGATGGCGCAACGCGGCTCCGCGTCTGCATACAAACTGGGTTGCGCCTGCGGGATCCACTCGATAAAACTGTCAGCTATCCGAGACGCTCGTTCAAGCTCGAAGTGCTCTGCATCCGTCGCTGGAACCATCGTCTGGAAGTATCGCACATCTTCCACCACATACAACTGGAGCGTGAACAAGTGCACCGCTCGCGACAAAACACTCAGGCTACTGTGAGCGTCGGTCGTTGCACGCCACAGGGACTCGTATACCAATCTTCGCACGTCCTCGTGCAAAATCGAAATCCGGGACAGCCTGAAGCCTAGCGGGCACGGCAAAAACATGTTCACCATGGGGTAATCTAGCCATGTCGAGTGCGTATTGTTCGGGCTTCCATCCACTTGCTCTTGCTCTCGCTTCTTGGACGAGCGAAGGCGATGCTGGAACCAGTTTTCATGGGCCGATTCGTGCTGCTTGCGCGTCAAGTGCACAAACGTCGGGTTGTACTCGGCGTACAGCTCTGGCTTCAACCGATACTGGAATTTACCTCCGCCAGCCGCGGATGAGTCTCCTCCAGCTCCAGATGATCCTGCTTCGACACACACCTCCTTCAGAATTTGGTCGAGAATGGGACCACCCGAGAAATTGACTGGAAACAGGTTTTCCCGACTCAAGAAAAACTCGTTCGCGATCTTCGATAGGTCGCTGTGGGCGCACGGTCCAACGCATAGACGCTGAACGATTTCACGGCGTAGGTATGGAATCAAGCTGCGCATTGCGTCGCCATCAACAACCTTTGGCGGTAGTTCAGATGCGAGTTGCGATAGCAGCGCCAAACATTCAGTAACCATGAGCTCCGCTTCCTTCGCGTCGGAGCTCTGGGCCGCTTCATACCATTCCTCCACATCGAAGAGCTCCATGATTGATGCCATGACCCAATCCACACCCACCAACTGGAAACTAAACTGGAGCAGCAGCAAATCGAGATCACGGAAGCGAGCGCAGAACGGAGGCTCACCGTAGTTCATGCTGTGGTTAATCACCGACATTCCATTCCGCACCCACAAGCCCGAGTGAACCTGGGCATCCCACACGATTGCCTGCAGCACAGGCTCAATCAGGTGAACACGATGCCAAAAGCCAATAGGACTATCAGCATCGTGAATCCAAACCGACTCATCGTCTTCCAATACTCTGCTCTGAAGCATGGACAGGAAAATATCTAAGCCGTTCGCGGAGTCACTCAACGCACGGATCAGCTGCGAGAGCGTACGTTGGAGCGGGAAATGACATGACACAGCACTTTCAATCTGGTCCGCGCGAAGCGTGTCTCCGACCTGGTAGTCGGGAGGGGGGAAATACTTGCCAGCTGATGCCAGCCAAAAGTGAAATGCCTCAAGTATAGGTTTTGCGAGCTTTGCGATCAAATGCCGAGATGCCTCCGGCGAGCGCGTGGCATCAGGTCCCCCCGCAGTCTTGAAGGCATTTGATACAACCCACGAAGATACGTCCGATGTCGTCGACACGAATTCCACAGTAACAACCCAGCCGCGCGACTCCATCTCCACGTGATCTCCAAAGCGCCGAACTTCAGAGCATGCACCTTGAATGTACGCTAGATAAAGCAAAAAACGCGCCAAGCGAGAACCCCCTTTGTCCAGCACAAAGCTCTCCGAAATGCCTTCAATTTGCAAGACATACCGCAAATCCAGTAAGCCCGACATATAGCGGCGGCAAACAAATACCGGCGACGTGACATCAAGCTCAAAGCGTCCCGTGAGTTCTGTTTCAGGGGGCAGGCTCAAAAACGGCGACATCTCCCTTTGATGCCTAATGTGATAGCCTGCACGCTCAGCTTCCAGTACCAGTGCGCTCACATCGACGTCTCGTAAAGTAGACCCTTGCGAGCGCTGGATCCCCATAGCAAAAACGTCCCACACGTCCAGCTCCTGGCTGCGATCTGGGTGCAGCACGTGCACCATGCTGTTCCATGTATCCTCGAACGCAATGTCCACGAAATCGGTTTTCTTCTTCTTGCGCAGAGTTTCGAGAACTGAGTTGACCAGCACTTCGAGAAGATCATACTCGGCAACCAACTTTTTCACGAATGTAGCTCGGTTGAAGAATTGAACGCTGAAGGCTAATATTGTAGCGGTCGAGCTTCCAACGCCTGCAGCGAACTCTCGGTACAGCTGGCGGTAGGATGACGTGAATGAGATTGCGAACGCTTGCTTGAAAAGTGGGTCGGCCAGGAGAGCCATTAGCAGGCTGTGGAGAGCATCGCTTTCGGTCTTAGGCAGGAATGAGTCAGCCATAATGACGGCTCGGAGCATCGGATAGTCGTCAGCTTCATCCACCTCCATGCTGTTCTCGCTGTGCTCTAAGCTCTCTACTGCACACATCTGTGGATACAGCAAATCACCAAGTTAGACTTTACGGTGTCCAGTGCGTGTAGTTACTTTTTTCCAAGCTGCCATCGTACCTTTTCACAAATCAGGCGACAAAGGCCGTCTGAAAGGTTTGCCAGCGACGCAAGCCATTGGAGCAATGAGTTAATCAAAGGGACCCTCGCTTTATATTCGCACGATACAATTGAAGTCACAATTCCATGCTTCTGCAACGACGCTGCGAGCTCCAGAACATCTTCACGCGACGCCTTCGCTCGCACCGTACTCTGCTTCTGCGACGACGTCTCACCGACAATTTTCAGCATTTGATACTGAGCACAAAGCACGCAAACCACAACAACGAAATATCAGACAACCCGTCATCAAACTGACCGCATCACGCAGCACAGCACGTACAGCAATAGCGGGGTGCGCCTTATTCAGCGCCGTCGCGAACTCCTGCGACGTCTGCAGCTCGTTGTAGTGCACAATAACAGAGTATCTTCTCTCGGGCGGTTCGCTCCCCAGTTTATCCCGCACCACCTCCAAGTCGTCTTCGTTAATCACCGAGCCGAACCTGGCCTCCTTCACCGAGTTCAGCACGAGCTTCATCACTTCCCCAATGCACTCACGCGAGTTCACAAGCAGATCCGGCGGCAGAAAACTCAATGGGTCTGCGTCTTGAGCTCCCTACAGCAAAAAATCAATAAAAAAATAAGTTTACCTTCCCAAATTAAAAAAAATCATATCAAAATTAATTCCGCACCTTGTGTCGCGTACAGAACCCCTCGGGCGCCCACGCCTCCGTGTCTCCACAGTCGCAGCAGCCTCCGCTGTGGGTGTAGTAGAAGAACACCTCGTGGTCCTCGTGGTCGCTGGAGATGAAGCAGTCGTTGCACATCACGCACGTCTCGTCCACCTGCAACGGCACAACAGCATCAACGAAGAAAGGAGTGAGAGGAACATCCTAATGAGCCTCAGATACCCCCAGCCTCCCGTCTCATCCTGCAGGACCCTGTACCTGGCACACTTTGCAGTTCCACGCGATGTCTCCGGGCTTGAACTCGTACGCGCACATGCGCTTGGGCAGTTTCTCGAGCGCCTGGCGGCTCTCGGCGTCCAGCACGCACGTCTGCAGCTCCTGCAGCAGGCGGCGCTCCTCTCCCTCGTGCTCCTTCTCGCCCCAGCACGCGCTGGCCTGCATCTCATCCAGCAGCGCGCGCACCCGGGCCTGGGGCCCGCTCAGCGGCGCGCGATCCGGCGCCGCGTCCTGCGCCGTCGCGTCCTGCTCGTGGCTGAGGCGCCGCGCCGTGGCTGCGCGCTGGTCGATGACGCCCCGCGCGCGCGCGAACAGATCCATCGCTGTCCTGTGTCCTGCGCTCCCCCTTCCCCCGAGCGCTGCAGTATCGTGCGGTCGACTCGACTCGGCGAGGAATTTTTCAGGACTGACTTTGTGTGGGCTTCACTATGTCAACTACAGTACACATCCTAGGTTTCATGTGGTGCACATAGCGTAAGCAGATGGTGTGGTGTACATGGTTTGACGGTTGACACATGGCTACATTTGCGTCACCCAGGCTGAAGTTGAAGTTGTTGGATAGGCGCACCTTGTAGCTTGTGTCTCTGTATCTGGGCTGTCTTACTACTGTATATCTACTACTTCTTGGCGTGCGCGGCCGCGTCCTTCTCGAGGTGGCGGTTGCGCATGGCCAGCTCGTCGTTGCTCTGCGTGAGCTGCGCCACCTTCATCTTGCTCTCGATGAGCTCGCCCTGGAAGTAGTCGAGCTCCTGCTCGAGCGCCACCACCTTGGAGCTGAGCTCAGCCGACAGCGTCTCGGTCTGCTGCACCTGCTCCTGCAGCCGCGTCAGTAGCTCCTCGCGCGCCATGATCTCGCTGCTCAGGCGCTCGTCGTGGTCCACCGACATGCGGCGGTGGGTCTCCGTCGTCTCCTGCAGCTGCAGTTCGCGCTCGAGCGACTCGCTCTCGATCTGCGTCTTCGATGCGCGCAGAGCCTCCAGCTCCTCGCGTAGAGCTTCTGCCTCGCGCTTGACCTCGTCTACCTGCGCCTGCAGCTCGGCCGCCTTCTCGTCGCCGTTGGCCTCGGACTGCGCCAAGCAGAACTCGAGCTCCTCCACGCGGGCCTGCAGCCGCTCGTTCTCCGTCTTGACGTCTTCCCAGAGCCGCTCGAGCGCCTGATGCTTCGTCGTCGCCTCCTCGAGCGCGGCTGCGCTAGCGGTCAGTTGGTTGTCCCGCAGGCTTTCGAGTTCCTGCTGCGTCTCCTGCAGCTGGGTCGACACGTCGCGGACCTGCTGCTGCAGCGTGCCGACCGTCGCCTCCGTTGCAACGGCGTTCTCCTCCGCGCGTTCGCGCGCTTGATCCGCCTCTTCCAGCTTCGTCGACAGCGTTTGGCTCTTGGTCTCGAGCTGCTCGAGGGCGTTCTGCACCTTGACGATCTCTTCTTGCGCGTTGGCACTGGCGATCTCGGCCTCGCGCAGCTGGGCCAGCAGTCGAGCCTTCTCCTCCTCCATCGCGGTCATAGCGCCGTCAAACTTGAGCAGTTGACGCTCCAGGCGCTTGTTGTCGCTCAGAGCGGTCTCCAACGCCTGCGCTTGAGCTTCAGCCTCCCCAGCTTCGGTGTCACCGATCTCGTTGCGCACGGACTCAGCGCGTTGCAGCGCAGCCGTAGAGAGCTGCAGCTCCTCGTCCTTCTGCTCGATGGCAGCTCGCAGCTCCCGTAACTGAGCCTCGAGCTCGGTGTTAGAAGAAGTCAGCTCCTGAATGGTAGCGTTAAGCTGCTCGGCTTCGGTGCGCTGCGTCGCTAGAAGTTGTTTGAGCGCGCTCACCTCCGCAACCAGATGAGGCTCCTCAGCATCCACGTACTCGTTCGCAGAAGAAGCCTCGGAGACATCGTCCTTGACGGACTCTTTGGGTTTACTACCACCCTCTTCCTTGTTGTCTTCCTCCTCGTTCTCTACATCAGCAATCGTGTACATGCCACTGGCAGCTGGAGGACCGTCCGCGCTCTTTTGGGCCGTTTGACAAGCCTCGTGCTCGAGTTTCAAGGCGTCAAACTGCTCCTTCAACGTCATGTAGACGAGGAAGTCCACCTGCATGACGCCATCTTCCGCCTCGGAGCTTGACTCGCCAATTCCCGCTGCCATTCGAGTGAGCCGCTCGATCTCTCGGTCCTTTTGCTCGATTGCAGCTTCGAGCTTGACGTTAGCCACTTCACTCTCTCGTAGCTGAGCTTCCAGGTTCTGCAGAGCCTTCACAAGTTCGTCACGAGCATTGTCAGCCGCTGCAACGGCCTCGTCCGATGCTGCTGGATGTCCAGCAGTGCGAATAGCGTCAGCTTTTCCTTCGCCAAGGCCGACATGCTCAGGGATGGGCGTGTCGATGTTGCGGCGGCAGTTTGAGGCCAACGAGGACGCGCGACTGTTGTTCGTGTACGCCGACATCTCCGAACCCATTTCGCTCGTGCTGTCCTCGACGTAAGACCTCTCGTGGCCCACGCCATCGCGTCCGCGGTTCACCCGAGAGCTTACAACAGTGATCGACATGCAAGCTCGAGGATCATCCGTGCACTTGGTCGTGTTCAAGCGTACGCTCTCCTTACCCGAGTCTTTCGAGACGGGAACAAGCTCCGCCAAGTCAAACTCGAATACCGCGAGGGTTCTCCCGTGCTCGCCGACGGTGTTGATGTGGATCTGGAAGCGCTTGGCCTGGAAGAGCCCCGACTTGGCCATGTAGAGCGTGCTGGAGAACGCCACCATGTCACCCCAGACAACTTCGCCTGTGTCTCCGCTCCTCGACTGTGACGACTGAATCGCCCTGGACCCGTTCAACCGTCTTAATGAGCCATCGTCACCGGGGTCAGCAGGATGGTAGACTGCGGGCTTGGTCGGAATCTTCTTCTTCCGGCCCATTATGACAGCCACCAGCTCGGTGTCATGCTTGACGGCCAAGTTGGCGTTCAAGCGGTGCACCACGAGCTGCACTTTGAAGCCCACGGGGGCCTTGTTGGACCGCTGAGCGATCTGCACGAGGCGACTCATGATTCGAGGAACTCAACGGAGTCGCTCTCCCTCCAGTCAACTGGGGGGTGGGCTTCGGTTTGCCGACGTCAATCCCAAATGGGAAGTCCGAGCGCTCGGGAGTGGAGAAGTTTTCGGCGGGGACGATGCACCGACGTCCCGGAATAGAGGGAATGGCCAAAGCACGCCACGGGTGACAAGCTGTCGGTTGTCCTCAGAAATGGTTGGCACTATTTTTGCGGGTGGATTGCAGGAAGTACCAGCGTTTCAATGGGGGGTGATGGATAATCAGTGTTTTTCCTTTAGTTTATGCTGGTGGGCTGTATGGTTAAGCTGCTGCTACGACGAAGGGGGTAAATTGGTGGGGGAGAACGCGTTGGTCCTTAGTATGCCATACGCTTCTTGCGCTCTATCGCGTCGTAGGTGTTGGACCAAATGTTCTTGATCGTCTCGTAGTCATCGCTCGCGAACTTGGCAGCCACGAAGCGCAGCGATGGCACCGTCAGCGAGAAGTAGTGCAGATTGCCTGTAAATGTGCGAGTCAGTAGGCTTTCGGTTGTTGCTACAAGCTGAAGTATACGCACCGTAGCCTTTGTAGATCTTGCACTTGATCGGCGAGATTTTGTGGTCTCGGCACAGGCGGAACGACTGGATCTGGGTATGAACGCCACGTTTCTCGTATAGAGCGATCACGCACTGGTATCGCAGCAGCAAGCACAGAGTTAGTTCACTTCTCGTCAAACTGTGCATGCTGTTACAGCAAATCCAACCTCATGGTAGGCCGCTCGAGACACGAAGAGCTGTAGTACGTCCATTTTGGAGCCTCCAAAAGCAAAGTACTTGGTTGTCCAGGTCGCGTTGCCCGACGTCAGATTGCCAACGCTAAATGTGCCATCTACAGTAGAAAAGTTCACAACGTTAGAACAAGAGTCAAACCTCACAAACTGGAACTGTGGGGAGAAATACGTACTGGAAATCCTCGTGAGGATTGTGCCTTGAGTCGTGTCCTTCGTTTGAGGCCCACGCTTGAAACGCATACGCAGTGGTCGTGGTGCAGCCTTGATCATGTCCAGTATGGCGATATACGACTCGTTCTCGACGCTCTTCCGGTTGATAGCCACCACGGTGCTGCCAATGCTTACCCCGACGCGGTCAGCGGCGCCATTTTCCACCACGAGCTTCACCACCGCCGTCTCTTTGCGTTGGTTAGCCTCGTTCCAGACGTCGACACGCTCCATGAGGACCCCAAGCTTGCGACCGCTCTCGAAGCGAACGTCGTATTCGTCCTTTTCGCACTCCTCGGGGATTTCCCCATGCTGCGTCGCCTCTGAGGGGGGATTCGACGACCGACGCTCATTGCCACTACCCCTTCTACTCGAGGTCGTCTCGAAGTCATCTAGGTTAGCAAAATTCGAGCTCATAAAGGCGTCGTTACCTTCGAGGAAGTACGGGGTATTGTCTTCGCTGGCAGTACTCGCGTTGGCCGTCACGTCTCTCAACGAGATCCTGGATTGAAGCGGCTTGGCGGAAGCTGCAGCGAAGCCCTCGGTAGAGAAGCCCAGTTGCGAACGCTGCTCTTCTTGGGTCGGGCGTCTGCCTCCAAAGGATGACATTCGGTCGTTTCCACCGGACGACTGGGTCGTCGACGTGTTCGCGTCTTCGGGGAAGTCGAACGGTGTCCGCGGCGTGGACCCCTTCGGGCTGAAAGGGTCGAAGTCGACGATAGTAGACTTCAGATCACGGGTTTGGTGCGATGGCGCAGGTGCTAGCGTTGGCTCGGGAGCGCGGATACCAGCGAAGTTGGGCGACGTGGCGAACGGATCCGCAGGCTTCATGACGTTCTTGATGTTGTCGTACATGATCGGCTCGCCGCCGTAGGTCGGCATCGGCATGAGCTTGGTGGGGGCATTGCTGACATTCTGCTGATACTGGGGCTGCATCATCATGACCGGGGCGGGGGCGGGCATTTGCTGCTGCTGGTACGGGTTGTACGTTGCGAACTGCTGGCCTCCACCACCCAAGCCTCCAAAGGCCGAAGGACCTTGCTGGGTCATGAAGTTGGCGCCATTCGGGTACATCGGCTGCATCGGTTGCTGCTGCTGCTGAGGCATCATCATGCTGTTTCCACCGGCCATCGGGTTCACACTCGCGAAATTGTCGAAAGGGTTGGCCATCGGTGGATACGCCGGTCTAGGAGCCGTGGAGAAGTTTGATGATGAGGCACCGCTTTGCGAGGACGATCCAGGCTTCTGCATGGGGTCTAGCATTGCAAACGGGTCGCTCATGTTGGTGCGGTGGGGAAAAGTCTGCTAGAACCGGACGCTTGCACAGCTGCGAGAAAGCAGGAAATGACCGCGCACCTTCGAGGTTCTTGGTGGGCACTAACTACAACATCGCAGAAACCGCTTTCGTATATATAGCGGAGGTCGTGGGACGGCGTGAATGGTGCAGCATTTCACGCGCGCAACGGACTCAAGACGCAGAATTAGCGCTGGAATTCGCGGCAAAACGGACGCGCGTTGAAGCGTGGACGTTGAGAGATGCGAATCCTGCAGCCCAAAGCGCAGGAGTAATCCAAAGAGTGATTGATGAATGATAAATTTATTCAACGTAGGTTGAGTTTCGAGGTGTGCAGGTTAGATAATGTGCAGACCTGGTTGTAATCCGCATCTTACCAGAAGATGTCGTTCGAGGTCGAGGCCGGGTTTGCAGGAGGGTTGGTTGGGGCTGCGGCGAAGATATCGTCGACCGGAGCCAGTGACGCACTGCCCGCTACGAAGTCGTCGACGGTAGTAGGCTCGCTAGTCACCGACGTTGGGGCAGAATCTCCTCCTGCAACACTCTTCAGTGAGATCTTGGCCGTGTGGCCTGTGCCAGCGAAAGCTCCGGCGTTGAACCCGAGGTTCTTGCGCGCGGCCTCCTGAGTCGGTCGCTTTCCGTGTGCAAGTCGGCTTGCAAGAGCGCTGGACTTGCTGCCCGAAGAAGGCGCGGTCGATTGAGCGACAGGGGGAGCACCACCACCACCACCTAAGAAGCTGAAGTCGACATCAGAAGCAGGGGCTTGTGGAGCACCAAAGGGATTGGCGACAGGCTCGGGGGTTCGCACAGGTTCCATGGACGGGTTGCTGTTCACCTTGGCGCCACCACTATCTCCGATACCCTCCAAGAAGTCCATGGACGCATCGTCCACAACGGGTTTCTTCTCTAGCAGCTTCTTGATGTTGTCGTACATGACTGGGGCTTGCTGAGGCGGCTGCTGGCCGAACGGATTCATCGGCTGCATCATTCCGGGACCCATGCCCATTCCCATTCCTGGGGCACCGGGGAATTGTCCAGGCATCATTCCACCGGGAGGAGGCATGCCGCCCATGTTCATATTCATGTTCATGTTCATGCCGCCACCGTTGAACGCTGGGGGAGGGGCCATCCCCATGCTCATGTTGCCATGAGGGGGCATGCCCATTCCGACGTTTATCGGCGCCACGGGAGCTGGTGGAACCCCCACCGGAGCGTGGTGAGGCTCGCTGAGAGCTTTCTCGGCCGGAGTCTTGGTCGACGCGATCGGGTTGAGGAAATCGAACGGGTCACTCATGTTGCTGCGCGTTGGTTGCACTGGTGCTACAAGGCCGGCGAATTGGATAGTGAGGGAGGCGGAGGCAGCTCCTTCAAGCCAAACAGCTTCGCTCCTTCCTCTCTAGGAAGCTCTATCAATAGTGTGATAAGCTTCGGGGCTCAAAGCTGAGGCCTTCACGTCTTAGCTCCTAAAAATGGTGAGCGCTACTGAGACCTCACTACTGTGTAGGGAGTCTGGGCGCAACGGATACATGCATAGGAAGGATCAAAGGAGTACTTCATCAATCAATTTGAACATTGCAACGTATCCCAAACCAAAATAATAAACTTCTGTAGCGCTCCTCTGTCGTCCTTGGGTACCAATGTGCGCTGGTTGGGGCTGGTCCGCTTGTGCGAGCACGCGGCGACGTCTATACTAATACTTCACGCGTAGACTCCAACGACAGTAGTCGCGCTCAATCGTACTTCTCCACAAACGGGGTCGGGAAGGAGAACTTCTCGTTGTTGTCCGACTCGGACGCCCTCTCCGACGCAGTCGTCGAGCCGCCCGTGCCGCGGTACGACTTGCGCTGCTCCGTAGGCAGACGGATCTCCATCTCGGCCACGCGCGTCATCGTCGTGGTGAGCAGCAGCATGGCCTCGTTGTACTGCTTCTCTTGGTCCGCCACGCGGGTCATCAGAATCTTGTTGCACTCCTCCAGCGTCGCGATGCGGTGCTGCAGCGCACTCACGTCCGCGGTCTGGTGGTCGCTGTCCGTAAGACTCACAGTCGTGTCGCTGATGGCCGTGTTGCTGCCGTGCGTACGGCCACCGCTCGCCACGCGGTTCGGCCGTGCACCGGCGGTGTTTGTGCTGTAGCGTAGGTTCATCTGCGGGCCGGGGACGTTCGAGGGGCGGCCCATCATTGAGTGCGTGGACTCGGCGCGAGTCGTGCGCGCGCCGTTCATACGAGATCCGAGCGGGTTGCTGGGGCGTGAGCTGTTGTATAGCATGCTGTTGTTGCTGATCGTGTCCGTTGCTTCGGGTACCGTCGAAGGTGCCGACACCGTCGACGGAGGCGGCAGCGACGTTTTGGTGCGCAGGTTCGGACCCTTCTTGTCAGTCGGAGGACCAGTATTAGACACCTGACTTCCAGACGCACGGGCTGCCCGGCCGGCCGCACCTGACGCGGTGTTGGCCGACATGGGGCCGTTGCGGTGGATGCGGTAGCAGTCACCACAGACCGATCGCTTCTTGGAGTAGTTGGGCAGCATGATCTTGCCAGCCACGTGCTTCTTGCACAAGTACGTGAAGCAGCCCTTGCACTGATACTTCTTGCGGAACATGGAGAACTTCTTGTAGCACACGCCGCACACACCTGCGTTGTGGTCGGGCTCATAAATTGGTCGGCCGTAAGCAGAATCATCAAAGTTAGCGGGAGCTGGAGCTGCCGGTATCTCGCGCGCGCTCTTAGAGCGTGCAGGCCCCAACGCAGGCGGACCATGCGCCTGCACAGACGGCGACGCAGTAGGAGGGGACAGCGTGTCGGTCACCAACGGCTGCGTGGTGGTGGTAGTATTGCCGTCGTTCTTCCGAGGAATGGGCACCGTCTTGGACAAGTTGGACTGCGACTGCACCAGCGTGCCGTCCACAAAGCTGAGTGTCGTCACCATGTTCTGGCTGTGCTCGAACGGGTTTGTCGAGGCGCTGAGGTCGAAGGCCGCGCCGATCGGGTTGGACGGCGGCAGCGACGCGTTCGGGCCGCTCATGGACGGCGGGTGCAGCATGCTCTCGCGCAGCAGCTGGCTCTGCATCTCGATCTCCCTCTTGACATCTTCGTAGTCGAAGGCCTCGTCGTCGTCCTCGCTTAGGTCCAGGTAGTCCTGCTCCGCGCGCTGGAGCATCTCCATGGCGCCCTGGGGGAGCTGCATCTCCTTGGCGAGCTGAATGACCGTCTTGCCCGCGGGCGTCTCCTCCATGAGCGAGCTGGGGCGCGCGTCCACGAGCAACCGCAGCGTCTCGAGCGGCGCGCGCGCCTTGACGGCGATGTGGATGGGCAGGTACTGCGCGTTGTTTTTGGTGATGACGGCCTCGGGGAAGGCCGCGAGCAGCGCGCGCACGGCTTTGGGGGGCGTGTCGTCCTCTGTGCAGGCCCAGTGCAGCGGCAGCATGCCATGGTGGTCCTTGTGGCGCGCGAGCTGCGGCTCGGACGCCACGCGGTCGATGAGCGTGGTCCACTTGCCCATCTCGGCCAGGCGGATGCCCTCCTTGTAGTGCGGGCGCGAGCTGCGGTCGACGCCCAGCGAGTCGGCGCGCACGGAGCGACGCGTGTCCTGCGACTCGCGGTGCTGCTGGTGCTGCTGCTTCTTGTCCGCGGGCTTGCGCTGCGGCGGCTTCTCGCTGTCGCTGCCGCTGCTGGAGCTGCTCGTGTCTGTGACTGCGGTGGCCGCCTTCTTGAGCTCAGGCGTTGCGGCCGCAGCTGCTGCGGGCTCCTCAAGCATGGCCATCGCTGCTGGCACGGAGGAACCGCTCGGTGCCTTTCTGGTTGTGGCCGCGGGGGGCGCGCGGCTGGTTCCCTCGCGGCGTCCGGCGCGTTGTGCCCTCGTCGCCGCGCATGGGATCGCCGCGCCCGGCCTATGGCGCATCACGCGTGACCTGCTGGCCACAATCGGACGCGAGCAGCTACGATAGCGGATTCGACGGGGTATGAAGGACAATGGGAGAGGTAGAGACAGATGCTGTATGGGATCTTACACATGGTGTGCGGTGTGTGTTAGCCACGATATGACGGAACAGAGGGAACAATTGTAGAGACCGTAGATGCGCCGAAGGTCTAATCCGAAGTGCGCAGACTTGCAACGGGACGACGCCGGGGCCTTGCCCCGCCACTTGGCCTCGTGCCTGTGTGTCACCTCGCTTCAAACGCTTCCGCACCCATGCCAGCGATACATTGGCGCCTCCATCCGCCGCAATGAAGACGTGGCTGAGTTGCTGGGGCTGCAAGAATCTCCCAACTTGGTGTTGTGATACAGCAGCATCTCCGATACGCTACGCAGGTGACATGCTTGCGCGCAGCGGCCGTGGCCCGCGGCATCTTGGACGGAGCTCTCATATGGCAAGAGAGAGTGCTTTGGTCCCACCCCGCATCAAGCAACTTGCTTGAAGCAAGACCCCTGCTCGACCGTCGTGAAGGCGCGGTCCTCGGCCGCCGAGGTTTGGCGACTCAGGACAAGCCGTGGATGGTGCTGTTGCCATAGAGTTCTCCATGGCTCCTCGCCAACAGCTCATCCATCCTTAGGCTATCCCTACCTGCATCTGCAGCGCCGTCACGTTTGCAGTCTACGCGGAGGCCGTTACCGGTATATCGCGTCGCTCGAGCTTTCATCATGTTCAACTTCTCCGGACTTGAATGCCCAGTTCGTCTCCGCATTGCGCGCGTCCAGCTGCTCGCCAGGATGTCTAGGTGCGCGTATCTGCTGGGTGGCATTGTCAAGTTGATTCAGGCATCCACGGGCTGAACCAGAGGCCTCTCCGCTGCAGGAACCTCACAGAGTGCAGCCACTGCACGCCCGCATTGACTCATTCTCTGCGAAGTCGGCAACCGGATTGATGCTGGCGATTTGCTTCTCAGGTCTCTCTCTCCACTGTAACTTTACCATGGAGTCCATGAGGCAAACAGGCTTCCGTCACGCAACCAAAGTCGAAGATCTTCCCCGCTGGACTCTGCTGGCATCGGACACTAGCAAGCATTGCGACGCTAATGAAGCACGCGCCAAGCAGCGCCAACTTCAACGTGGATCAAACCTACTTTATCCAAGATAAAAAGGGTCAGATCGCACATACTTTATCCAAAATAAAAGGGTTCAGACCAAAGTACTATCCTCCACAAAATACTTCGCTCCACCCTCCCCGTCAAAAGTAACGACCTCCTGTGTCAAAGCATTGCCGTTCCCAGAAATGATACCCACAGCCGAGACTTCTTCGCCCGCCAGCGCCGTACAGGTCGATGCGGACACCACCGCTGCGTCCACATCTTTCCCTCCGCCCTCCCAGCCTCCTAGGAAAAATTCAGCGTTGCGCGCGAAGCGCCCGGCGCGCGAGCGCCAGAGGAAGCAGCGCTATGAGCTTCTGCACAGCATGACTGAAGGTTCGAGATGTTTTGCATTGATGCGGGACGTATTGCAGCCTTTGCAATCGTTTAATAATCCTTTTCCTCCTTTCTATTCGACAGAGGAGCGTCGGATTTTCTTGCAGCAAGAGGCTGCGGACAAGGAGGAAGCTCTGCAGCGTCTGCAGCGAGCGGCGGCGACTGACTCCACCAACCAGCGAGTTGCCATCGATCTGGGCTTCGACAGCATCATGAACGACAAGGAGATCCGAAGCCTGGCCAACCAGCTCAAGCTCAGCTATGGCGCGATCAAGCAGATGCCCGAGCCGTTCCAACTGCTCTTCTGCAACCCCAGCGAGCAACTGGAGCACTCTCTGGAGCGGTTCGGCGCCAGCCACTGGCACGTCCAGTGGCGGCGTGGCGCTGATAGTGTTGCAGAACACTTCTCTCCTGACGAGCTCGTGTATCTGTCGCCCGACTCGCCGAATGTGCTGGAAAAGATGGATCCGACCAAGATCTACGTGATTGGCGGCATCGTGGACAAGTCTCGCAAGAAGGTAAGGAAGGAAATCTATGAGCTACAGGTGTTCTTGGTTCTTGTTGACAGCTAACAGGAGCGGCGCGTGCTGTAACGCATCGCAGGGGGCTACACTAAACACAGCTACTGAAGCAGGTATCAGGACGGTTCGGCTACCGATTCAGGAGAACATCCCGGAGCGACTGGATCACATCTTGAACGTCAACACGGTCGTTGACGTGTTGATCAATTTCCGAGAGCTTGGTGACTGGCCGCGAACGCTGGAGATCGCGCTACCTCAGGTGCATTAGAATATGACGACCGAAATTGCCGTGGTTTGATCAAAACTGTAGCTTACGATTTGCTGTGCGAATGTCTTGAGCAGCGCAAGCGAAGCCAGATTGGACGGAAGGCCGTCCGCCGGCGACAGAAGCAGCAAATGCTGCAACACTCAACGGCTGAGCCTCCAACAGAGCATGTCGACCTTGGTAAGAAGACTCGAAGCAACAGCGACAAGTGTGACGAAACAGGAAACCCCGAATCAGAACTGTCCCCCGTCGAAGACTTGAATTTGTGGTTGGAGGATGGAGCGGCATGATCGGTATCTAAAGTCTATGACAATTTGCCAGTTGTTGAAGCCGTTGAAGAAGCGTCACAATAACAGCAGATTTTCTGAGAGTGCGATCACAAGGTTTGGATCGAGTTCGCCGCTCCGTTCCCCATCGTGCCGACAACGTAAAGCTGACATTCGCGCCAGTCGTGCTAATGCGACGATGTCAATCACGACCGTTATCCTGCCATATATACTTGCTCCAGGAAGTTGTCAGTGCATGGTCACCTTGGGTTTCACCGTTCGCCACTGCTGCAGGTGCACGACTTCGACCATGTCGTCCAATCATCGCAGCAAACTCTGCGCAGCGCTTGAATCCCGAGCAGTGTAAGCAGTGGGCCGAAAGAGGAGTCTGGAGCGTGCATCACGTCTTGACCATTGGGCTCAGGCCCCGTGCGATTCGCCTGCCCCGTGAAGCCGCCCCCCTTCAAAAGGAAGGCACCGCGAGGTGAATCTCACCGAGTGTGTGAGGCCTTGCCAAAAGATACTCGACGGTCCAAATTGTTGTTGGCCCACACCAACCGCCGCAGTAGAAGACTTAGATATAACTCGTCCAGCTTTGCGGATCAGTTCCACGTCTCTACGGGGATACGCTCCGCCACGAGGGTAGCCGTGTCTTCGCCGCTCTGATCGTTATCACAAGTGTCAGTTGTTGAAGTGTACAGCTTCACAAGTCGCAGATTTTCATTGTGAATTCTTGTCTTGAGAAATCTGCGACTTGTGAGAATTATTGTTGTTGGGATAGAGTGACCTTTTGATTTGTATAGAGCGAGATCGAGAGAGAGAGAGAAAGTCTCATTTCCGATGGAGCCCGCCACCACGTCGTTCTTGTCGCCCTCTTCACCCCCCAGCTTATTATCAGGGATGCCTACGCGCGCACCTTCAACTCCTGCAACAGACACGACGGCGCCCGCTGCACTGTCGTTGCGATGCTGTGCTGTCCACGGTTGCGAGGGTTATCCGCAACGCACAGGCTTGTGTCGAGCACACGGAGGCCAAGGCGGTCGCTTGTGCCTGGTGGAAGGCTGCGACCGACGAGAGCAAGCCAAAGGCGTGTGCCGACTTCATGGCGGTCGGACGCAGTGTCGGATGGATGGGTGCGAGAAGGCCGCCCAGAGTCGAGGACTGTGTCGAGCGCACGGTAGGGGCGAAGGGAAGCAGTGCGTTATCGAGGGCTGCGCGCGCAGGGAACAGGTGAACAACCGCTGCAGGATCCACGGAGGGAAGGAGAAGTGTCGGGTGCGTGACTGCTCCAAGTTCGCACATCGAGCTGGAATGTGTCGAGAGCACGGAGGCGGGGGAGGGAAACTGTGTATCGTGGACGGATGCACGCGGCGCCAGCAAGCCAAGAACAAGTGCAGGATTCACGGCGGACAGGTGCTGTGCGAGGTTGAGGGGTGCAGCAAGTGCTCGCACAGAGGAGGCGTGTGTCGTGAGCATGGCGATGGATCGGAGTGCCGGGTGGAAGGCTGCATCAAGTATGTGCACAAGGGAGGAGTGTGTCACTCGCACAATATGGAGAAGCAGAGTTAGCACTTTTCTTCAACGACGCTATGTACTACTGGGTTGCCGCAGCAATAGAGAGTCAAGGACGCTATCGACAAACTGACGGCTTTCTTGTGGTGGTCCGTATAGATGTGGAGAATTATCGATTGGTTGAATTTACCTGAGGTCTCCGTCTTCCACAGTTGGTGTAGACTCACAACCATCTACTCAAAGCGAAATGCCGGTATAGCATCTGGGGAATTTTGCAAGCAAATTAATCATCGTACGAAATCCGATTCCAATGGTCAGATAGTCACGTACGCACCAGGTTTTTCCGTTCGGTCTGCAACGCAGTATTCCAGGACTTTAAGCATTTATGGGCTGGGCTCTCCACTGGTGTCAGTCTAGGAATCGATACTACCCTCGTCACATGTCGAAGCTGCAATAAGTACGTAAATGCATGTGGGTGGCGGTCCCAACTACACAGTAGTTCTACTAAACATCAAGGTCGGCACCGATTTTTTTTGAAGTGTAGGATTTTCTAAAAAGGAAGGACCAATCGACAATAGATTCTCAGTGTAATCACTATTACTACTACTTAAGCAATTAATGCACTATGGCGCTCCGGAGATTTCCCAAGGCTTCAGCTCGAGAGTCATTCTTTGAACCCAAGACGAACTCGAGGGGGTTTCGCCGAGTGCGTTACTGCAGTATTAGTTGATAGCGAGGGTCTGAATTGTGACTTTAACCACTCATGCAACTGGTTGTTCCTTTCCGCGGATCTGGACCCCAACAAGCAAAAAAACAATCATGCGCACTGAAAATAATGAAGTCTTTCGTGCTAGTTGCATTTGTGTTATGACTGTCGGCAAGTTGCCTCAAAAATTTGAGTTTGAAGTTTATTACAACCCCTTCATGTAGCTTGTTCTAGATTGCTAATCCAGTCGGGGTTAGGCCCTCGTACATGTAGTATCTGTAGTTGCTACAATAAGTACTCCTCATACAAAGTCGCGCGCTGCACGAAGAAGCCCTGAAATTACAGACCTATATTTTTGTAGAAGGTAAAGCCCAATTGCTCACTGCAGCGCATCTCCTGCGCCTGCTTCGCAGCCGCAGCATCTGCAAAGTTGACTTGGAACTTAGCAATACGTCAGTATCCTGGAGCATTACCCTCTACGATCAACTTCTGCTCACGGAACAATATGCTGTCGGCTACTATTCACTTCATGACTTCACCGCCTATTGCTTCTTGTTAATTCAATTTTTCGATACTACGTATTGAACATTTTTTTAATTAAAAAAGTAACGCAACCACTAGCTCATGCAGAGTTGGTTTCCGACCTATTGGGGTTGGTCCCGCGAGTCGCGTGCCGCGATCCATCAGCTTTTACACAGAGCGGCATAGTTGTGATGGGAGCGGAGGTGGGTCTTGCCAAATGGACAGACCTTTGTCGGTGTGCTTGGCGAGCGCAGTCGGCACGGCACGGTACGGCGTAGCTCAAACCGTACGTGATGATCGTGGACGTTTCGGGGGGGGGGGGGGGGGGGGGTTAGGCTCGTAAGAGCGACAGGGATGACCGGTTGTGCTGCGACAGTAGTCATCGGCAACCACATAACGTTCTTGCTGGTGTGGACTAGCGGCCATCCATATGTCCAGCGTTCGTTTTGCGCGTCTCCGAGTGCTCTTCGAAACTTTCGAATCGAAAGCCTCGGATTTCTTTCGAAAAACACAAGTCGCCGTTCGGACTTGGTTCCAGTATCCATGCGGACCCCACGCGCCCCCTCGCCGCACTGGCGCTGCCAAAAAAACACACGGAGTTCCGTGCAAAAACACAACTTCACGGCAACCGAATGATGTATCCGCAACATCAAGATCGTACATAAGCGGAGGGGGGCGACGACACAGGCAACATTCAGGCAATTTACTAGGGCTTCGCGGGGGCTGAGATAGCAAAAATAAACTAGGCCGTCTGCGACTTAGCTGGGAACACTTATGAGAAGAAGTGCTGTATTCGGCAGTGGTAGATGTTGCAGTGTCAAGTTGAAGTGCTTGTCCGTGTTTAGGTCTTTCGCAATTAAGATGAAGTCCAAAGCACTATATAGTAATTGATATACGGACAGCCCTGTCAGATTCGGCAGAGTGGGACCAATAGAGAGTGGAAGGTTGTAAAATTCATGCAGGCTTCACATTGATTCAAATGTACTGAATTACTAAAACTTGAGCTTAGTGGAGGTTGCGTGCGGCGCATGTGCATGCATCATTGAGCTTACTATCCCCGGATGCCTCCAACAATTCCTGAGAGTATCCTGCGTAACTCCGTCCCAAGCATGTGACGCCCACTCCACAGCATACTTTTTCACCTTGTCGTCAGAAAGATGACTATATCGCTTCTTATATTCATCGCTTGATACTTGAAATGTTTCTGGTAGACCAGAAAGCGGGATGCACACGTGTCCACACTGAGATCCCACCAGAAATTCGCAGCAAGAAGCACACGCAAAAATCCCACTCAATGACGGATCTGCAGCTGCCGCTGATTCTTGGCAGCGTGCGTATTCAGCTACGCCTGGGGGAGAATCCAATACTCTCATCAATCGTTCCCGCACTGATTCACTTTCACGAACGTGCTCGTCATTGAAAACGAATGCATCTGGATGACCTCCACAGCAGTAATGGTAAGCCAAAGCTAATCTCGGATCAGCCGTAAACTTCTGTCCACTCTCCATCAAAGCCATTTCGTCATCAGTTATGCTGTTTTTCAGCAAGATAGAATATGCTAAGTCCTGTAGACGTTCATCTTGACCTCGTTGCCGCGACTCTTTTTCTGCAAATAAAACAACAACCAATCCATCAGAGACTAGAATATTGCATCGAATCGAAACAATACCATGATACCTTTTCTTTTCTTCTACGTAGCCCGGGATGCTCGCACAGTATCTGCAGGCCGCTTCAACTTGTTTTGCTTTGTAGCCATCTCTGCAGGCGCCATATCGCTAGAACCACGATCTGCTACACCCTCTCGGCTACTAGCGAGAGTCTTCTTGCGCTTCGCGCGGTAATTGCGCGAGTAAAGAGCCTGCTTGCGCTTTTTATCTTGCGCCGCCACTCCAGCTGATGTTTCAGCGCTCTTCGTTTTAGTAGCTTCTTCCGTTGATACGTTGCCGTCAATATCGCACTCGCGCCGCTCGCAGCTACTTGCCGTGATACGAGAGGAGCCCTGGTCGCTGCTACCCACGGTCGTTTCTGCCAAAGCACCACCCGAGCGCGTTGCAATCTTTATTCGCTTGTGTCTGGCACGGTAATCCCGCATGTAAAGGGGCCGCTTCTGCTTCTTTCTGTTAAGCAGCTCTTCAGCAGCTGATTGCTTAGCGTTATCACGCTCGCGTTTCCTTTCCGACGCCACTACTTTGGCGGAATCAATACTGCTCGCAGTTGAAAGCGCTTCGAAAGTATTCGACACTCGCCTGCCTTCGCCACGGACGGCGCAGCTAGCATCCTTAGACATTATTCCGCCTTGAGATCAATAGGCAAACTGTCAGTAGTCAATCAGATCTATTCAATTCAATCATATCTTGTCACTGCCGTTGAAGTCGTTGAAGTTGCTGGGTCAACATTCACTATTCGAACTGTGCCGCGAAGGTTGCGCCAAGTTACGCTTACGCGTCCAAGTAATCCGTTGGGAGCTGTCCACTCCCTCATTCTTCGGGTGTTCCCAGTACAAAACAGATAAACGCACAGCGCACACGCCTTAGGCGCGCCCCACTTGCGGCGCACCAGTCGCCCGCACTGTGCCTTTATATTATGAGCATCCACATCTACCATATAATCAGACCTTTAAGTACTTACGATAATATCAATTTGCTTTCTTGCCTCCGCGCTGTTTTAATAACCAAATACAAACAAGTTATAAGCTGCAGCAACGCCCTCCCAAGCAGACGACTATTCTTACCTTCGTGCTGTAAATGCACCCTGATGTTGCTGCGGCTTCAGGCGTGAGAACTGGAAATGATTCGAATGAAACTTGATGATGCGATTGATGCTTCTTCATTGATAGAGACCGACTAGGTAATTATTCAGATTACCTATTAAGTCTATTTTCATAATATTTCAATATATGATGGATACTTAAACGCATGCGTTACACGCACGGCTTCATGCGACACCAAATAGGCAACCCGGAGCGTTGCTCCGGGAGGGTACACAGGTCGACAAATAGTTTCATGGACGACGATAGCGGATAATAATTGTAAATCCCAAAGTTGTTTTGTTTTTAATCCTTAAAAGCACTACCAATCCAACTCTCTAGTTGATTCTAACGTGGGCATCTACTGCGCCTGCTTCGCAGCCGCAGCATCTGCCCGAGAATGGGTAATTGAACAAATAGTTGCGCACATCGAAGTGTATCGATACGGAAATGATGTTTCAGCCAAACCTTTGTGAGGCTGGTAACCAGCAAGCCCCGCTCTTGTTTATCGTGGCGGGTTCTCAGGAACCGAAAGTAACCAATTGAGGTTGCCTAGTCTGATGACGCCATCGGTGACATAACACCCTGGTCAGCGTCCAATGGCTGCGTTGGCACCAGCAAAGAGAGAGCTATTTCATTAATTTTGCAGGTAAGGTATACTGTGCTCATTTTTTGTACTATGTTGTGTGCTAACGATCAGACGAGAGAACTACAGTAGCGGAACGAAGGAGCGACGCATGGTGCGTTGATCTTGACCATTTGACTTGAGGATGTTAGCTAAGTGACAACAATGATCCTCAATTCAAAAACAAAGCAAACAAACAAACTTTTAACTTGAGGGCTTGGGGAATAAATTGCGGAATGATATATACGCTAATGGGCTGATTCCTTGGAAATGGGTGCTTCAACGCCGGGAAAAAAGTCTTGTTCAAACGAACGATGCTCGTGTCACTGTCGAGTTGAGCTGATTGGTTTGGCGACAGACACGAGGTTGAGCATCTTCGGCTAAGAGTGATTCAGTATTGAGCAAATTGACATGTAAAAAAATGCAGCCTGCACCTAGACAAGTCATGTTGGCCATCTTCAGTTAAGGTTGGTCGATTATGGCGCAAATTGATACGCCTTCAGCGAAGCCATGACGCTTTCATAGTGTACTAGAGCGTCCGTAAGTGTTTGATGCCGGATTTGGTGAATAATAAAACGACGATTAGTATCAACCTTTGGTAAATAATGCGCATAAATCTTAGCATTTATCGACGGGTACCCGATATCGCGGTCCTCCTCCGTTAGGGTCGAGTACTTCGGCCAACAAAGAGTAGACGCGTAGCTTGCTGGTAAGACGCTAGAAGAAAGGAAGGCAATCTCGTAAAAATACAAAGGGTTTCTTGCTTTCAACGAGGAGAATTCACGACTGAATCCTTCACCACATCATGCGCGGCCGACGGCTACCCCGCCGGCCCGCTTCCTTTCCTACTGCAACCACTTGGTGACGCCACACCTCCCGTGCACGAGCTTCCTGGCGTCCATGACACCCGTCCTTGGCGGCTGGAGACCGAACGTTCCGCGCCCAGCCCGCCATCTCGCGGCATCTTTGCCTTGAAGAGTGGGATAACCACTCACACTTGATATGCTTGCCCGTCCTGCCCTTGCTCCTCTTGAATTTGCGCCTCTTCGTGCTCCAGCGCGCCTTCGAGCATCGTCAGGAAATCTGTCAGTCGAGGTCTCAACCGTGACCCGTGACAACTCTCCCCGACTTCAGGCTGCCGTCCTCGGCCAGCCTCGCCCTTGTCCTCACTCGTCGCAGTCGCGGGGCACGTCGGACCTTGCCCGTCCGCCTCGTCGACGACCACGGGCACCTCCGGCCCGTTCGTCACCGGCTTCGACGGTACCACCGCCGATCGACGACGTACGCCACGCAGCTTGTTGAGACTTGCCTTTTCTGCGCGCTCCTTCGCGTCCTTGCGCTCACACAGAGCGTCCAACCCCGACCTTGCGACCTTCTTCGGCGCCTTCGTCGGCATGCGCCCGTGGCAGCGTCGTACGAGATGGCTGTAAAGCCCACAAAGCAGCAGCACGCCGTTCTTCATCACGAAGTTCGGTGACATCCGTAGAATTAGCACGCGTAGCTGCACGTCCATCGAGAGAGCTCCGCTCTCGAGGAACGCTTTCATCGCCACCATCCACGGAGTCCACCCTTGCTCCTCGACGAACTTCTCGCTGTCGAGCCCGAACGAGTCCACGGCGGAGGGAGAGTCCGCCTCCGTCCTGCCGCCCTCGTCCTCTTCCTGCTCCTCCTGCGTGAGACGCGGACCCTCGCCTCGAGCAGCCTCTTCGAAGTCACGCGCGACCTCCGTTCTTCTCTCGTCGTTGCCCCGCTCTCTGGCTGGGACGATATCTCGCTCGTCCGCTCTCGGAGCCAGGTCCGGCTCGACCCGCTCGCTCAGGCGCTCATCGCCTTCATGCTGCTCTTCGATTTCGACGGCCGTACCCTCGTCGTCAGTCGCTCCAGTCATCCACACGTCCTCCAGACGCAGCGGTCGTCGCACTTCTCCACGGCCCTCATCTCGGCCCGAACGCTCCCCGACTTCGTCGGCGCCACGCCCTTCGGGCGTCGCCGCAGGGATCCATACGTCTTCAAGCCGCAAAGGTCGTAGCCGGCCCGGACCGTCACCTTCGAGACGTCCGGGCGGGTTGAGCAGGTCGTTCATGGTCACCGCGCCAATAACGGGCCGCTGTCTAAGCCTCGACAGGCCGTCCGCGTGACCCATGAGCGACCCTGCACGATGATGAATCTTGAAGCGTAGCTGGGACAACTCCATAGCCCAGCGCGCCAACTTCGCGTTCGTCGTCCGCGTATTCTCACCGAAGATCCAGGTCAGGGCCTGGTGGTCCGTATACAGGTCGAACTCCGCGTGGTCGAGATAACACCGGAACTTCCGCGTGGCCCAGACCACGCCCCAGCACTCGATCTACGTTGTACCGTCCGATCCAGTTCCGCTGGGACCCCACCAGCATCTTGCTCGCGTAGGCGATGGCCCGGTCTCGGCCGTCCATCTCTTGCATCAGGCACGCCCCCACCGCCAGGTGCGAGGAGTCCACGTACAGCTTGAATCTCTTGGTGAAGTCCGGATACACCAGGATCGGCGGGCGTACCAAGCTGCGCTGCAGCTGGTAGAACGCCGAATCGCAGTCTGCACTCCAGCAAAAGACCGTCTCCTTCTGCTTCAGCCGTTCCAGTGGCGCAGCGATCGCAGCATACCCAGGGATATATCTCCTGAAGTAGCTCGTCAGCACGAGGAAAGCACGCAGTGTGTGTAACTCGTGCGGCTTCGCGATGTTGAGTACCGCCTTCACATTCTCCGGGTTGGGCAGTATGCCCGAGGGCGTCACTATGTGACCCAGGAACGCAACCTGGTCACGACCCCAATGGCACTTTTTCATCTTTAATTTGAAGCCCGCCGCTCGGAACCGCTCCAGCACCTGCCGCACGCGGACCAAGTGGCTCGCGAAGTCGTCGCTGAACACGACGCAGTCATCCAAGTACACTAGACACGTCCTCCACTTCAAGTCGACTAGCACGTTCTCCATCAAGCGCTCGAAGGCCGGCACTGCATTGCACAGCCCGAACGGCATGACGAGCCACTCGTACATGCCGAACTTGCTCGTGAAGGCCGTCTTCTCGACACTTCCAGGCTCCATGGGCACGTTCCAGTACCCGGACGCGATGTCCATCGTCGAGAAGAGCTTCGCCCGCCCCAGGACGTCCAAGATGTCGTCGATAAGAGGCATAGGGTAGCTGTCCTTAACAGTGACTGCATTGAGCTTCCGGTAATCAATACAGAATCGAATTCCACCATCCGGCTTGCGTATCATCAACACTGGGCTTGCCCACGGACTCGTAGACGGCCGGATGAGGTTGAGCTCCAGATACTGCTGGATCTCCACCTCCATCACGTCACCCTCCGCCTTCGACACTCGGTACGGGGGCTGCTTGATCGGAGCATCCTCCCCCGTGTCGATGCTGAACTGTAGCAAGTCCGTCCGCCCCGGACGCTTCGACGTCTCGACGAACATGTCTTTGAAGTCGTCCAACATGCTCGCGAATAGCTCCTGCTGCTCGGTGTCCATGGCCGAGTCGCTGAAGTCGGCTTGGAGGTCTTCCGCGACCACCTTGGCCAGCTCCGATTCCATCTTCGCCTTGCGGGCGTCCTGCGACGGATCCTTCTCGGCCGACACCGACCCAATGACCTTGCTCACGCCCTCCGACCCGGACGGCTCTTCACGCTCGAACGAGAAGGCCGACTCAGGCACGGCGGACGCGACGGCTATCACGGCGCCCTCACTGATGACCATCTCCTCGGTCGAGGCGTTGCAAACCTCAACCAGGACTTGCCCTTGATGCACCGTGCACAGCGTCCTGGCCACTCGCAGAGACGCCTCACCACCAGCGAGTCCTTCGACGAGCACGACGGAGCCCTGCCTGGCGCCGCCGCGCACCCTCGATCGTACCAACGCCTGCGAGCCGGGCTCGAGACGCACGGTCGCCGCAACACTCGCGGAGTACGACTCCTCCACGCGAGTTTCGCCCAACGGGATCACCTCGCCCGTATCCTTGAGCGTCATCGTCTGCGCTTCCATGTCGATCACGGCACGGAACGACTGCAGTGAGTCCGTGCCCAGGATCGAATCGACGTGCAGGCGGTTCACGACCGCGAACGGCAACAACTTCTCCACGGAGCCAAGTGTCACGGGCAGGTCGATCACGCCCTTGATCTGGACCTCGTGCCCCGTGACACTGTCCAGTCCGCCCGTGTACGGTCTCAACGTCTCGGCAGAACGCCCAAGCCACTTGAGCACCTTCTTGTCCACCAGACTCGCGATCGCGCCCGTGTCCATGAGCATCTCCGTCGGCACGTCGCCGATGAAACCTCCCGCCAGGGCCTCAACACCACCCACACTTCCAATCACGCGCTTGCCTTCGGGGACGACTCGTTCGTCGTCTTCATCCCCATCGTCCACGGGTCTTAGCCCCGGTTTCCGACGTCTCGGCCGCCCTACGGCGCCGATCACGTGAACGCAGTGAGGGCTATCCTCTTCCAGAGCCTTGTCTCGCTCAGGAGGCCCCTTCACCACGCACACCGTGCCGCCCACCTGGAACGACACGTGCTTCTCGGTCTTGCTCGGGGCACTATCCTTGCCCACGCGAGCCTCAGCCACTCCTCGTTTCGCGCGCAGCTTGAGCTTCTCGCAGATAGCCGCCGCCTCCCCGGCGTAATATCGTTCGGACCAATCTGCCAATACTCGCAGCCGCCTCTCGTCGACCCCCTTGAACGAGACTCGGAGTTGCCCACGTAGCCACTCCTTCTCGTCCTCGGCCAGGCCGGCCGGGTTCTTGTCACGGAACGGGGGCACCTTGCCGTCGGCGCCATCCTCACCGTCCCTCACCAACCCCTTCAGCCGTCGGTGAACGACCTTCCGTATCACCGACCGACTGGTAAATGGGACCGTCTTGTCTTCATGGTCCATCTCGTCCTTGGTCTCGATCTCCGACGCTGCCTCGTTCGTAGCGAGACTCGAGCACACATTCCTCACGACTTCCTGCTCTACCGCAGCCTCATCTTTCCCGTGGTCCCTCGCTGACCCGATAATCCCCTTTTCCATTCCACCGCTCACCCGAGCCGCGGCACTCGTGGCCTCGACGACTCCTTCGCGTGGGTTGGGACTGTCAGCGACGGCCGCCAACGGGCCTGTCGACTTTGCTTCTGGTTTCTCGTAGGGCCCGTGCCCCTTGAAGTCACGATTGGCGCGCTTCGCCTCGCTGGACACCGCCAGCGTCTTATCGTACCATTCCAGCCAGTACTCGGGCGTGGAGCCGGCACGCCGCGCCACCTCCTTCGTCCGCTTCAGCTTCTCGACTGGAATTCCGAGCATCTTGCTCATCTCTTCGATGCTCGTCGCCTTCTGCCTTGCGGCGTTCTCCTGCATCCGCCGCTTCATCTCCACTTCGTCACGGGGGAACAGCCGTTCCTCCAACTCCTTGTCGTACTCCTCAGGTTCGTCGCTCGCCAGCCCATACTCATCCTGTTCGAGCAGCTCCAGCTCTCGGTCGGTGAACAGGCGTTCATAGCGAGCCTGAGACGCTCTACCCTTGGTACTCTCAGTCGAAGGTGTTCCGCCCTCCTCGGCACGGCCCTGAGTATTCGACTCGGCCGTGTCGTTTGCCTTGGTCACGGTGGAGAACCGCTCCAGCCGCGCGACCTCAGCATCTTCAATGCAATCGTCCAGCGTGTCCGTGCCAGAGGTAACCTCGCGGGGTAACCCTCCAGCGTCCAGACCCGACGCTGCTTCTTCCGTTTTGATCGGGACAGTGCTTTCCGTCGCACCACCCGCGTTTGCCATATCATTCGGACCAGTGCTCTCCGTCGCGCCGCCCTTGTCGTTCATGTTGCCCACGACGGCGTTCTTCATCGCGCCGTCGGGGTCCTTGTCGCAGTCCGCGCCCGAGCTCTTCGTTGCTCCGGGGACGCGCATTCCAGTCAAGACGGTGCCCGCACGCACCACCTCCTTGTTCACTTTCACCGTGACGGAGCTCTTCACGCGCCCGTCCGCGGTCACCTTCAGCACGACCAGTTCGGCTTCGCCGTTCTCGCTCGTGTCGTCGTCCAGTCCTTCATCGGCAAGTGTGCCACGCGGAGCAGTACCTACCTTCTCTTCTGTTTCACCACTAACATTTTCCGTCGATTCCCCGGCCAGCACGCCACCGTCTTCGTCACGCGACGCGCTGCCTTCGTCCTGCAGAGCACCCAACCGTTCACCGATTTCCGCAATCGCCGCCACGACGTGCTCCGCTGTGTTGCCCGTCAGGCAAGAGGAAGGAGCGACACTTCCTTCCCCCTCCTCCTGCCCTCTTCACGCTCGGTTCAGGGCCTCCGCCAGCACTGCGGGGTCCTTCCCGGCCAAGCTCTTGAGCATATCCTTCAACTGCGCCTTGTACGGGCACTTCGCCATGAAGTGGTCCGTGCCGTCACACAGACCGCACTGCCTCGTCCTTTGGCCTTGAGCACCACCTCCTCCGTTGCCCCGAGAACCGCCATTCGTCGGCGTTCTGGGCAAGTAGCATTCCATGGAGAAGTGGCCGAACTCGCCACAGCGGTTGCACGTCCCCTTACCTCGGGAGCACGTCAAGCGACTGCACTTCCGTCGCTCGCAGCGACCGCAGACCGTCTCGCCTTCCTGGGTGCGCGTGTCAGGCGCCATGCGAATATGGAGTTGACGCTCCGAACCACCACCACCCGTTTCACCCGAACTCGCAGCCGCCGTCTGTGTCGGCGCCGCGGCATTGATCGAGGGTCGGCGAGGAGAACGCGGAGCCTGAGGCGCAGACGCGAGCGCCCTCTGCTGCTGCTTCATCATCCCGTGCATCTCGTGCACCGGATCGGCCAGCTTGGACTGCTCCGTCTTACCACCGCCGGACATCTTCCCGCTCTCGGCGAACTCGTCCTCTTCCTCCACTGGTCGATGCAGTCCTTTGAACAAGAGTAGCGTACCGGCCTCCTCGATCGTCGAGACCACACTCGCGTTCAGCATGGCACGCAACTGCTTGTTGCGAAGGTCCTCTACGAAGAACTCGTACCGCATGCGCGGCTCGTTGTAGCGGAGCGCCTCGCACATCCTGTTGACGCGGTCGCCCCACTCCTCGACCGACTCGCCGTAGTTCCGCCTCGCCGTGCGTAGCTGGCTCCACATTTGAGCCGGCGTACGGCTGACGAACCGGTTGTGGAAGCGGATCTTGAGCGTCATGAAGTTCTCGACCACCACTCTTGGCCAACCTTGCCCTTCATGCACTGCTCGAATGCTGTCAACCGCAGAGCGTCATCCATGCCCTCGGTGCACTTCTCGAACGACCGCCTGAACGCAGCAGCACGTTCGCTCGATGCAACCTCCGAGTAGAACGGCACGATCACCTTCACCGCATTGCGAAGCTCCGTGGGGATGCCACCCACGTGGGGGCCTCCATACGCAACACTCCTTGCCTCATTGGTCGCACCTACTCCTCCACCTTGGCCAGCTCCAAACGCGGGAGCGAGACCAGCCGAAAGAGGGGCAGTGTAGCCGGCGTACCCTTGACCGTACCCGGGCGTCTCCGACGTCACCGGGGTCACGTACTGCTGGTAGCCCGGCTGCTGCCCGTACGATCCCATGTTCATGCTCAACGGAGTCGACGCGGCCGCCCCCATCGGCGTTGCAGCCGCGCTCGCAGCCATCTGCCCACTATAGACACCAGGCGCAGCCCCTGCGGACTGGCTCATCGGCATACTCGCCACCGGCGTCATCGCGCTCACCGGCTGGAACGAGGGGTAGAACGCGCTCGCGGGCGTCGCCCCGCCTCCGCCCATCGGCGTCTGCGCGATCGTCAACCCTCCGTACGAGGGGATCGCCGCCATCGACAAAGCGCTCGGAGTCGGCGCCGGAACCATCATGTGCGTCGGCGTCGGCACGGACGGCACCGGTCGAGACATGACCGTCGTAGTCTGCACAGGCACGCTCTGCATCGGAGCCGCGTTCGGCGTCGGCACTCCCGTGGCCGCCACCGTTCCAGCCGCTCCCCCAAGATATTGCTGCAGTGCCTGCCGCAGTAGCGAGCCGAGGTACGCCTCCGCCGAGGGGTTCACGTTCCCCGGAGCGGGCGCGCTCTGAGTCGGCAGGGTCGCCACCGTCGGCTGCGCAGACACCACCGGCTGGCTCACTGGCCACGCCGTGCTCGCAGCTTGATACGCTTGGGCAGCCGCACTTGACGTATGTGGCACCTGTCCCGTGCCTCCCGCCGTCGGCGGAGGTAGACTCGTTCCTCCTCCCTGTTGAACCGTAGGACCCTGGGATGCCGGTGGGGGCGTGCTCAAAGCCCGCGTCAATACCCGCGCCAGCAATTCCACGTTCGGATTCCCGCTCGACCCGTGAGTCCCACCCGACGGTACCGGCCCGGTACCTGCCGTCGAAGTGGTACTCGCGGAACTCATTGTCGAGGGAGCTGCCGAAGCCACTGTCGTCGCAGACACCGTGGTAGGAGGCGGCCCCGTGCTCGCCGCCGTCGGCGATGGCGGCTGGTATGGGACCGCCTCTGCCGATGGCGGCTGGT